GGAGCGGAACGCGATGTATCCAAAATCATCGGTATCTATCAAAATCGTTTATCTTCACAAAGAGCATAATAATCCCTGAAAAATCAACTCTTTTCACCTGTATCTTTGGAAATGAGAATATTTTAATAGACTAAACTGGAGCCCGGGTCCTATCCGTCCCATCAGAATATTTTAACCACAAAAAAAGTTCAAGATTGTTGTCGGCCCGACCATGCATCCCTTGTGAGTTAGTCCAAGCAGTCAAACTCTTTATTTTATCGAGGACTTCCATTTTTGGTTAACTTTGATTGTGATACAATGTATTCAAAAATGGTTTATTACACAGGCTTTTAAATGCAAATTACATCTGACCAAGGTGACCAAGTTGACCTCGTTTAAAGCAAATTATTCAATGAAAGATGAATTGATGTTTGAATACGAGATTTTATTGTTAAGGTTGCACCGGTTTCGTGTAGCATCTTTGTATCTATCGAGCATGAGAAAAGGAAAAAGATAATTTGCTCGATTTATTTGGTGAATGCCAATAAGCAAACCAATGCTAAATCAAGTTTAAGATAAAGAAAAAGTAATTAATTGGAATCAAAAATGAGACGAAATAACCTGAAGATTGGTTGCTTTAGAGGTTAACCAGGATCAGTGAGCTTCAAGGTACTTGCATAATGGGTTGAACATGATGATGAAAGGAAGGCTTTTCATTGAGAATGACATTGAGGCCAGACTGGCAAATCCGGAAAGTAAGATCATGATGATGGTTATTATGATGGTTATGATGGAGAAGATAAATAATCAGAAGAAGAAGGAGTAAGTAACTTTTTTTGTTTCTGTCTTTTAATCCTTACATGATGCTTCCTGGTTGAATAACTGGAAAAGAACGCCTTTTCTGCTTTCGCTAACTTTCTGATCAACTTCGAGTTTCAAGAATTAATTAAACTTTTATCAAGACCAAAAGAGAAAGTTAAGGTCAAACATTCAATTATTATAGTTTAATAGTATAAATAAAAATTTTAATTTACGGTTAACATTGAACATACGATCGCAAAAATGGTTACTTTGAATCAGCTGTTGCATCAAAGGGTCAAAGATGGAGTTCACCGTTTTTCGCTTGTATCTCATTTATGTGGTGTTTTAGTGCTCATTTTTTTCAATTCACCATCAATTAATTGTTTCAAGTAAGTAAAGAACGTGTTGACACCGTGATTTGAATTGATTATGATTAAAGACAAAGGAAATTAACTCTTCTCAACTTTCCAAACACTCCACAGGCTCGACGCTTGGATGGTGTAATCAACCAACAAGAACAAAATTGGAGCAGTTAGTGTGCTGATTGTTTTAAAAGATCGTCAATGGATTTATAATTACTAGGTAAATTTAACAAAGTACTCAATATATAAATTAATTAACTGTATCCATGTAGCATGATAACTAGTTTCAAGTTTCTCACAGCCCCCAAGAGTCAAGAGACAAGTGGATTATGAGCGAGAACCAGAAGAATCACTTTTCAATATGATAATTGAATAGGACCAGATGATGTGGAAAGACCTGCCATTTACTATCAATTTGAGGTCATCTACCGATCTATGGACAATAACTTCTCGCTTTGGTTTGCTGGTTTTGTTAATTTGGTTCATCGTCACCTGTTTATTGCTGATGTTTGTTTACTAATTTCAAAGAATGACAGTGTTCAGAGCAAACACAATTCTTGGCCAATTATTAACTTCAAATATGCCCTGAAATATAAGAAAATATGAGGTCATTCAAGATCACATCATGTTATATTAATAGTGCAAATTTAAAGATCATAATTGGCCAAAGAATAGTATTTGTAACTGTTGTGATTCTTGGTATATTGAGATGCAAAGCCTTGAGGTCGTTAACTAAGAGAGCTGTTCAATCAAAAATTGTTAATGTGCATCAATCATCGCTGTAGGACAAAAACGAGGTTCTTTAGCTGTTACCAGTACTCGAAACTAAAGCTTTATCGGAAAATCAAATTTTGTACGGCAACTGTTAATTTTATTTCCCAAAGTAATTTCATTTGACTTTCATTGGAAGTTGCATAAAAATTAATTTTTATTTTGACATTGGTTTTTTCAATGTAACTCGGAGGATTTATTTTCTGGTTGTCATTCTGGATTTGAAACTATTTCAATGAGAACTTACGAAATGATTGACAAAATCGTAATTTTAATTCTACTTAGTAACCAGAATTTACGATCATGATTGTAGTTTTTCTTGTATCCTGAAAATTCATTGTAAATTTAATATTTTCACAATTTTCTTGTTGCTATTGTCATTACTTTTCATGATCCTCTTTTTCATGAAAGCAACAATCTTTTCTTTTGACTTTCCATTGTCAGATGAAAAGATACATTACAGTCAAAGTATTTTTCCTTTTATACTGATGAATGAATAGTTAAAGGAACTTACGATGAAAATTCAGCTTGCATTGTAAAAGATGGTGAAACAAATAGCGTAATTTGTTGTCAAAAAAGGTAAAAAATCATAAGAAAAGTGTACCTTTTTGAAGAGGAGAACAATAGTTTCTCTTTTATCTGCTTTTTCTCATTTCTCATTCCATTTATTTATTGTATAGCCTGGTAATCAACAATTATGGTATCTGTGAAAATGAGTAAACAAGATAAAGGCAATTAATAGCACGTTAAATTTTCCAAGATAATCAGTCGAAGGTACATTCAATCCAAGAAATGGATGATGACAAGATAAGGTTTCCAAAATGGACCCCATAAATTGATTAAATGGCAAAGTTAAAGATGTTAATGGCAGAGATGACGATGAACCAGGGAAAACCAGGAAAGTTACAAAGAAAAATCATATAGAAAGAAAGTAAAAAGAAAGAAGAAAACAAAAACCCGATTTACATGGTTAGAAACAAGTTTCTTGTTGTCCAAATTAAGAGTCTGGTAATCAGTTAAAACCGGAAAAAGGGAAACGCTGACGTCCACAATTAGTATTTTTTTAAATGTTAAGGAACCTCAACTGTTAACAACAAACATTGGTTATTTTTCATGTTGTTTTTTTGTCTCTTTATACTGATTTGAATTTAATCACTTATCAGGACTGGTTAAACTCTAGCCCTAAGCCTTTACAGGCTCAGTAGTCAATGGTTATCCACCGTCATTGGCAATATATTGGGAATCCAATTAATGTCAGCTATACTTTGAAAGATGTACAATACCAGAATAATTATGGTTACCTTGCACTTTACTCATTGACTGTAACATTTTATAATAATCATTATCACTATCGATTAAATAACAATTGATTAAAGGATCAAGACAACAATAATAAATGGCAATAGACTTATTCAATGATAACAGATGGCGTTGCTTAAAAAAGCTGTTGTTTTCAATTTGGTTTTGCATTTGTAAACAAGATTGCTGTTCTCAGCTTGATTTGATTTAATTTTTCATCTTCTTCTTTAATTGCTTTTATTATTTTATCATTGTAATTATCAGCATAATCTGTACATTTCTGTGTGCTTACTAGACCTACAGTTGTAAATTTGACAACTATTAGCTTCAATCTTTTATTTTTTGATTTTGTTTTGGATTCTCTTCAATTACGTTTCACCTCTTTTGTCTGCATTTTGGTGATGATGTTACTGTCCTGTTAAACATTTGCTACTTTCATCTGGACCATTAACCTTTTGCAACCAATTTTGATCATTAACAACGTAAGCTGTTCTTGTTAAACATTTATTCAAAAATCTAATCATTTAATTATTATTTATTGAGAGAAACTGTTCACGAGTTAGTCAGGTTAACCCTTGTGATGTTTTCATTCTCCTTGGCCTTGTGATTCAACTCTTTCTTTTTTATATTATCTTTTTTATTGGTCCTTTCTTTTTCTTCACTCTTGTTCGTCGATAATATTTTTTAAACATAATCACTGTTGATTTGAGTAAATTTAAATGCCGCCTACATATAATTGACGTTGATTAGTGACGTTTATATTATAACAGTTATAGTCTCTGTGTCATTATATTCCTAATGGATTGTTTAATTGTGAATTTAGTGAGAGTTTAAATTTACATTTGTACATCATAAGTAAATTACCCAACTTGTTTTGTATATTGTGCTTCAAGGACAATTTTTCAATTTAAAGGTTATCCCATAGCTTTTACCTTACATTTTGAAATACAAAATTCTCACTTTCTCTTTTAATTATCACCATCACTTTGCTATCAATAACATTACCATCATTACCTTTTCTTTGTCTCCTCATCACCCGCTTCATCCTTAATCTTAATCCCTCCTTCTTGACCTTAACAGTGACTCTTATCATGAAATGAAACCAATTGAAAGGGAGACAAAAAGAGTTAACCAGCTCAATCCTCTCTTCTAGCCTCAAGTTATTTAATTGATGTGTGTTGTTTGATATAATATATTATTTTATGCATAACATTTGTGTTATGATGATGATAAGCTTTAATTTTTAGTATAAACCGTGAAAATGAAAAGAAACAAAAAGTGAAAGTGAGACGTTGAGGGTCATTTCCGGGTGTCCTTACTATTAACATTGAACCATTTGGCCTGTTTTCACTTAAGGCAATCCACCTTCAAAGTTTTCAATCTGAAAACGACTCATTTTTGAATGTAAAATTGAATGAGAGAGAATGAAAAATTATTACGTAGAGTGAGTCTTTTTATTGTGAGTGTCTAACCCAGAAATTAAAGGAGCTCAAAGTCCAGCTAGACCAGTATGTTGATGGTAGTTTAATAGTTGATCAATTGTTGATTCCTCCTTAGTGGACACATCAAAGTGCAAGTGTTTTATCATTTATTAAGAAAAAAGCTTTTCTTTCATTTAGTGTAAACAATCCTTAAATCCTTACCCCTCTTTATCTTCAATCACCAACAAAAACATTCTTTTCAGTTTCAAATTTTTTTCTATCATTCATTCAGTTCTACCCTTTTACTTGTATTCATTGCATGTCGATCAACTGTTGATACAACATTTCACCCATTCCTTGTTCACGTTCCTGTTTGTTTTATAAGCTTTCAACACGAAAAACTACTTTGCTTATGCTATTTTGTATCATCAGCTTTTCCATTTCACTTTGTGAATTGTCAACAATCCAATAAAATCTTGAGACTCTTTTGTTTATTTTAAAGTTTTTTATAATTATTATTCAGTGTGTTATCAACAGTTTATTCATTGTCAAAGTAAAATAATCACAAACAAAAATGGTTGCTTCTTTTCAGAAATCTTCAATCAATACTCTTGGAAGCCATCGTCAGCGATCTATCATAAACAATAACAATTGTGGTAGTACAACAACCACAACAGTTGAAGAGATTTCCAGTGACGAATGGTTTCAATCATCTAAAACAGCCACTCTTAAATCAACTGATACCAAGCTAGCCAAAGAATCTGCTGATTTACTTCCCAATTCTGGTGATCTTTTCCCCTGGGATTGTTACGAACCTAGTGAACCTAAAAACATGGATTCAGCATACGAACAGCTTTGCCAACTCCACTGTCGAGCCACTAAAGCTGCAGCTCATCAAGTTGAAGATTTGGTGAGACGAGCGTATGAGAAGAGAGATTCAGCCGAAGCCTATGTTCGGCAAACTATTCAAGATGCCTGGAATGTCTGTCATTTCCATCATCTTCCCAAATGGCTTCAAGATAATGATTATTTACACACTGGTCATCGACCACCTTTGCAATCATTCAAGGCCTGTTTCTGGTCCGTTTTCCGAAAACACACTGAAACTGGTAACATTTGGACACACGGAATAGGATTTTTGATTTTCCTTGTTCTTTCCTTGTATAAATTGACTGTTGCTTCCCATCCTTGGTCTCTCATGGATAAAGCCATTTTCGGCGCTTTCTTTCTTGGTGCTGTCCTTTGCCTTGGATTCTCTACATTTTATCATACAGTTTCTTGTCATTCACCTCAAGTTGGCAGATTTTTCAGCAAGTACGTGATCTTTTTTTATCTGATGCATTTATTTTCCTTCCTTGGGTGGTGTATATTTTTACCTGTCATTTTCATTTCCTTTACTCTCTCTATTCATCAGACCAAACCAAACCAATCCGTTGATTTATTATGATACAATTTTTACCTTTAAAAATTTTTTAATGGATTACCTCTAATTACTTGTTCTAATTTTTGCTTTCTCTCCATTTTAGGCTGGATTACTGTGGAATCGCTTTACTCATCACTGGATCCATTATTCCGTGGCTCTATTACGCATTTTATTGTGATTATTATCCGAAAGTTATGTATACAGTGTTAACCACAACTCTTTGTGTTATTGTTATTATCCTCTCGCTGTGGGATAAATTCAGTGAACCCAGCTACCGACCTGTTCGTGCAACTGTTTTTGTACTCTTTGGTCTGTCTGGAGTTTTTCCTGGTGGCCATTGGTTAATCTCACATAACTGGTTTTCCGATGTTAGTCTCCGTGCTTCCTTCATTTGCCTTATTATCATGGCAGTCCTTTATCTGAGCGGCGCTCTCCTCTATGCCTGTCGTATACCTGAACGATTTTTCCCTGGTAAATGTGATTATTGGTTCCACAGTCATCAAATTTTCCATATTCTTGTTATCGCTGCTGCCATGGTTCACTATCGTGGTATCTCAGAACTTGCTCTTCACCGCCTTAGTAACACACAAACTTGCGACGCACGTTAATCCACAAAATCTATGTTTTTCACCCTTAACTTAACCTCTAACCCATTCCTTATCCGGGTCAATGAAATCGCATTACATACTTATACTTAGCAGCTATACAAGTTAAAAATTATCTCACTCATCAATCCATTATTAAGATCATTTCTCACAACATTTTCTCTACTTTTAGTTCAAATGTGTAATCGCTGCTAACATATTTGTATGTGACCGTTTTCATCACTCATTTTCCCCTCTTTTTCGTCTTCTCACCCTTTTAAAATCTTATTTACTTTAATGTCAAGAATAAGTTCTGAGAGCCAAATTTTCTTGGGCTTCTGCAACCTTTTCTTTATCATTTAACCCTAAATCAATTTTTCTCTCTTTTATCTATCCTTTCTTTTTGCCTTCCTCTTCATCATCAAATCATCATCTCGCAGCAAGCAAATCATCAACAAGATCAACTTGAGGGTTAAATTCAACTTGAATTGAATTGCATAAAAAGCATAGAGTGGGCAATATAGCTTTTTTGTCAATACCTTACTTATGATTGTTGAGTTATTTAATTTTTTAGTGAAAAAGAAAACAAATTGCTACATAAATGCATTATTGTTAGATTGTACTATTATTATATTATTGATATTATAATTATATTATTACATTATAATGAAAAAACTCATTAGACTCAAAACTCTTTAAATGCACAAAAAGAACCCAAAACATTCATTTTATACTGAATCCTTTTGAGTCAAATTAATGGATTCTCAATGATTTATTTTACAAGAAGAGAAAAAAAATATGTAAATCACCAATTTATCTGAGTGAATAATACAAATTATCATATTTTTATGTTATTGAGATTTTTTTAAGATTCCAGATGATAATCATGGTGTGAATATCTTGGAAAACTTTGCTTATATTATCTGTATCCGTTGCTGTTGTCAAGTGATAGAAACATTCACGACCACGATTCTCACTGGCATCATAGCTAATGTAATCATTTGCTGTCTTGTCTCCTTCATCCAGAGATTTCTTGGTAATTGACACAAATTTGTCCTTAATAAAAGCTCGTGCCCGCCTGTAATCATAATCAGGTTCATCGGTTGAAATAGATTCACGATAGCTTTCAAATTCTGGAAAATAGTCTTCTAATTTAATTCCTTTGTTGATTTTTTCTCGAAGAAGATCTTGCTTATTAAGAAACACTATAAATCCAGAGTCTCGGAGGAAACGGCTACTCCAAACCTCTTCAAAAAGGGTTAAGGCTTCCTTTAAGCGATTAGTTTGTCGGTCTTCACGTAGTTTCTGATCAAACTCCGATGTGGCAACAATAAATAACACGGCAGTGATTCCATCGAACACTTGAATCCATTTCCTTCGTTCACCTCTTTGTCCACCAACATCAAACATCCTATCATTATAAAGGTGAGAGAAAAGCGGGAGAAAAAAGAATAGAGAAGATTGAAAGTTAGGTTATATTTAGAACCAGAATAACAAAAAACAGAGATAACATTAACAAATATAGAAGACATAATCTACTCTAACAATCAATAAGTAAATACGACTAGATTTGTTAACAAATCAAATAAAGTAGAGTATAAGAAAATTCAGGCTTCATGGGTCAGTAATTGAATGATCACATTGAAAGTGTTTGGAAAAGGTTGACAAAATTATTGATAAAAAATCAACTAAAAAAAGAGTTTGTTATCAATAACCGTTAAAGACACTTGTTACATTCAACCCTTGACTCATGAAGCCATCTGGTTGAATAGCGTACCAAAACAATTGGGTTCCCCCGCCATATTTAAGAGGAACTCTAACCTCAAACTCAATCTTCTGTATATCACTGGTTCTCCGGCGACATCTTAAAATATCTTGATCATCTGGAATGTAATCAGGAGATGAAATAATATCAATTTTATCTAGAAAGCTGATAAAATACGAAGGTAAGGGAAAAAAAGAAGGTAAAAAAACAAAAAAAAAAGGGAAAAGAAAGTAAATAAACAAGAGGTGTAAAGGATGGCAAAAAGCGACAATTGTTGCTTTAAGAGTGACTTGAATCAACTAACTCATTGGTTTTCAATACTTTCCCATAATAATAAAAAGATAATCAATAAAGAGGTAAATTATAAGAAGAAGAAGAAGAAATTACAAGTGAAAATGATAATCTAGAGCACTTACTATTTAGCACTGTCAATAAGAGAATACTCGTTTGATCGTCTAAAACATTCCTGGATTCCATCATCAGCCCAAAGAGCTTTTATATGATTGTAAAATGGTTGATTGTAGTCAAAATCATCATCAGGTAACTCCATTGATTTAACATAATCAAAGCTTTCCTTATTCTCACTGTTAGACAGCTCAATTGGTGGGCTTAATTGCTCCATGGCTTCTGACATTTCCTAAAGAGTGAACAGAAGAAAGACAAAATAGAGTTGGCATATTTGTTTCTATAGACAACAACGTAAATACATTTAACATGCAACAAGGTTCATTTGTTGAAGTTTGATTAGCTACATTAATTACTCATTTCTATTATCTTAACAACTTACCTTCATGGCTTCTAAGAGATTTCTTCTAATCCATTGAGCTTTCTCTTTCCTCTCTTCATCGGTAAAACCTTCAATGTGAAGAATCTTCATTTGTTTTAAGATTGTTGTCTTGCCACTTTCACCAGCTCCTGGGTAGAATAATTGGAAAAAATTGAAACAAAAAGAGATAAACATTGAGTTTGATAAACAATTAAGGAAACAAGTAAATTGAAAAACAGTATTTCAATAAGACAAAAATGAAGATTCAGTTTACCTAGAAGAAGTAGCTTGATTGATTTGTTGTAACATTTCATCCAAGTTCCAATCAATTTGTCAATCTCTTTACTGGCTCGTCGATGTGGATCTTTTGAACGGAAACATTTCCAGGGAAGGGGCATAATTTGGTCCAGTCAATTAAAAACAATTAAAAACAAAGTATAAAATATTTAAGAAACAAACAACAATTTGATTTGCTCAGCAACGGATTGATTTCAAAGGTAAAGTCAGTTGAAGTTTGGCGTCAGGCTAACTTGCCATAAAGCAGAAACAAAACAAAAGGTTCAAAGTTATGATTAAAAGTTGAAAAATAAATAAAATAGGAAAGTTAATTAACGGTGATCAAGTTGAAGATAAAGTAGGTGATGATGAAAATAATGAGTTAATAAAAGCAGAACCAAAGGCTGTGAGTGACTATTTAATCAGGTATGAATGTTGAACAATCTGACTGTTGATTCGTTTTGCCACTGATTTGCTTTTTTCACTCTACCGTCTTTACTTGCCACTGGAGGGTAAAAATGTTGATTAAGGCGACAAATATGAAGGGTAAAAGACGAGGAAGAAACTGAGAGTGGAAGGTATTGACGATGAAAAGGTCTGACACTCGATACGAAAAGAAGTAGAAGAAGAAAGGTGATAAAAGAAAGATGATTATTGTTTTACACTAATTATTCAGGATTAAAGGATCACTGGTTGGATAATGGAATGTGTTGAGAGGTGATTATACTTTACTTGAAACTCGTCGCCATTATAAGTACAATTGATCATCAGCAAGAATAATCTTATATTTTCATTATGTGACTCCTCCAATGCTGGTGTTCAGATAACATCACATAGAAACCAGGCCTTTTGTTTATCTTAAACGACATTCAAACTATGGTAATGACAAAAGCACTGAATCAAGGATGATTACAGTCAATTGAATGATCAGTCAATTAATTAACTCACAACTCAATTACAATTATCAATATTTGTAAACCGACAACAATCAACTAAGGTTAAAGCCTTATGATCTGATTTGTTTTCACTTGTTGTTTTTTTGTTTCTTATTCAATGTATTTCAATTTTTTCCTGATTCTTGTTTTTTGTTTCTTACCTGTTATTATTATCATGAAAACAATTTCCAAGACATGTTAGCCTTTGATATTATTGCTAATATTATCATTTGCAGCATATCTTAAAAGCTTATTTTATTGACGAAATCAACCTCACTCTATGATTTAATTTACTTGGGATGAATGAGCACTAACGATTCATTGCGGACAAGGAAAGCAAACGCGATTTAATTGTTGATTAAATTTTAGTTAATGCTTTCCATCATCATCTCATCATCTCATAATAATCTATTTAATAATTGTAATTGTGGTTACATTAACAGTCATTTACAGTTTGAGTACAGCAACAATAATGGATACAATTCAATGGATTCAACAGTGAAGTTAATTCATCTAAGCGATGATCATTCAAACAATTTTCACTTGACAAGACGATTTAGTCTAAATTAATCATTTAAATAAGTTTAGTTGTGAGCAATTGAATCCATCAATACAATCAAATGCTCGCTTTAACTGATTTGTTTCACTATTTGGATATAACGAGCCATGTAAATGTACTCGTCAGCTCAAATTATGGATTGAATTGCAAGTAACAAGAAAAAAAATTGATTGAGATTTATATTAAAACAGAGAAAAGGTTATCAAAATAAATTGAATTAATTTGATTTTAAAACAGTGTCTAGTTCAATAAGATGAAGGTTTACATTTTAAAATGATTCAATGTTTTATACAATGAATGTCAAGAGTTAACATGTATTGCTCATCTCATGATGATTTATTGTTTAATTTACTCAAATCTTTCCGCTTACAAGTCATTCAAATCTGCTTGGAAACTTGGGTCAAGTCTGATGAGGAAAAAAATATACCAATGTCCATGAATCAATGATTTCCATCACAATTAAAGTTCAATTGTTTGTGCTTTCCAGTCGTTTGTTTACATCTTTCAGTTGTCCTTAAAAAAATGTATAAACAATGGTCCAAATTGTGTTTGTCATTAATTTTGATTGTCAATGTTTTTCACCTCTTTTGTGCTGCAAGTGAATCAAATGAAACTCTGCCGTCTACTCTTGATAAATTGTCTCACGATTATACCACAGTTTTTGTTGATTTACTGATTCGAAGTTTGGAATATAATCGAGGAAGTTATCTTTGTCATAATGATTTACTTCGATTAGCGCAAGATTTGCAAAAAAACGAGGCGAATGCAAAGAAAAGTAAGACTCAATCAACAGTTGAAACAAGACAACTAATTAAACCTTTTCCGCCTTTCTGTCAATTTGATTTAATCTATTTATATTTTTTTTACTTTCTTCTCCTTCTTGTTTTCAAAATTACGACTTCTACTCATAATGATGATGATTTGTCATTCATCTTGATCTGTCTCTTTCCAACCATCTTCAATGTCAGTGGTTGATTACTCTGGTCGTATTCCAGCTCAATCAAGTAAATCTTTCATTGATTTTGGATCTTACCAACAATGCATGAAACTCAGATCATCTACTTATTGCCTGATAACAGGAACATCAGAGGATAATCTTATTCAGTCCAATGAACGAACTGTTTGGCATGAAAAAAATTCAACAATCAATTACATGGTTGATCTCAGTCATCATCTCAACGTTTCACGAAAAGCTTCTCTCATGTTGGGTTTATGTCTTCCGTCAAATTGCTTTGGGTCAGATGTTGAGGATTTTTCATCATCATTGTTATCTTATACCAACTTAACGGTTCGTCTTGATAGGTGTGAAAAGCCGGTTCCAACTCCAATTAAATTGTCTCGTTATGAGACAATTGCTTTGGTTTACTTGGGTATTCTGGTGGTTTCACATTTAATGGGCCCATGTAGCTCAAGTGATAAACCTTTATCATCCTTTAATATTGCCTCAAGTTGGAAATCATTTGTATCACATTCAATTCGTAATCCAGAGGATCAAGTAAATTGTATTTATGGTCTCAAGACAATGTGTATGGCAGCATTGATTTTGGGGAATCTTCAATATTCAACTTCCATTCCATACAAATTTGATTTAAACAATAATATTGATGTTAAAAATAGTTATCCACTGATTGGTAATCCAACCAACAGTTATCTTCATTTGATAGACACTTTCTTTTTCATTTCTGGATTTTTGGCTCTACGTTCAGCTTATTCCAGGCTTCGAAGTATTAAACCTAAGAAGGTCATTTTTGTTCGCTGTTTTAAATTTTCATCCATGATAACGGTAACTTTAGCATTATATTTTGCCCTCTTCAATGGTTTCATTAAATCAAAAATAGCTGGACCACTTTGGGAATCATTTTATGGAGCCAGAGGTTTATTACCAGCTTGCAAGGACCATTGGTGGTCTGAGATTTTGATGATTGATATTTGGAGATTTAAATACAACCATTGTACAATCAGTTCATGGTATTTGGCCATCGATTTGCTCAGTTTTTCAAGCTCTCTCTACTTTGTTATTCCCTGGCTTGAAATGAAGTTTATCATGATTGTTTTGGTAATCCTTTCCTTTAGTACAGGTTTACTGGCGACAGGGTTTAGTTTGTACAAAATTAATTATCCATCAACCATTGTCTCTAATCAACTATTTACTCCTGGTTATTTTGATTATATCAATTTTTTCTTGACCAAACCATGGATCCATGGAGTTTGCTACATGATGGGAGTTCTCACTGCCTTTTATATGAGAAAACCAAGATCCAGATTATCCAAGGTGAGTAACCCATATTATGAGAAGAAGAAGAAAAAATCTGGAGATGATTCAATCTAAAAAATAGAAACAAATTTTGAAGATAATTTGATTCTCTTCCATTTTTATCTTTTCTTGTTCAGCTCAATCGGAAATTAGGCACTTTTCTATCCATTGGTTCATTTGTTTTGGTCCATTGGCTTGAATCTTCTTGGTCATCTCGATCAACTTCATCATCTTTCAATCGATTCTGGTTAATCTTCTATGGAATTGTTGTTCGCTTTTTTTGGTCTGCTGCTTTTGGATGGATGATTTATTTAATCAACAGTCAGAACCAATTTAAATGGATTAATCGTTTCCTTTCTCAACCCTTTTTCCGTTGCCTCTCTAAACTTAACATTTCACTGCTATTAACCAATTTCCTCGTTATTAGACTTCGTAATGCAACTCATCAGCTTCCTGTGAGCAGAACAATAATAGATTGGTTTATTTATTATCTCGTTCCCAATTTGATCCTCATTTATGGCTTGGCTCTGCTTTTGACGTTAATCGTTGAAATACCAGCAACTCGAGCAGCAATGAAATATATATCAATGCCTGAAAGAGGTAAGCCAAATTTGAATCCAAAATTAACCATAAAACCAATTTGTAATTAATTTCTTTTTCGTTTTGCTCTAAGGAGGGACTGGGCGCATATTAACTCGGCCACAAATCTATAGCGACATTAAAGTTGTTAACAACACAATAAGCCAAGAAGTTGCCAAAAATGGTCCATATCAAGTATCCTTTGATGGATCAACTATTCATTCTGTTAAATTTTGAAAAGATTTCCGTTGTAATAGAATAATAGAAAGTAAAAAATACAGTAGTAACTAGGATTAAGTTAACAAAAAAGGGGTCAGACTTAGGTTAATTATTAGGTGTTGCCATCTCGATATTTAGTTTCAGGCACTAAACAATAGGAAACTGGACAAAATTCAATTCAATCGTAGAGGTACTTTTATCCTTGTTAGATGGCGACTATGAAAAAAATCTTCGATTTTGTTAACTTGAGTCTGACTACTGCTGTATAGTATTATAATAATCATTGTTATTGTAACAATAAAAAATATGATGATGATGATGACTATGATGATGATTAAGTTGATAACGATTAAAATGGTGATGATAAGAAACCGGTGAAACTAATGAATCTGGTTTCTTGGATGATTTATTGTCAATTTTTTACTAGTTAAATTACATTTCATTCTCTCAACGTAACATTTTAACAAGAACTTTAACTTTCAGTCCATAGAGTTAGCTTATAACAAAGGAGCACTCGTCATTTTTGTATATTTCTCCAATCGTCGTTTGTTCTCAATGGCCTTTAGAATCTCATGTTGTGTAAGTGTTTCACATCATTGTGACTTTAATCAATTTCGCTTTGCGATGCTTTTTGAAGCTAACTGCTTCTTTGTCAAAAATGTGGATCTATGCTGTATCTGAAAACGAAAAGAGCAAGAGCAAAAAAAATTGTTAACAAGCAGACGAATAAAATAGATCTACTCTCAGTAGATCTTGGGTTAGTAGAATATTACAAAGTTTTAAGTAAATCGATCGAAATGGCGAAGCTGTTAGACTTAATGAAAAACGGCTAATCAAAGGTAGGGCTGATATTTAACATACCTGTTGCACTGGCTCCCAACCATTTATCAATAAAATGATCAATAATTTGTTGATTTGAGGTATGAAGCACTTTGGAAGCAGAATAATCTAAGGGTCTATCTTCAGCAGAGGAGTTGCTGGAGTTATTAGCTTTAATGCTGTTTGAAGATGAGGAGCTAAAGCTCAAACTATTGCTGCTGCTACTTGTCGTAGTTGGTATAGGGTTTTCTGTGCTAATAATTAAATCATTACTATTCTCCCAGCTATTTCTATTCAAGGATTTATTTCTCGAATTAGATGATGGGGCGACGGAAGTTGTACCAGATCCACCACCGAGAGCATTCTCAATTACACGATTCATAGTATCAATGTCCAGGACGGGAGGGCCACTTGGATTGGGATGACCGGTTGTAGTTGTCATGGTGGTTGTAGTGGTCGTTTTTGTAGAGGCAGAAGGAACCGTAGATTTCGTAGAACCTAGCAATAGAAAAAAAAGATGTAAACAAAGGGAGAGCGTAAATAAGTGATAACGAAAGAGAGGGAACAAAAGGGGTAAAGAATGGGAACAAGAGAGAGAAAGAGAGAGTAGAGAAAGAGAGCATAAATTAATGGGAGAAAAAGTTAGAAGAAATACAAAACAAAAATCAATATACATGAAACAGAGATAAAAGATCTAATGAAAAATGTATAAGGAAAAATGAGATCATGAAGGCAGGAAAGAATTGGATGAAAAATATTTACTTTTGAACTCTCCATTTTCAAAGTCTTTTAAATATCGTTTTTTAGGCGGCTTAGGAGTAGAATTGGAGGAATTCGAAGATTGAGAACCGGTTCTGGGGCTTTCGAGGTTCACATTCTCACTAGTTTGACCAGACGGCGGAGCTATTGGAGCTGGTAGATTCGCAAGAGGTGGTGGTGATGGTGGCTTGAAAACGGGTGGAATCTTGAAATCTGTTTTGTACCACTTAAAATGGGGATTCGCTTTCATAAATGCTTCTTTATAACTTCTTGCAAGCTCAGTATATTTTCTTTTAGCCTCTCCATCTAAGGCTGCCCACCATTCTCCTAAAATTTTAGTTATACGTCTATTTTCTAGATGTGGATATTTTTGTTTAACTACACTTCTATGTCGCTTACAGAAAATTAGAAATGCATTCATAGGACGCTTCTGCGACAGAGATGCAGTTGAAGGTAGCTGTGGTGGGGATGCTGCAGTAGTAGGAATTGTTGGAGTCACTAATGAAGGCTGTGATGAGACTGTGCTTGTTGAAAGAGTGGTCGTCGAGTTTGATGAGTCCGATGTGGATGAAGAGATGAGAGATGAGGAAAATGAGGATGATGATGAAGTAGATGATGGCTGTGGTACGGACGATGAAGATGAAGAAGATAACGATGTTGAGATTAATGTAGCTGAAGATGTAGTCAGATTTGGTGAAGAGAAACACTGAGAAAGAGAAGAAAGAGAAGGTAGAAAGATGAAAGAGGGAACAATTTAAGAGCCCATTTTTCTCAGGATTTTAACTTGAACCATATTATTTTATTAATTTTATCGTATTCCTTACCTTGTCTTCGTCCTTAGAAGACATAATTAAAATAACATTTTAAGTTAAATTAACGACTAAATATCAATAATTAAACAAACCAACAAAATACAGGACAGAGATTTACAATTTCTTTCACTTGTACGAGGAGGGAACATCATTGAATAACAAACTGTAAATTTCACCTACATAAACTATGTGTCAATTGTAATTGAAGATCTAATTGATAATTTACAATTGCAATGAACTATTCTGTTCTAAGATTATTCCATATAAAATATCATCCACTCATAATTTATCAAAATTCCATAATTTAATAAAAAATTATTCACCCAATATTACCAGCTGCAACTTTCAATAGACTCCATTTAATTGGGTTACAGATTATTTTCTTTATGAAATTTTTCTTACTTTATAAGGTTATTTAACTTATAAGGTAAAGATACGGACTAATTTGATATAAAAAAATTATAATGAATGGATATTAGATGAGTATGGAGTTAACTTTTCTTTGCAAGAAAAACCGAGTTACTAAGGAATAATTATTAAATGAGAAAGTGGATATCAAAGATTAACTTTAGATTTAATATCATGTTGACAGAAAAATACCATGATTACAAGATGATAGTGAAAATCTCAGTTTGTCATTACATTAGCGAAATTTGGATTTTACTTTTAATTTTGATTTAGATTTGAATTTCGGTTTGATTCTCTTATTACCCATTAAACCTTCTCCGGTATCATCAGTTTCATCCAGATTATATTTTCGTTTTTTCCCTTTGTCTTGACTTTCCATATATTCAGAGTTCGCTATACGTTGAGCTTCAAGAACTCTTTCAGTAAGCAACATGACTTCTTGTTCTGGAGTCTCAAATAGGGGCAATTTTTTGCCGATTAAAAATTCAATTCGTTGGTAATGCTCTACATCATACTGAGTCACAAATGTAATTGATTTACCATAACGACCTGCTCGAGCTGTTCTTCCAACACGATGGATATAATCTTTACTGTGATTGGGTATATCAAAATTGATAACGATATCTACATGAGGGATGTCGAGACCACGACTAGCAACATCTGTTGCTAACAGAATTGATCGTGTCTTTGCACGAAATTTATTCAAGGCTCCAAGTCTTTTGCTCTGTCCCATTTGGCCGTGAAGCGGAATAGCAGTGAATCCTAAATTTCGAAGCATCAGCGCTATTTTTTGGGTTGAACTGCAAGTGTTGCAGAAAATTATGAACGAATTTCCAGCAAATTTGTTCAGAATATACGTCAAGTAAATTTCCTACGAAAAATTAGAAATGAATATTAGTGAATTGGACAAATAAAATCTAAAGTAAAAGATTGAGATCATTTATAAGATGTATTTATCATTACCTTATACTTAAGAGGGATGAAGATATAGTATTGTAAGAGGTTATCAACAGTCTGGTATTTTGAAGAAACTTCCAGCTTAACAGGGTCTTTAAGTGATGCTCGTTGCAGCTTTTGTACTTTCTTAGTCATTGTTGCTGAAAATAGATACGTGTTTCTTTCCCTTGGAATAACTTTCAATAACTTGTCCACTTCTTTCTCAAAGTCCATGTTCAAAATTTTATCAGCTTCATCCAGGACTAAAAATTTGAGGGTTTTAAGAGAAAAACCTTTTGTATTTTCTAAATGGTCAATTAATCTTCCTGGTGTAGCAATAACAATGTGAGGTTTTTTAGCAAGAGACAAAGCTTGGGTCATCATGTCCATGCCACCAACGATAACAGCTGGGAAAAAGAGAGTTAAGAATAAAGATTAATACATGAAATATATTTATTGTCTGATATTCTGATAACATACCACATTTTACTCCGAAACTGGCTCCAAGAGCTTGAAATTGTTCATTTATCTGGTATGCCAATTCACGGGTTGGAGTTAATATGAGAGCAAATAGTCCTTGTGGTTTAGCTAAAAGAGATTCCAAAATAGGTATGGCAAAAGCTCCTGTTTTTCCCGATCCAGTTTCAGCCAAACCAATAATATCTTTACCTGTAATCAACAAGATTTGAGCGAGGAAACAATAAAATAAGAAGTTAGTAAAATCAAATTAAAATGAAGTGGTCTTTAAAATTTGTAATACCTTCTAAAGCTACAGGAATTGTCTCAATCTGGATCTTTGTTGGTTTCGACCATTTCATAGCTTCAATTGCTTCACATAGAACAGCTGAGACACCCTAAATAGAATAAAATAAGAATAAAGATTTAGTTGAGGTTGGTTGACACATTAAATAAAAGCTTACCAATTGCTGGAATGTTGTTTCTTCGCCTTCATTAGCTTTAGATTCATCATTATCATCACCATCCTCGTGGTCAACTCCACTGCCATCATCATCAACATCAGATTGATGTTCTTCTTCACTTAACTCTTCATGATCATCGGCATCAGCATAATCACTTTCACTACTGGACATTGTAGTGATCTATTTAATGGTAAAATAATATTCAACTAAACCAAACACAACTTTAAAAATCAAAACAAATCAACTACAGTGGTTGAACCAAAAATGTACACTGAAGTGAAATCTTAAATGAAAAATATGCTCAATGCTTTAACCACGTGACAAAAAGACTTAAAAACCAAGTCAAATTTTAAATTGAAATCTAATCAAATAATCTGACAATTGATCGCGAAAAAAGGTTTCAAAAACTAAAATAATTCACTAGAAATTACTAAAATCACCATAAAATAATTGATTCGTTCAATTAAAACAATATAAAATAAACCTGCAATTTTATTTCAACAAAAGTAATATATAAATCTCCAAGAGGCTAGAAAAGTTAAGCTTTGCGCAGAGGCAGTACCTCAGGCTATGAAGGATTTCCTGAGCCGAGGTTATTGCTGGTTGAAAACTTTTCCCAATACCCCGCCATGACGACGTGAAATACCGTCGGCTTTGGCAATTTTTGGAAGCCCTAACCGGGCTAATTTGAATTCAAAAAACAGAAAGCACTTCAATCTTTCTCTTAACCGAGAAGGGATCGTCAATGAATAACTTTCAATCTCAATATTGAAATATCAATATTGAGTAAGAATAAGAGTTGACTAATTTATCATTTCACTCAAAGTTGTATTTTTTATTCATTTTCCACAACATTCATCGAAGATTTGTTTTGAATTTGAATTAAGAAATAAAATTATGAATAGAAGTAATACAGAAATGAAGATAATGGATTAAATCAAACAAAAGTAGAGTGATAATGAAATGAGTCAGAATGAGTTAAAATGAATTTATAGATAAAAGAAAGTAAATGGAATAAAGAGAAAAGGTGAAAGATTGGCGATAATTTGGTTGCGATTTTGTATCGTTTTTGAACTCTACAAGTTAGTTTGGTTCAATTTAGTTGTTGAAATTGTAAGGTGGAGGACGAGTATACATATGAGGTGGGGAAGTTGCTGAGGTTATCCAGTTTTCTTCAGAGTGTGGTGCACTAGGTGCAGATGAGTTTTGATACATTGGTGGGTTACGTCTAGCTTCATAAGGTATATCGGTTTGTTTTACGACTCTGTTGAAAAGAGAGTAGAAAATCAATTATTAAACATGTCAAGAATTAAGATTAAATTTCAACAATTAGCTGTTCAATTTTTAATACATACTGTGCCAAGGGAATGTCATCTTCTTCAAAATTTTCCAAAGTCACATCACTCAATGAAAAAAAAATGAAAGTCATTAATATGAGTCAAAAAGGATATAAATGTTAGTAAGTTAATGGCAAATTTTTGGCTCCACTTACGCGTCTAAATCGAGATGACGACGAGCTTTGGGTCGTTTTAATTTGCGAAATAAATTAGCCAAAATTGACGCACTTAGAGTGGCAGGTAATAATAAAAGAATTGCTGATCCCATACTAAACCAGTATCCATTCTATAAATAGTAATGAAAATACAAGAGTTATTAATCACGAGTCGTTTAAGAAATGGCATGAAAAAATAAACTTACATATGGAAGGACAATCTCTTTACAAATAGCAATTGTTGTTGCGTTAATGGCTCGACTTACGGGTTCACATCTACCAAGATGACTTTCAACCTAAGATGACAAAAAATTAGATTTATCAAAATATGGAATAAATGATTGAAAAACAAAATTATGTTTGATACTAACCTGATCAAACACATGCTGAGCATACTGGTCAATTAATGCTCCTAAATCATTAATAAAGTGTTCAGCATCTTCTTTAATAGCATTTTTACCATTCTTTTCAATTAAGTATTGTGCACTCTTAGCTTGCTTTATTAGGATTGTAAGAGCATCTCGAATTCCTCGGCTTCCATATGAAGATTTGTCTTTAATTTTTTGAGCTGCTCTATTCAACTTGGATAACGAATCCTGAACTTCTTTCAGCTGATTATGATAACCATCCAATATGATTCCAATATCTGCCAGCTCTGCGCTATAACTTATTTGTGATGTCGGTAGTTTTTTGACTTCTGCCTTAAGCTCAATTGAAACATTATGCAAATCCAAGGGGGTAATCTTTTGATACATTAAGTTGGAAAAAGATGAAAAATTGAGGTCATCTAGATTGCTGTCTTTTAACCTTTCCAGTAAAGAGGTGGCTTTGTGTGTAAGTATAACAATTGAAGATGGGTCAAAGTTAACATTATCAAGAAGACGCCTTAATCGAGCTTCAATCTTGTATCTGCCCTTAAATTCAAGTACATTACTTAAATTAAAACCAGCGATAATCTTATTATTGGGCAATTGGATGGAATTGTATTTATTTGGTTGTAAAACATTGTATAAGCTGGAATTTTGATGACAACGTGCGATAACATCAGCAATGTTGGGCTTAATTCCTCTGATCAAAGAAACTTGATCAATCGATTTACTAATTGTTCCATCGTCTAGTTTTTTCTGTAAAATAGCCATCAATTGACGGGTTTGTGGTTCTTCAGGATGTTCAAGGTAATAACAGCCAACTCTATCAACTACCGATCCAGCAATTGCAATCGGATAATTAGTGAAATTGATTTATTCTTTCTCTATAGACTAATTATGTTAAATCACCTATATATTTTCATTGGCAAGAAAATTTAATTGATCTACGATGGCAACATTAAAAGCCATTAAAGTTAAGATGCTTAATAGCTATTGTAAAGAAGTTAGACTTAACAAAAATAAAGTAGCTAAATAATAATAGAATTGACTACTAACTACTATCAAAACGAAGAGTCATCGTTGATTATTACTTTCTGGTGTATAGGTCATACTTAATACAACATACCATACTGTAACTTTCACTTGATAAAGTGTCAGCTGCAAGTTAAGATAAAATTGATAATGAACAATGACAATGAATTATTCTTTTTCAAGAAATTACTTGAAATATTAAGTTATAATTTCCAGCTTAATTGAGGATGAGAAATAAATAAATCATAATGAGTAAATGTATAATAAAGATTTACTTTAAATTTAATGTGTTGAAAAAAATACCATGTTAATGAAAGCTCAAGTTTACATCGAATTTGGAATTATTTTAGATTTAGATTTTAAACTCAACTCGTTAGTAATGCTCTACATTACACTGATGAATGTAATTGATTTACCATAACGACTCAACAAGTATAACAATGAATCCTTAATTTCTGAGCTATTTTTATGTTTAACTACAAATGTTTCAGAAAAAATCTGTACAGTAAATTAGAAATGGATATTCAAATTGGACAATTAAAAGCTAACTTTTAACTTGTCCACTTCTTTCTCAGCGTCTATGAATTTTTGATAGCTGTAACTTGACTAAACCCAAAAACAGAATGCACTCAAAACCTCAATTTAAAGTCATGGTTGGTTATAATTCATAATGGTTTCAGTGTTTCATTTTTGTAACAAAACCATGATAAATTTAGACTAATGTTACTTTTAATGTCATTTGAATATTTCTGGTACTTATTTTGGTCCTGATTCATTGCTAATTATAATAAGTCAATTTGCTATTTTGATTTCGCGTAGTGAGAAATTTTTTGGTGTTTTTGTTTTATACAATTTTGTTTTGTTTTAATATCAAGTTAAGGCGTTAACATGGTACAATTATATTACACAATAATAATCAAATGAGTTAATTTAGTTTAGTGAAATGATTAGTATCCAACAAATGTCTTATACAAATGAGATGAAAAAGAGTTATCGCCATAATGGTTACAAATGGTTGACTAGAAGGTTTTAATTTCCATCCTTTGCCACATTGTTTAATTGCTCCTTCCTACAATTGGAAAAGAAAATTAAATTAATTAATATCCTGACTAATCAATTTAAATGGAAAATTTTGATTGGTTTGATTACAAGAATATAGATTGGGTAGACTCTTGACAGCCTACCTCGGGATGAGTATTTTTACAATCTGATTGATTGGGTCTTCTGCGAGTTTGATTAACTCGTCGACGTTCAAATGTACAATCATCCGGATATTTAATTTCCATTGGATTGATTTTAACCCTTCGAGGTGTACAATGGCAGGATGTTTCAACAACAAGAATCAATAAATTGGTGTAAGGAACAGGTTGAATAATGTATTCCCTGAAAAAAATGAGAAAAAAAGAAAAGGCTATAATTAATATTTACAGAATGCAAGTTATTTTTAACTCTTTTTTTGCTGCTTTACTCTTCCCAAACGGAAATAGGAAATGATAATATTGTTAAAACTCAGCATAAAGTTTCATCATCAGGTTTAGATTCAATTTAATTAAGTACGAGATGAACATTACAAGAAACATGTAATGTTTAATAGAGTAGTTTGTCTCCAAAAAAAGGGTAACATTTGAATTGTTGAATGGAATCGCAAAAAGAGTGAATCTTGAGTTGAGTTGAATCACATTATCATTTCCGTTTTCTGTAATGGAACATTTTGAGTGAGAAAAAGTAAACAAAGAAGAGAAAAGAATGACGAAGAGATGAAAGAGAGTGACATACTCTTCACAAGCATCACACTTTGAATATTTTCCCTTGATTGATGTTTCGCTGGGAGCGTTTTGCATCTCATAAATGTAAAACTCTTTATCACATGGGTAAGGTCGAGTTTTATTTGGAGGTATTCGGCGGCCAGCTCCTTCTTCGCCAGAATACACACTTGGATCATCTGAAACTTCACCATCTTCTGGTCCATCGTAATGGTAATAGTAATCGCCGGCAACCAAATTACTGATATGTCCAAAAACAATCTCCATTGCAAGATAACTGATCCGTGCCCATAACCAGGTAAACAGTCTAATAGTCAACTGAAGAGGTGTAATAAGAGTTGATCCTGGTCCTGAACGTTGAATAACCTCAATACAAATGGCCTGGTAATCGTACATTTTTATCTCTTTATAAATGCCCTGGGAAACCATTATTTCAAACATGGGATAATCAACTTCACCATAAAATTTGCCAGTCTCATTGGACCTTTTGGAGACTACAACGAATCCATTATTGTCAACCAAGAAACAGTCAAATGCATCGGTTGAACAGTTAACATTGCAACCCTCGGTTTTACACAATGAAGAGAAATTGAAAAATCTTTCGGCAAACTTGTCATGACGGAATAGTAGACCAACAGCAGCTACTGGAGCAATGGATTTACCTTTGCCCAAAAATATGGCTCTAGAGCCTGTAACATAAGTTGAACCAGGTTTATCTCCTGCATCAAAGGGAACCGAGAAAACAAAGGCTGAAGAATTGAAACGATGAAAATCAACTGCTCTTTGGTAATACAATTCATCAATAGCTCGATTATGGGTCTCCATGAAAAGTTTTTCCGGATCTTCAGTGTTGTTATTTTTCTCTTCGGGTGCACGGTGATCTTCGAAACGAGTCAATCCTGATCGAGTGGCCACAAAAGTCAATGTAACTCCATACATTGTGGTGATTCGGTTTCTGTTCAAGTTGATAGCATTTAGTTTGTAAAAATAAATGAATCAAAAGAGAGAAGAGTTAGTTAAAATCAATAGAGAACTGTTATGAGCACTAATAGGTGCAATAGAAGATGCTTTGAAATTAAACGCAGCATCAAATAATGCAAGCATCTTGTTACGCTTTTCAGCACAAAATAAGATTATTGAATTTACTTTGTTTACAATTCAATATAAGGGGTTGCGTTGTAATAAAACCGCTACTAATTTTTAATGATTTAATGAACTCTACATGATGAGATAAACTCAAAGTCATAAAAAGTAGACTAAATCAAATAAACTAGATTCGATCTGATTTATGTTCATAATTAGTATTATTTCAATTTAACTGCAAACCCTTTAGTCTTTTAATGAGAAGATTTTTCTTGTGTAAACATTTCAGCAAGACGTAAGAAATGAATCTAGCTTCTTAACTCATAGACTGTTTTATAGTCATTTGATTTAATTTTATTTTTAAATTTAGTAATCAGCTTTAGATTCGTTATTAATTTAAATAATTTGGCCGAAGTGTTAATTTTTGCTTCAATGTTATCAATTGTGATCAAGTGTCATTTGTAATCCCAATGATAGTTCAATTAAACAGTGTTACCTTGGTAATAAAGCCAGAAGCAAACCTAATGGACTGTGTTGTGAATAGCAAGTAACAAAAAAGAGGTACGAATTTTTGATATTTTTTTAATTGAGAAATAATAATTTGACTTGTATTTTGATTGATTATTTTCTCATATAATTATCGTTTGGTCTCAAAGGTTTTGTCACATGGTATGGTCAATGCTCAATTGCAATAAGCAAGAACATTTTACATGCAAAATCTCTTTGTTCAAATCAACCAATTGATCAACCTGAGGACATCAGCTTGGAAACAACATGTAACCATTTCAATTAGCCACTCAAGGATCAAGATGATTCGATTCAAAGAGGTGAAATTGCAATAATCCATTACCTCTGTGAGAAACCAGTTTGGATTAAACGAGGCAGAGCATATAAAATTTGATAATTAAGAGTAAAAGATGGGAAAATTATCCTTTCCTGGCCATTACTTACTCAAATTTATCAGACATATTTGGTGTTCCACAGCGTTTAGCATCAATATCAGTTGCTTTGGCATCATAAACTAAACCTCGGACCAAGTCTTTTTCACCTGAAATTCAAAAGCAAAGTCAATTAATTATAGTGATTACATTAAATTCAAGTTGCTGCTTACATGTTAATCGAGGCATACGAACTGGAGGTTGCTTAGATGGCTCAAGATACCAAATGTTACTCTCATTTTCAGCAGCTTTCTTCAACATATGAAGGATTCCACCTTCAGGTGTATCAAAGACATCACCTCGTAAATTATCATTGTCACAATATGTCCAGTCAGGATGAACTCGCCAATTATTTCCACGGAAAAAGTGTGTATAATTTTCATCTCTGCGTTTAATCTCAATACCACCTATAACCCGATACTCTCCATATGGTTTAGGTAATGATATTCCCAATGAAAATGGTGTCCCATGGATTGGTTCATAACAATATTTGTGTTTCCTGGTTATGGCTCTTTTCTGAAAGTCAATTGAAAGCGAAATCGTATTAACAATTGTTGATTAAGCAAACCAAGAGGATCAACCATATTATCAACCCTAATGTTTAAAGTATGAATTCATGTTACAACAGCTATGGATGAAACTAAAGAGCAAATATTATTTTGTCAATTACAAGTTACACCTATTGTGATTATAATTAATGTTGCTGTTAACATTACTTCAAGTCAAAATAGTGGTTATGAGTTAACTTTGGATTTCAATGGAAAGGCCAAGGTAAATGGCTGTAAGTTAATTTATAATTACACCGTTGTAACTGTAATAACATGAAACCAAGGATGATAAAGTGTTGACCATTTGGATGGATTTTGATTCAAAATTGTGATAATTTTTGGTTGGTTGAAATGGGAGGAAGAATCAAGTGAGGCATAATTAAAGTCTATTTTCACAATAATTAGGCTTACCATAGAGTCAATATGCATTTTAACCTCCATACTGGTCCAGCCCGTCTTGGAGGCAATCATTCCCTCTCTCATGGCAACTAGAGTTTCATTATATTCCTAGTTTAATAATAACAAAATAATTAATATTTTTTTTGTTTGCTTTACTTTTCAGGTCATAAGTTCAACAAGCATCCAAGGATTCAGCGATTCAGGGAATAATGATTAAGAATGGTAAACTGGCCATTGGATGCGGAAAAACAAGGAAACATTGGAAAAGCATGAAGAATGAAGATAATTACCCGAGGCCCTTTTTCTGGATGGTTTACAGTTAATTCAACTTCCAGAAGATCAACTGAACTGTAAAAGGGTTTCAGCAAATCTTGAAACTATCAAAAGTAAAATTGGAATCAGTCAATAGTTTGAAACAAAAGTGAATGTACAAAGCAAAAGATATTCATTCAACATTCTTACCAAGGGACGGAGATCAGGATGAAATAGTATATGTCCATTGTTGTTTATTGCAAATGAATAACCATTGACCCCTAACTGTTGATGAAAAGGAATTAGAGACAAATTAGAATGACTGATCAAAGTGGACAATTAATTTGCTTACTTTATAAGCTGGTGTACGTTTAACAATCTCTCTAATTGGTATATCAATTCCAGCCACACCAAGTAAATTAGCTGATCGAACCTGAAAATTGAGTTCAAAAATAGGATAAGTTAATGGTTGATAAATGGTTCACATTAATGGCCATTTGACCCAAGACTTACCTCTTTGACTCGTTCACGCCAAACGTTTTTAACCAAAAACCTTTCAGTTATATTCTGGAAAAAATATTATCCATTAAAAGACACTCTAATGATGATTTGAAATGAAACTTACAGTTGTATTTTTAACATCAAACACTGGTAATGAAATAGTCGTCATCAATTCATGGACACCCTGAAAGATGGAAAATGAAACAAAAAAAATTGGATAATCAGTTGAATTGACTAACACAAACAATTAAAGAGTTCATCTTTGAATGAACTTTGATGTAAAATAATTAGAAAGTTGTTCATCTTAAAAGTCATTTTTAGTCTTATTTTATTCATAGAAACGTAGTTTAATAATCATCTGTGATTTTTTTGATTATAACTTTTTTCACTGTTAATCATACACTTGATAATGTGTAATTAAGAAACTGTTGACAATTTAAACTCTTTTAATTATAATGTGTATCAATGAGATTATTGGGATGAAACTTGCAAGGTTTTTAATGACATCTGAAAAGAGCAATTAAAATATAAGAAACAGTCTTTTCGCTCATTCATTAATAACCTTTAATTAGAGTTAATAATTTATCTAAATGCTAAAATAGTTCAACATTAAAAAGGGAATTTCAATGTTTTTTCATCCTCAAACTCAGTTCAATATAATCAATGAAAAAGATTCAACTTGAAACAATATTTTAAGCTGATTAGGATAAGTTGAGTTTTGATAAAAACAGAACAGAATTGAAGTTTAAAGCTCATTTGTGGTTAATGATTATTAATTAATGAAGATTAAATGCTAATGAAATTTTGACCATTCAATCGGATTATTCAACAGATTTGATCAGCGATTATTAAAATTCAAATCAAAACTAGTCATTCAAATTTCAAGCTTAGGGAAACCCAAATCTTAAAATCTTGTAACATAAAACCTCCATTTACCAGCTTGAAACGTCTATCGACATCAATCATTAAATTAATCACAATTGTCTTACAATTGTAGGTTCAACACTATTAACATTAACAGTTGCTAGATGATTCAAGTCTAAAAATAAAGTGTCCTGTTCGTGTTGTCCAGTTGATAATAAACCTAAAGTCTAAGGACAAGATGAGATCGTTAAGTTTATTGAAGACCATTGAATAGCGAAAGGATAAAGCTCATGCTCAACCGTTTTATTTTCATGTTTCTTATTGTTATCATCATTATGATTGTTGTCTATTGAGAGCCAATTTCCTCGAAGTATTATATCGACAATCGAGGTATACTCGAGATTCAGGCTGAACAATGGATAATTACATTAAACTTGGTGAATGTTTTTTTTTGTGTCAAGAATGGTCAATCATGATAGACTGTTATTTGTTTACCTAACATTTTACTCAATAGAGTTTCGAGTATTTTTTTTACTCAACACAATTAATATTAAATATTAATGGTTGGACAAGATGAAATTTTGTTTTTTTGCTCAGGCTATTTATATTGGTTAATAAAGTTAACCTTTTAGATGATCAAGAGTTGGCCATCTTGATGGGTATTTCAGTTGATTCAGTTAGAGTATTGATTTTCTCATTTAAATTGTATTCATCTTAATTGGTAACCTTTGAAATGCGTTTAATGTAAGTCGATACTTGGAAATGGTTTAACCGTGTACATAATAATGTTACAATGTAATACAATAATCCAACTTAATCTTGACTAATCTTATCATCTTAATGAACCATTCATGGTTCATTCAAATGTTCACATTGTTGTTATCCATTAAGCATGGATATAACCATGCAAATTGAGAAACAATTTCACCATGTTTCACTGGTAAAACTGTTCAAAACCAGAGAAGATAGAAACCTATTCAAACCAATTGGTCAAGACAATGGCACAAGACTGATTAAATGCTAATAATTGATTCTGCGATTTGAAGGAAAGACTAAAATGAATGGAAAAGGTAAGATTGGAATTTCAGGAAATTTCAAGTTTAAGGTCAACACAAATAGCAAATCACTTCATTAGTAAAGAAGAGTTGATTAAAGGCTGAAAAAGAGTTACAATTCAAATCATTAACTTGCAGTTTAAGTTGCTTTTAAGAGTTGATTGACTTAAATTAGATTGTTATTAAGAATTGCTTTTCATTATTATTGAGTCTGAAATTGATTATTTATTTTACAAAAATGAATTTGTGCTGAAATTCATCATTTTTGAATCATTTGCTCAATTGCAGTAACTTGAAACTTATTGTTAAATTTGAAATGTTCAAAGCACTTTGACATTAGATTGTCTCGAAAATTTGAAATTTATTTCTGTTTTTCTTCTTCTTTTTTTTGTTCAACAAAAATTCAACTCAAAATATTCTCATGAGCTCAACATTATCTCAAATTTCCAATTCCATCTGAAAAAAGATGAACTGAAAAGGAAAGTTTATATTGGCAACAAAATGGCAAGATTTACAAGGGAAGACCATTTGTGACTTTATTTGTAACCATTTATTGTAAACTCTGGAAACTCTGAAAACTTATAAATGTTGAGTGATTATTTGAATTTGGATTTCAACTGTTTTTATCAGCTAATAGTAATGATGAGAGGGAATTGAAGAGACTCTGGATAAGGCGGATCAAAAGGTTGATTAAAAATAAGATCAATTGTGTTCTGTGTAGCATTAGACAACCAAAGGGAAACCCAAAGATTGGATTGAACCCAAAAAAATAAACATTTCCAGGGAAGGATTTAGGTTTAATGAGATTACCAGAAATGCAATAAAAAAATATGATAAATGTAAATGTAAGATTGTCAACTGATTTGCTGGATGAAATGATATTTTGATATTAAAATAAATGCTGGTTAAATTGGTCAAGTTATCATTTTGATTGATCAATAAGATATATATTTTTGTTGTTGCTGTTGAAATTGTTCATTGATGTAATTTAAAGAGGAGGAAGATGAGAAATAAATAAGGAAGATAAAAGGAGGAGAAATGATGAATTCCCAGCATTCTCACATCATATTCAATCAATTTTCAATTGTTTTTCTTATCATCATTTTTTACGTTCTTACACATGAAAGAGAAACAAGAAGAAGAAGAAGATGGAAATGAAGAAAAAATAAATCCAATCTTCTTTCATGATTATCACTGTCAACCTGAAATTGTATGGTAACTGAGTAGTCATCATTGAGAGCTTTTAACTGAAAAAGAAACGGTTCAATATCTGGTAAAAATGAAGGTTAAAAGGACCAGAAAAAATGGATAAATTGTTATTGAGTTTATCTCAAGATTAACTTTATCATGTTTCAGTAAATTCAACCTGACATTGAAACGCCAATATTTCAATTCCAAAATCAAAATCTATTCAAGCTTCAATTCAAATGGTTAACATTGCAACAAAACAATAATTGAAGTAGAAATGACTTAATCTTGAATATTTATCTAAAATTTAACCCAAAATTTAACCCAAAATTTGTAAAACCAAAAATTGAATCACATAACTGGTCATTACTTAACCGGTTAAAATGTAAACCCAAACTCAACAGCAAACCCAAAGCTTCTCGTCTCTGAATTATCAAAATATTATTCAAAATGTTTACTTTGAACCTAAATGTTGAATGAAATGATTAGAAGCTTTGTATCAAGACAACATCATGGTTACTAATCCTATTACCTGAATTATTTGATGAGTAAATAATCTAGTTAACTCATGTTATCAAATAACAACACTGTACAAAAGCAACATCTACTTGTGCCAAATATCAGTCCAAGAAGTGATTATTCAATCGTCAAATTTATAATTAAAACCCATTGAAACGTTTACTTTTACCATTTTTTTTTGTGTCTACGTCAATTTCATCCATATGTCATTCAATATGTAATGTAAAGAAGGTTGCAAAAAAAGCATTAAACCAATCACTATTATCAAGTTTAATATGAACACAAAAAGAGCTTACAATGGAGGAAACATTCAGGAAGAAGGAAATTCTCATCGATCGAGATATTCATGGAACCATGAAAAGATATTTTTCTCTGTGTGTTTTTATTATGCATTACGGCTAGCGGTTATTATGTCCATTCAATTCATGGTTATATTACTTGGATATCTTTTACCTTTTTTTTTGTTTCTCATCACACTTTGTAAGCTTTGTAACATGCTATAGACATATCTTGTTACCTGGGTAATGTCATTGTTATCCAAGTGTGTCTGAGTTATCAGAATATTACAGCTTTATTGGAACTATAGAAATTTTTGTTTCACTCTTTGCTAGATTTCAGTTTAGTTTTTAAACTCCAAATGTTACTTTCAATTGTTATTGATGCTGGTTTCATGAGATCTCATTTTTACTCGTTTCTTCTTTATGTTTAAAGCTATAAGTTGAAATTTTTCATGAAAAAGTGTATCAACTTGAATAACAGTGAATTTTGAGACTTAAAGATTGCCTGATTAACTTGACTCCAGCTATAATCTTTGGCTTATTTTGTATGAATGTTGAAGCAAAGGAATTTTTTGGCTTTTTTGATGGCTTTTGATTTTAACCTTTTGACCTGTCAAATGACTAGATTTACAAAATTTAAATACCTTTTTGTCAGTAGATCTTTGATTATAATTGTTGCGAAAATTGAGTCCATTCTCATCTGATGAATCTGATGACAATTTGTCATTCAACAAGGAGCTTTGATGCTGCTGTTGTTGACTATTGATTGATTCCTTGTCCACTTTTACTTCACGAGTAATCCTTGCTTTTGATTCTTGGGATGATAAATTATCGACAGATGAAGATGATGAGGAAGGTAACACTGAATTGTCACCACTATCAGGATTAACTTGATTACCAACCAAAGGAACAGAAGTATCATTGAAGAAATTGTGCTTTTCCAGATAATCTTCATAATTTTTATCCTCCGGACTCAATGAGCTCAATTCACTTTCATCGGTAGGCCCTGGACTGTCATAGCCAGCATCACTTTCATAAGATGAAACATCACGAGCTCGACGATTAACCTGCAGACTTTTACGTATTTTTTCCCGTTCACGTTCATCCCAGACCCATGGAGTTAAAGGAACATCCTAAAAATGAACAAACAAAAAGAGTCATTATTAATCAACATTCAAGACACAATGAGTCAATGTCAATGACAAAGGGTTGATCAAAGCTTAAGGCTCCAATAAATCCAATTTACATATTTCAATGAATCGTTTATTGTAACCGATATATCGATTGATTGAGAAAAATTGATTAAATAAAATTGATTTAAAATGATTATCTTGATTGAACAATTTTTACATTATTTATCCAAGGGTCACAACAAAACAGATTAAGGCACAATGTTTGATTATTGGATGTTAACATTGAAACTGAGTTTTGTTGAAGATAAAATGAACCGACACTTGAAATAGATTAACATTCACAGAATGATTAACCATCAACTAATTATGTTGATCGTGTAATCAAATTTACTGTATAAGTGTATAAATGTTGAAAAGGCAATGTCAATTAGCGTAATAATATCGGAAAGAAGCGGAATTTTGTTTTCCCATCAAAAAACCATTTCATGATGAACATGCTTTTCTGTCTGATTAATTGTGATGTGTATTTATTATTAGACTGACTGTCTTTATATTGACAAATGTACATATAAATATAATATAAATTACATTGCATTACATGTGAAGATAAATTGCGAGAAGATTAATAATCAGTCTTGGCTTTTTTGTTCATATAAACTGTCACCATGAAAGGGATAAAAAGGGAAACTGAATGTGAAACCATTAAAACTGAGCAACCTAATAAGGTAAATTGAGTTGTATGATTGATTGTCGTTAGTACATTTTGCATCTTTTGCGGCCTTTATTCAACTCGAGTCATTGTCTCAAGTCTCATTTTAGACTGAATCTGATGATAATGATTCTGATGATTGTATAATGATGATCATATAAAAATAAGCAAATGGATTGTTGCATTTGTATAATTTGTTCATAAATAGATGACTTTAACCTCTTCTTTTAAAACCATCAAACGATCAACTGAGATTGTCTTGAATAATAATCATTAGCTTTGCTTGTTTCATCTATTGATCGTTTTCGGGTAAATATTTAAAGTCTAAATGCAATAAATCAAACTCCAACCTAACCAACCTTTCAGAAGCTTATTAAAATCAAATCAATTTTACTCGATCGCTATTATTGATTCAACTGTTTATATCTTTAAAATGTTATCAATTATTGAAATGAAATTTATCCAAATTGTGTCTGGAACCAAAATTTAATGGACAAAACATGAAAAAGTCTGAAAACCAGAAAAAGGTTGAAATTGAAAATTGATTGAAGTCAGGTAAAGGCAACTATTGAAGAATCGTAAAAAGATGAAGATCAATTTTCAACCATTGATATTGAAAATAATGTTCAATAGATTGACACATTCAATTGTATTATCATGTTGAAATTAATTCATGTGACAACTGAATGATGATGAATATTTAAAGTGAAATTTTACTGACTTGTGTTTGATTCAAACTGATGAAACGAGAAAGATTGGAGAAGGAAAAAAAACAGGGGAAAAACAATGCAAAAATGATCAGCTCTGAATAATTTGTAACCTCGTCTATTCTCACTGAACATTTCATGCAACACTTTGAATGACTTTTTCATTTTAAATGTAAAAATGGAAAAAAATGTTTAGCATTTGGTGAAACACTTTTTTTTATCAAATGTGAAATATTAATGTTTAAAGTATAGTTTATGAAAAATGTTGATATTGAATTTTACTGTTTGGCAAAAGGCAAATCTTGAACATGAAAAAATAGGTTAAGCTTTTGTTTCCATGAAAATTGATGGTTTCAAGTTTTGCATAAACAATATTGATTATGTGATAATTTGTTTACCATTTCAAATGTAAATGTAAAGTAGTGATTACACCAATGATTTCTGATCGATTTTCAGGCAAATCATGAAAATGAAATAAAGATTTAAGAAAAGCCGAATCAAGGAAGAAAATTTGATTGATTATTTTCCAGATAATCTGCAGTTAAATGTACCAATTAATGGATCTAAACAATTTTCACTTTTGTCTGCAATTCATTTACTTGATTTTTGGGTTAAGTTGGGTTGAGTTAGAAAAGTGAAAGTGATCGAAAAGGATTGAGCATTTTTTAAGCTTGAATCGTTTAGGTTTGGGTTTGGGTTGTGCTTACAGTTATATCAGCATAGACTCCAGTGAAACGAAAGACTCGGGCTCCAGACAGGACAAGAGGTCGACTCATGACGGGAAGGTAAAGTTGAACCTGTTCTCGTATCTCGGAAAGGCTGGTTACTTGTGTATAGTAACCTCTATTTTCACAGGCCATAAGGTTAACCTGTTTGGTTTCGGTAACCTCTTTACCAACAAGGTAGGTGAAGACACGTATCGATATGCGAGGATAATTGTATTGTTCAAAGATTTCACGGAAAGTATCAGGAGCACCATCGGTTACAAGCATAATGGCCTGATTACACTGTGATCCTTGGTTTGTTTTGTCTGCCGCTTGAAGAATCTCAAACGCTTTGGTTAGGGCACTTTTAAAGTCAGCAATGTCGGTTGTATTTAAATCGATAAGACTGTGTTTAAATTGAATCAAATTTTGCTTATTGGCTTCAATCAGTCGATCACCGAAACATTTAACAGTAGGCTCAAGATCATCAGAGAATCGTATTACCGTGACAAAATCATCATCAGTCAAAGTATCCAAAATGGAAGCCACAACTGCTTTGGCAATTTCCTTGCGTTGACCTGAACCAGAAAACAAAATATCAAAACCAATCAGTAAATCACTAGAACCAGAAAATTTCATCTCCAACCCAATCTTTCAAAATACAAAATAATGAGCAAAAAATACTCGATTCTAGTTTTTATCGTGAAAATTGGCTTCACTTGAAGAGAAACAAAAATAATGAAATGGAAAGTCTTTTGTTCGAGAAAATATATTGAATTTTCGGTGAAAGGAAAAGCTGATAATATATAATTTGAATAATAATTCAAGAGATAATCTTGAATGAATGATTTTGGTTAATCATTTGACGGTTAAATTGTTGATGAAAACTCATAACATTGAAAAATGTCTCAAAAGAAGAGAAGAGGATGAAAAGAGAAAGATGAAGATAATGACATGAAGAATCCTTTTTCATGATGAAAATCAAAAGGCGCCAGAATTGAAAACTTAGTCACGCTTTTGATTGAAATAAGCCAAGACAGTTCATGCCATTATTTAACTCGACTTCATTCTTAATATCAATTTATCATTCTTTCTGAATCTCTTTTCTCTTCTCATTCCATTCATCCTCTCATGTAACATACAACGGAAAGCATTAGCATTGAAAAACGAAGAAGAAGAAGAGAAATCGAAAGAAAGAGAGAAAAAAAGAGCAGAAAATTTCATCATTACCATCATGATGATCCATTTCATTTCGTGTCATTTAGATGCTCAGTCAGGTTACACTTTGCACATGTTTTCCATCTCTTTCTACCTAATCTTTCTTTATAATCATCTTCTTCTTTTCATCCTCTTTTTCATCTTCTCTTCATCCTTCATCTCAACCTATTATTTCAAGCCTTCATTTTCACAGATCGATACTGACTGGGAGTGCAAAAAAGTCCTTGAAACAAACAACACGACAAAATGTATTCACCAGGTTCAAAGGTTTCAATTTTCATCTCCATTCATTCAATCTGCTTCATCATCACCATCTTCCTCTTCCTCACACTTTGCATCTTCTTTTCCCTTTCACTCCCAAATCGATACGAGACTCAATCCAAGACAACATCATATTCAACTTAGCACATTGTCATACTTTTCCCATCCTTTCAATACTCAGACTTTCAAAGCATTCAATGATGGCAAAATGTTGGCAAAAATTTAATCTTCAAACTCTCCATTCAAATCCTTGCCTTTCAACCCAAATTTCATGTCAAACATTTTACCCTTTACTTTGACCAATCAGCCAATTTACGGTCCAACAACTTGAAGTCCATCAGTTCATCTTACCTATTAAGGAATGCATCTACAACATTCCTTTTCAACTCCCAGTTCAGGGAGGTTCGAGATTCACTTTTACTCCAAAATTTACAGATTTTTTTCTGTATAATCCATTTCATGATGAAAGTAGAGTTGGAAGGAAAAATTTGCAACAATCTTCATATTTGTTAGGTTAAACTTATTCAACAATCTTAATGGTTTTTCCTGTTATCTTTCAACCTTTTCAACAAATTGTGGAGAGAAAAAAAGTGAACCTGAAATATTTTACTTTTCCTCATTTTATACAGTTTCTGATTTTCCCTGAAATGGGAACAAAAATATGAAACAAAAAGTGAAAATTTTCACCTTCTGTTACTTTGCCAGGGAAAAAACTGATCAAAGTCTTTCAAGAACGCAAAAATATATTTATCATTTGAAACCTTTTCACATTTCTCTCCATTACTTTACCCAAATAAAGTAAATACTGAAACACTAGTTTTTCCCATTATTTCATCTCTTTTTATTTTTCCTTTGGTCAATCAATATAACCAGATGGACAGTTTATTCTTGGCCAAAACAAAGGTAAATCTTGTGGCAACAATTATACTCGAGTTTGTATTTTTAATGTCGACAACTTTTCGAATGTAAACTGCAAATTCAGTTTCCTTTGCATTTGCCAATTTGAATCAGTTGAATTCATTGAAATTCATCTTAAAATTTACTCTTCAGGAAACATAAAAACAAACAAAAATTTACAACTGTTGGTTGAATAATTTGATTAAAAACGATTTCGTTCAAGTCATGTTTTCATCGGAAATTAAACGATCCAACAATTGTTCAAGAGCAACAGGAATCAACATTTTTTGTACCAAATTTTATCGTAAAATCTGGAAACCGAAGCTAATTCAACAACAAATTGATCAGCAAATTGATTTAAAATTAAATTATCGAGTAAAACAGGTTTAAATGAGTAATTAACATAAATAAGCCAAAGACTTTGTGATTAATCCAAAGTGAATCTGGTAATTTAACCCAAATAGCAACCTTGTGATCTCATTAAGATTCTGATTGAATGTAAATTATCACCGATCAGCATTGAATCATGATCTTTGTGACAAGAAAATTGGTCAATTTAATCATGATTTAATCTTGAAAACTCTGAAAAGTGATTCACCGAAGAGATGAGTTTATTTGCTGTAACAGTTGAGACTTTGGTTTATTTGAAAACAATTAAATGCTTTAAAGTTGATTGAAATGTCAAAATGATATTGTAAACTGATGAACAATGATAAAAGAATGTTAAAAATGAAATTGAACTTTCATGGTCTTGATTAATTTCTGGTATTGTTTCAAAGGAACCAGCTTTCTCAATGGAAACCATTATTAAAGGCTGAGAGTGAAGTTTTTTTGTGATTCTCCCATTTTTATTAAATAACAATAATAATGATAATAAAGACGATAATAATGATGAAGAGTAACAAGAAGCAAAATCATTTCCACTGAACCTGTTGGCATAATTTCATTTCTCATTTTTTTGCATATTATTATTTCTGATACTATAACAGGGAGTGAAGAGCAAAAAAATGATTAAATAATGAAAGGCAAGTGATGATAGTGATGACAGAGAAATGATTGTGATGATTATCATGAAGATAATGATGATGACAAAAGTGATGAATAGAAAAGGCTAAAGCAAGATGAAATGAAGAGAGAGAAAAATCTGTGAAATGAAAGATTCTGATGGTAATGATGATGGGAAAAGATGAACGTTTCAAAAATTATTAAAACGTTATTTTGGAACAAGTTGCATTTTTGCTGAATAAAGCTCAATATTTTGTTGAAACAATTTCCATTGTTTTCCAGATGAATGTAAATCTAATTGTTAGCAATTTAGCTGCTAAAGACTCATTAGCAAATTGTAAAAGGCAAAAGTAGAGGAAATTTGTTCAAGAAATGAACATTTAAAGATTGGAGTAAAAAGATGGAAACAACTTTTTCCTCGGAGTTGGTTGAGGTTTGGAGATTGGAAATTAATTGCTGTAATTTTACAAATTGTTGGTGAAAAAGGATTTGATTGTTGAGTAGGAATGAAAAGGTTTTATCAATTGTCTACATTTTTCGGTATCGATTGGGTTATAACCCATGTAACATTGAAGGGATTGAACCAGATTCTTGGATAATAAAGTAGCTCTAGTCACGTTGATTATTGTCATCAATTTTGATATCATGTGAGAGGTCAACATTTGTCTGTTACCTGATTCATGGAAAGGTCATTGATAGTGATGAATTTAATGACAAATCAAATTAACGGTAACTGATATGCTCTGTCATTATCAATATTAATCATTTCTGGTCAATCGCCATCAGCTAATTACTGTCAACAATGGCTGGATATTGAAAGCATTTCATGTTTTCCCTTCAAATTGCCTTCATTTACTCAAGGATATCCATCAATTTACTGTCCTTTGAAACTGAAACTTACTATTAGTTTAGACACTTCACTCTTTGCCTCTGCTGGCAATTGAAAAGATTTTATAATTACTAAATTATCCAACAATAAGACAACAATTTACAACTAAATAACAAAGAAAGTCTTCACAAAATGCTTTAAAATATGGATTCTCTTTTAAAATTTTGAAATATGGATTCTGTGTTTGTCCGAAACTCAGAAACCTGAATCCTGTGACTATTTAGATGCTTGATTCAAATGGGAAATACTTTCTTGAAAAACTGTTTAATCACAATTAGAGTACGAAATAATGTCAACTTATGTATAATTATTTACAAATAAAATATATTTGGAAGTAAATCATTTTTGATTGACTTTGCTATCGTAAATGATCAGCTTAAATGATACTTTTGAAAGTAAATATTAATCATGATAATATTTAGTTGCACTATTAATGATTAGTAACACTTTTACATAGAGCCTGGTGTTTACACAAGGTAGGATCAGGATAAATGAAACACAAAAAAATACAAAACCAAACAAGTCAACATTGACAGCAAACAAACAAAAAGTTGTGACAATGTTGCTCTTAAGAGGTATTTTTGGGACTAAAAAAGGCTCAAAGTGTATTGAAAGTTTGTTGAAGTAAACCAAAAGATTGAGTTTTCTGGTAACAAAAAGTAAACTGAATAAGGTTGAATCTTGAAAATCGATATTAAAATGAAAGATGAACAGAATAAGGTAAACCCAAGATGGTAAATCTGTTTATTAATTTGATTTTTAGGTAAAACTTTGTAGTCGATACTCTAAAGCATTTCAATAAACTGTTTGACAAAATTACTGAATATTACAGTTTCATTTCAAATTTGTAAAAAGTTAAACTCTCTAGCATTTATAAGTTAGTTTTGCTAATCAAGAAAATTCAATCATCAATCAATTTGAAACGATTAACATAATTGTTTCAATGGTTTGGTTTAATGGTGATTTGAAAAAGTTCATTGTCTTGAGACAACTCGAATGTCTTTCAATTAAATAATGTACCATTAATATTCAGGTTCAATCCCTATTATTGCAAATTAATGAGTTATCTGGTAACCAAGGATTTAACTGAAACTAAACAATTGTAATCATTGATTATTTGTCTTTGAAGGTGAAAAATTGCTGAATCAAGTTGAGTTAGCTCGCAAGATGCATTTGATCTGCAAAATATTGAACATTCAAACTGGATTCTCTTCCTGTTTCGAGTAAATTTTGATTTTGAAAGATTCGATTCCAAGCTTTAAAATTTAAATTCTGCTTCGAAGGATATTTGCTTGAGATTGAAGAAATACAGTTTGACGATTAAAAGGTCCAAAGAAATGCTGAATCTCTGCATTTTCCAACCATTCGAACAATAAACAAATCTTTTTGCAAATTTTGAGTTCGATTGACAGTTTCAAGAATGAAAAGTCTTTGACAGTTGCAATTAGTTTCATTTATCGGACGGAATCCATTCTATTATTCTGAATGCAAGTCTAAAGTCTTCGCCTAATAAACAAGTAAACTCGAAGCACTTGTCACAATAATGAACATATAACTAAATCCTGAATCGATTTTTCACCAAAAAATACTTCTTCTTTTGAAAGCCTTTCGAACATTGTTAACAAGTTAAATTTGAACACATTCACAAGACACTAAACTTGTTGGACAAAGAAATGCAAATTCTGGTACAAAAGTCTTTGCTCTGGTCAATAAGTGTTTGGACCAACCGAGGAAATGCTGTGAATCTTTATTGGATTGTTAAGCGAGAAAAGGTTAAATTGTGATTTATTGAAAGTGAACTTCTATTGACTAAGATTTAGATTTATTCATAACTTAATCGATCGAAGCTGAACTGAACCTTGCATTTGACCATTTGCTGCTCTTTTAGCTTGACTTGTCAATTTTAATTTGCCATTTGCATTGTTTTTGGCCTTTTTAAGAGAAATTGATGTTGATGTCTAGTGAAAAATTAAGTAAATCGTTTTGAGAGAAGCTTTGTTTTCGCTATTTTGTTTTATTGTGATTTAATGTTTCTGCAAAGGTTTGCTCGAGTTGAAGACTCATGAGGATTTCATGTTCACAGGTTCATCTAGGTTTGGATGAAATCTTTAAATTGAATATGCATTTGCGGTGAATCCTTACTCTTATTTAATTAAATTGAACTGTTCATTTTTATATTCACTTGTCTTTCATTTTTGCTTCTTTTTGTATTAATATAGCTTCAAATTTTGGTTAATAAACATTTTTAAAGGTAATTCTTGAATAAACGATAAACTGCTGTCAGTTTCATCCATCGTCAAATTCATATTCAACGGAAAATATGCAAATCTAATCAATTTTGACAGCTTTTCAAGTCGTGAAACAACAAAAGTTGTAAATAATTTTCACTGAGAGCTTCCAAAAATCCATAAATGATCATTCAAATCCTTTTTTAAACATCAATTAAAAGCGAATGGAAACAAGTCTGACATCATTTTGATCTCAATAATCGAGCGAAAGAATACAAAAGCAAATCGTAGCAATAATATTCCGATTTTTCAGGTAAAACTAACAAGCTTGTAAGCTTAATACAAGCTTATTTGCTTCAAAATTGAATTGCAAATGTCTTTCATCGATAAATTTGCAACCTTACACTCATTCGAATCCTAAAATATTAGATCAAAAGTCCACGAAATTAGCATTAATCTTGCTATATTATTAGACCAAATTGTTCATAAGTACGCATTCAAATTAGAAGTGATCAAGAAGTATATTGCTAACCATTTCACCAAAGTTAAAAGCAACAGCAAATGCAAAGAACTGCAAAATTGCTATGATTTTAGTTTATAATTGTTGCTAGATTTGCTTCTCAAAACGCAAAAGAATGTTTCATTAATTTTGTTTCTCTTCGATTGTTAATTATGCCTGTCTGTGTGTGTCTTCGTTTGTTAAATGCGCTGCAAGTTATGCAGTTTAAATCCGCTTTAGAGTTTAAAACGAAATGAAAATACTTGGAATGAAAAAAGCGTCTAAAATTGTGTTTAATGGTCTTGTAACTTACCCGTCATAGAGCCACTTCCATCAAGCAGTATAACTACATCTTTAGGTGATGCTGCTGCTTTAACGTACCATTCACGGACACGACAATCGTATAAGTCAAGCTTTTCTGCCTCTGGATCGGGTTCAGTGAGAAACTGTGGGACTCGCCATTTTGAGGCGGGAAAGAAGCGAAGGAATCCTTTAGAAGAGCAAAAGAATTGCCAGTTAACTTCTGAATCGTTTACATGATTGTAATCAAATTGTGCATCCAACTTTTCCGACCATTTGATTGCCTCTTTTAAATCTTGCTTGTCCTCAAACACATTGGTTGGTATGTGAACAGCCGACTTTTTATCATAAACGGGAACATTGCGAAAAACTGATTGAGGTGTCAGTAAAAGAGAGTAATCCCGTCCATCTGGTGAAGCATCTTTATAGTTGACTTCGGTAACATCGTACAAGCGTTTTGAATTGATGTAACTAAAGTCATTGTAATTATCTTCAGAGGCCATTTCAGCAGCTTTTTCCGCTTTCTTGGCAATCTTTTCGACCATTTCTTTCTTCCAGTTGAACATGTTGGTTACCATTTCCTTCATCTGTTGCAGCATACTTGGACAGTCGACGTTTTCAACTTGAGGTTTTAATGCCGCATAATTCTGAAAACAACAAAATGGATTAGTTAATTAGCACCAAACAACACTAAAACAAATTTAGATAGTTGACCAAATTGCAGAGAAGATGCAAAACATTGATTCGCAAAGAAACACAATTACACAGTTTAGTCACAAAATACTAAAAGGCTAAATATTAAAGCAAGATTCATCTTTTAAAGTGAATAGAGAATGGCTTTTACTGTAAAAAGACACAATCATCACAATTGTTGCATTTATACACAGATTGACACACAGGTTGACAAGAATAGGCGAAAATCGGGTAAAAATAAATTTCCTTTGAATTTAAACTCAATTAGTTTGTTAAGAAACAAAAACTGAGTCCGTTTGTGCTATTGAAAAAATTTCTCGCGTCGATAGTTTTCGAACAAAGCGAGTTCAAAGTTGAGACTTCGATCGCTGTTTGTACAATTATGGCAGTTGCTTTTTTCATGAAATTCATTTCGCAGATGTACCTTTTCATGGTCGATCATAAAATGTACTTATTTTGAGAAAAAAAACTTTCAATGTTCTTTAAAACAGATCAGTTCGATTTTAATTCAAAGTGACCGCATTCTTCATCCGTAATAGTTAGATATCTGAAACTTAGTATTTGTCCATAAAAATTGTTACCACAAATCAAGGATCAAATAATTTTTTCAATCCATCAATGGTTCTCTTAATTTTGGCCATAAACCCAAAAATTTTGAACCTCAATATTTCGAGAACGGCATTACCTACAATCATCATTTTTTGACTAAATACAAGATTTCATTATGGGCTATAATTTATCATGAATATAAAGTTATTCAAGATCCTGAAAAAAACTCAGAGCCTTCTATTACTTTTGTTACCAGATTTTAGACTTGATTTATTAAATTTCTGGTTTCTCTTATCTCTTCAAAGAATATTCATTATTAAATGAATTAACTAGCGTTTTATCCGAAATTCAATCACATTATCTCATAGTCCATAATGAAATCTAGTATTTGGTCAAAAATGATGATTGTAGGTAATGCCGTTCTCGAAATATTGAGGTTCAAAGTTTTTGGGTTTATGGCCAAAATTAAGAGAACCATTGATGGATTGAAAAAATTATTTGATCCTTGATTTGTGGTAACAATTTTTATGGACAAATACTAAGTTTCAGATATCTAACTATTACGGATGAAGAATGCGGTCACTTTGAATTAAAATCGAACTGATCTGTTTTAAAGAAAATAGAAAGTTTTTTTTCTCGAAATAAGTATATTTTATGATTGACCATGAAAAAGTACATCTGCAAAATGAATTTCATGAAAAAAGCAACTGCCATAATTGTACAAACAGCGATCGAAGTCTCAACTTTGAACTCACTTTGTTCGAAAACTATTGACCAGAGAAATTTTTCAATAGCACAAACGGACTCAGTTTTTGTTTCTTAACAAACTAATTGAGTTTAAATTCAAAGGAAATTTATTTTTACCCGATTTTCGCCTATTCTTGTCAACCTGTGTGTCAATCTGTGTATAATTGCAACAATTGTGATGATTGTGTCTTTTTACAGTAAAAACCTTTTGCAGCAACAACCTAAAACTTATTAACTCGACTTAAACTTAACTAGATCGAAAACTGATGAATAGATCTAATAATTCTCAGAAAAGTCGAACTAATTTTGCCTTTCTCTGAAGAAGAAGTTCTTGCAGATTTTAATGAACGGAGTTTCAACTGAATAAATCTAATACTTCAAAGTTTATGGTAACACTGAAACAATAGCTAGTTTAAGCTCAAATGCAGTCTCAAAATTGTTGTTCAACTTCAGATGCAATGGATTGCGATTGCTACTCATGAATGCTTGAAGACTCAAGTAGCTTGAGGATGAAGAGTACGAGTAAAATTTAAAGTGCAACAATATAAATGAGCAAACAAAGGCCCTTTAAATTGATCGAGAAATCTATTTTAATAATTAATATCTGTGTTGATGAATAGATTTTATAGCAATAAAAGAAGCTAAATTATTGCCGTTTATTGTTATTGTTATTTATTGTTGCTTATTAACTTGTTGATAAAGGACAAACCTTATTACTGTCTCATCAAATCCTTGTAACTTTAAATGGCTATTATTGACAACTCAAACTAATTTAAACATAATATTGCAATAAAATGAAATGTGTGCGTGTTTTTAATTTAATTTTCATTGCCATTGTTGTCTATTTAACAATGTTGCTATTTAACTAACTGTTTAAAACCGTTAACTAGTCATTATATTGGATAACTTTGAATATTAATTTATCCATTTAATGACCATTTTTACATTTTAACAGACAATTGCGGACTTTTTACCGGTCTGGTTAAAAACTGGTTAAGATCTGGTAATGAATTGTAAATGAAAAGAGGAAATGTTAAGGTTAATCAGTTGATGTTCAATCACAATCAATTTCCTCTCTCTTTTTTGATTCAGTTTTAATCAACTTTCCTTCAACAATCAAATTGAACTGTTTACAAAAGGCATAATGGAATCATGTAATGGTGTGAAGATGAAGATGAAGATGAAGACACTGATGATGGGAATGGAGGATAAAGCGATAGATGCTAAAAGAAAGTCAACTTTTGCTTCCCTTTGACAGTTTCAAGAGTCAAACTAATTGTATTTTGTTGTAAAGAAATGCTAGTTCAATGCTTGTTCAGGGAAAAAAATGTGAACAAGCTTCAGAAGCAGCTCGAATGAAGTAGCAAAAGAATGGAAAGAATTACATTTTTGATTGTGAATTCAACAATAGTTACTCATTTGTTCAGCAAACAACATGAGGAACCCTAAAATGATAGTTTTAGATCCTTTTTTATATTTGGATCGATATCACTGAATCACTGACATGTTGACCAGAAAATGCAACTTAACTTCAATAACTTTTGTAGTCTCATTAAACCTAATAAAGTCTGGTTACTTGCAAAGGATCCAAATGGGTTTAATGATAAACTTACTTCTTCAATTTTCCGTAGACAAGTTGCTTCGGCACTTCCTTCGTAAATATCCTTGCCGAACCTTAATGCCCAATATTTTACACTGAAAAGTAAGCGCAAGAAAATGAAGCAACATTTTAACCAGAAACAAAAGGTTTTCGCTTTGAAAGTTGTTTTCAATTTTTTGGTAAATTTGGGTTTACTTACTTATCTTCACTCACTGAAAGTGAACTTATTAAGGGTATAATTGTTATTAACAAAATTAATCCTAAATTGTTAACATAAAATAACATTGATTTAGCATCTTTGAATGGTTGATGAGTACAATAAGTTGAGGTTGATCGTCTTTTAGTTGATCTACCTTGCATCCTTGAGCAAGACGGCAATGAAAGCGCTGTTGGTTTAGTTGAACTGGAAATCATGGTTAGTGGAGATTCAATGTGGTTAATGGTTAGTTAAATTAAATATGCAAAGTTAACCATTAAAATGATGGAAACATGATGAAAGAGGTAAACATGGGATTCCTTGAGTTTAATGGGAAGTCCATTGGATTGATAAAGGTGTGTGTATGTTGGGTTTATTAGGTTGTTATTATACGTGTTGTTGGAAACTGTAAATGTATATTTTTTGGAACAATTTGATAATGATTGATTGGAATGGACAATTGGTTATTGATGTAAGTATCAAAATTTTGGGAATGGCAAAGAGATGTTGAAAAAAAAGGAATCAATCGGTAAAGATGAAATGAATGTAGTTTTGTTTTAATGGGTTTACAGTTAAAGGAATAGGCATAGTAAAGGTAACTCAATGGGAATGATGCTGGTAATGGGGAAAAAAGTGAAGTAACTGGTTAACAGGAATGCTTCCTTTACCAAGTATCGATTTTACTTCCAAAGCTATACTCATGTTGTTATCTTGAAATGATCATGTGAAGCGTGCGTAGATTCAATTGTAACATTGAGCCTGTCCATTATGAGTTACCATGAAAATAAGAAACTAAATCAAAACAAAACTGGCGAGAAAAAAATTGAGCAAAATATCGGTTCCCATCGAAATGGGTTTGAAATAAAAAGCGCAATCTACTAACTACTCTTGTAAGCTGTTGAATTTAGATTGACTTTAGACCTTAATTTAGTCTTGAAATGAATGTAATTTGATGCCTACTTTTGTTGGTCAATTAATTTAGTTTGCCCATCAAAAACAATTAACCAGAAATTTGAGCATCGATAGTTTATTAAAGTAAAAATTGATTTGCAGAAAAATTTTCCAGTTCAACATTTTTTGGGTTTGGAGAGATGCAAGTTTTTCAAAGTGAAATCGCGAGTTTGATTAGGAAAATTAAAGGAAACAATTGATGAATTTAATAAAAATGAGTTTATTTTTAGAAATTAGGCAAAAATTTGACTCGAGAATAAAGTGAATACAATTAATTTGAATGACAGGCAATTTTGATATAATTTTTCCTTCCCAACAAGAAGACTAATTGTTTAAATAATAAAAAACACATTTGATGGTAAAAAACGGTAAAGAACAGTTTTGATACAAAATTGATGAGAATTTTTAGGTTTTCAAGATTGGTGGAATGGTCATTTGCGCTTCCTTTGACTATGATAGACGTGTCTTTTGGAAATGGCTTTGAAAAAGTTGATTGTATTTTTACCCTCAATGGAATGGTACTTTTTGAGATGTTTAAAGGCACCACTTCGCCAGGCAAAGGTAATGTTGCACAAAAGACATTGATAATTTTTCTTGATATTGTAATGTTTAATGTTAATGTGATCTTGAATGTAATCTTTGTTGTTTTTCGAGTAAATATCACATATTTGACACTTGTAAGACCCTTTACCGACATATTTGATGAACTCGGTTTTCTCATCACCTGCCGAGTTTACATCCAAAATTACATACTCAACTGGTTCCTTTTTTTTGCGTCTAGTTTTGGTACCAGTGGAACAGCTATTGGCACCATTGGGTTTGACTGAAGATGAAGACACTGTTTGGTTCTCAGACGATCCAGATGAGAGGGAAGATGGACCTGGTAAGGCTATAAGTGGATTGGCCGATGAGGGTGAAGACGAGGAAAGTGTTGGAATACAAATTGTTTCACTGGTTGAACCAGAAAATCCGTTTAAACAGTTAATCAAGGAACCTTCAACTGAATTAAAATTTTGTTCACTGTTTCCACCATTGTTGATGTTATTGGCAACAGCGGCGTTTTGCATTATTTCACTGAACTTTATTTCAAAGCCTTCATGGGCAAAATATTGATGAGGTCCGTCTTCAGTGAAATATTGTTGACCGTGTGAACCAAAATCGGATAAAAATTGATGATTATATTGGGATGAAGTTACACCATCGGTTGTCGTCGTTGTTGCACTGTAATGTTGATGATGATGGTGAGTGTGGTAACCAGTGTCGGTCAAAAGTTGATGGTTAAACTGGGGTGCAACCACAACGTCAGACGAACTATACTGTTGATTTTGATGGTGATGATGGTGATGGGAATGGTGACAATTGTCAAGATCAATGTGATGCGGAGCAAAGTTGGTGTTGGACGAGTTTAAATGATCAGCTCCAATCAATGTGCTTGTCCGATCGTGTGGCATCTCATTCTCATAAATTGAACCGGTAAAGCCATTTGTTTCATTGAATATAGAGTAGATGGAAGGTAAAGGTGGATCATAATTGAAACAGTTACCAGAAATTGAAAATTGCCAAAATTCCATGGAAAATTAATGATCAATTGAAAGCACCAGAAAAAAAGACAAACTTAAAACAAATGGATCAACAGGCAAACAAAAACTGGCGAGACAAATGGGTTTTCAATCAAAGGGGCAATCTTTTTTTTCTGGTTATTCAACAAAACAAGAGCAAAATGTAAATGCGTTTAAAAAGCCGAGAAACAATAGCGAGTTAAAGATAATGAAAATAAGATGACAAAAATGAAGTGAAAAATAAAAGGAAAGGTTTAAGAGGGAAAACTAAATAGACAGAAGGTTAGACAGAGAAATAATTTGATGTGTAGAATCCATTAATAGCAAATACTAATTATTATATTTTTGATTGTGCAAAAGCTGCAAAGCTAATACTGACAAGACTAAGGAATACAGCAAGTTGATCAAATTTGTGCAATTCAAATCCTAGATTGTTGTCTGGTTTCTTCGGGCTCAGCTTATCCACCACATTAACCAGTTTAACTCAAACTTATTTCACTAACTTTTCAAGTCACTTTTTCCTCCTCATTTTCATCACATTTTCATTTTCCCTCCAACATAACCCACAACTCCAACTTTCAGAACCCAATTTTTAATATCGGGTTAAGGGACTTCTTTCCACCGATAGTCCATCGCTTTTCGGTGGAAAGAAGTGACTTTAAAAATGTTGAATAAACTGGTGAAAATAACCTTTTTTCACAAAAGTCCTCCTACATGTAACTGTTTTTCACGACATTAACCGCTTTTTCCTCACCTTTTTCCCATAATTGTAAGCCACTACATTCACCTCTTGTCCATCACTTAAATTGACCAAACTCACATTTTCGGTCTTTTTGTCAACCTTATTGTCCACCGTCTCTCTGATTTGGTCAATATGATTTTTTGATTATTAAGAGATGAGCTTCAAAAGTGGTGGACAATTTGGTTGTGGTGATGTGTTTGAGTGTGGATAATATGAAATTGTAATAATGTAATTAATCCCGAAATCACTGTTTTTTTTGTTACAATGACAATTGAAATAAGGAAAAGTAGCAAATACAATTTGTAAAATAGCAATATTAATTGTAATCAGAAAGTTAGCAAAAGAAAAGTGAAACAATCTAATCAATTGAAAGGGTATTCATGTTGATTAATCCATTGATCTGAATATTACGGGGTAATCCATTTTAGGTTTAAACTGGAAGTAGGAATGCAAAGATAATCAGTGAGAGTGTTTTTTTTCTTAAACCAATACAAACATTCAATCAATCACGAATATGAAAGGCATAGTTAATTATACAAATAAAAAAATGTGTGAAAAAACATTTCAAATCAAAAACACTTGAATTTGAAATTGTATTCATCATAATTATCAAATTCAGTACGGTAGGTTTTACAGAGAATCAAAAACAGAGTTGGGTTAGTTAGTAAACAGAAGCAAGTCCATGAAATAAAGAGTTGAATGTCGGAATCAAAATTGATGGATATTCTTATACATAATAATTTTACAATATTAATACAATTATATAATTGATTTGCGGTTGTATTAAATGAACAATCATAAGGACGTGTGATTCTTTTTGGTTAGCCAAGTTGGTAATTGATTAATGGTCACTGGGCAAGAGATTGACACTTCATAAAGTATGTTTTACAAAATATCAAATATGGCATTTGTTCGCTAATTGTATGTGTGTGTGTGTTTCCATCTTCGTAATCAACAGTGATTAGAAGCACAATAATTGGATTGTAAGAGATACAAAGAGTCAATAAAGTAGTAATTAAGTCTCCTAATAAAACACTAATAATATTGAATTGCAATAGACAATCACATTTTGTCTCTCGAGTTTGGATTCACCTCAATAGAAAGGTGAAGTGATTATCGGTTTCAATCATTGATATTCAATTAAATTGAATGGTCCACCATCGTGTGACTTAAAAGGCTTCAACAAAACTGCCGGGAAATAGTCCAGTTTTACCAGTTCGTTGAAGGGTTCCTTTATACCAGCCATCTTCTCGTTTTTTGAGCACGTAAACAATATCGCCGATTTGTAGTTCAAGCTCGTAATCAGTGTGTGGAGGATAAGGCACTATACATCGATATCGTTCTCGATAAATGGTTGATGATTGAGAAATTAATCCTCCAATTCCACCAGATTTCGATGAATGATGGTGATGATGGTGAGAGTGGGAATGGTGATGAGAATGGTTATTCAATGCCTCACTAGGACATGAACCGGAGCGTACATGGGAAATGTTGGTTAATGAATTACTTGTACCGGGATTGGATAATACGGTGTTGTTTTGAGATGGAGATGTATCAACAAAGGTCGGGTTATCACAGGAGAAACCATTGGCATTTGGCGGAGGTGATTTCGATTTCTTTTTTCCTGAAGTCCATCTTCTCATTAAACTGATTCGCTCTTTTTTGGGCTCTTTTCGTTCAGTGACTGATGAACAGGAGGATGATGCTCTTGGTGCATTTATAACAAACGGTTTACCATTATTATTATTATTGTTACTAGTACTACTTAAGCCACTTGAAATGTTGTTACCAGTAAATCCGCTGTCTGACAAGGATCCAAATGAGGCTGATGAAGCTGATGATGATGATCCGGTTAAGGTTCGAGTAGCAGCAACCTTAGGCTTATGCCATTGAGGTGATGTGCTTTTGGGTGAAGATTCATTGGTTTTTTCAACATTGGCTAGTTTATCATTTTCAGAGGTTGCCGTTAGCGAGATCGCGGATGGTCGAGGAGGCCTTTGAGGTGGCTTGGACCAGAAGCTTTGTTTTTTACCAGCCTTCTGATTGTTATTGTTATTACAGGTATCTTTGCTATTCACGTTATTGGTTGGACTAGTGAGACATTCAGAGATTGGTCTTGGCCGTGCATAGTTTTGAAATTTAGAACCATTTGAAATTGAATTGGTAGATGATGATGAAGGAGGTATGGGTGGAGGTTGCAGGGTTGGTGAAAGTGCCGTAGATCCGGGTAAATTGTCTGAATTAAGTTTTGCTGGTGGAGGTGGCAATGTTGGCTTCATATTGATTGAGCTTTCTTTATTGGTAAACGTGGATGAAGTTGATTGAGAGATTGGTAATAATCCATCGGAAACTGGTTCAAGACGATTAACTGGATTGCATGGGGATTGGGTCATCGAGTTTCTATAAGTGAAAGAAACCAAGTTTTAAAATTAGTTAGAGTTAATAATAACAATGAAAATCTTGAAAATTATTCATGTAGTGATAATAATCTTTACTTACTTTGCTAGTTGCACATAATTTCCTGGAAAAACTCCAGAGAGTTTTGTATTCAAGCAAGTTCCTTTGAACCAACCATCTTGACATTTTTCATTAACTGTATACAATTCACCTTTTCTCAATTCCAACTCGTCATTTTTTTGTGGTGTATAATTGTACAGAGCAATGTAACTATTGAATGATGAAAAGAAGAGAATGAAAAAATTAGAATCTTAATTATTTGGACAAATAAAAGATGAGAGTAATGATGATTCTCAATGAAAATCAATCGATCATGAATGGTCTAACTTGCAGGAAATCGAGCATAAGTTGAAAGTAAATAAATAATAAATGATTATGATGATCAATAAAATGACAATAAGATGTGATCTTCTAATAATCATCTTAGACTCTTTACATGTTTGCCAGGATGTTTGTCTCTGTCAAAATGTTCATCTGCTTATACAATTGAATCATCATCATTTACATAATTGAACATCATCTTAATCGCTCTTCTTTTATAACAATGTTTATACAATTCCTGGGCTAAGTGTTTACAACAAGTTTGACACATTCATTTTCCCTATTATTTGCATTGTTTAGTCTTTGTTTCATACCAAGTGGGCATCGAGGGAAAGGCCATTACAGGACATCTTGTTTCAAGAAGACTTGTTTCTCGTCTCCAACTACTTCGAGCACCAGAGTTTCGATTTAATTCACCACCATTTGACCAAGTCTCATTACCATTTGCATTAAACTCGGTGAGCAACTCCATAGAGTGTCGATGATGGCTAGTGTTGTTGGCCGAGATTGAACCCGATGCTAGTCCATTAGAGGTTACAGTGTCCGGTCCAGTGAGAGGATTCAACTTTTGATATGATGGTGGTAAACAAAGTGATACTCCTTGAGGTATACACAAGGAGTGTCTTTTATGGGAAAGGGAAGCGGCAGAAGTGACAGCAGAGACAGCCGAAGATGAAGATCTATGGGTTGGTTGAACAACTGCTTGAGATGTTTGGTAAATGGGTTGACTTTTGACACTGGAAGCTATGATGGGGGCTGTTGAAGATAGACAGGAAGATGAGCCAATAGAGTTGAAACAAGGGTTGACATTTGATACTGAGCATGGTGGGTTGCTAGTGTTGCTGTTGTTTTTTAATGCTACCGGTGATGGTGCCGTTGAACTGGAAAGAAAAGAGTAGATTCCATTGGATGGAGATGTCAAGGGAAGACCTAAAGAACAGGATGATGAAGAGGAAGAGGATTGGGTACAAAGTAATGATGTTGGGCTTGTGGTGCAACTCGAGGTTGATGAAGACGATCCATTGGAGTCCTCCAAGTAATTTGAACCATCTCCTGATGTTAAACCAGTTGAAGTGGTGGTAGTAGTTGTTGTTGATGAGGGCGATGCGGATGAAGGTGAAGACGATCCCGTTAGCGGAGGTAAACCTCGTAAACATCCAGCTATTGCCCGAGTTTCAGGGAAATTGGCTGTTGTCTTTAATTTCAACAGGGTTTGCGCAGACGGATTCATTTCCACAAATGTAATCGGAAATATACCGATTCGACCTTCTAACCTTCCTTCAGCCCAGTTTTCATCCACTCGTCTAATTACTGTAATCATGTCTCCTTTGTTGAATGGTAAACAATCCTTCTCTTCAACATCGGTTACCCTGAAATCGTACAAAGCTTTACATTGAGGTGGGATTGGTGATGGAGCCAAAAGGGTAACATAACTTGCAGGGAGAAACCCTTGTTTCCCATTGAATTCACCATGAAACCAGTTTGAATCGATGCGTCGACGAATCAAAATTAAATCTCCTTTATTGAAAGACAAATCTCTGCGAGAAAAGATGATAAATCAATTAGTAAAGCTTAATTGCTGCCAATCAATGCCTATTCATTTCCCAAATGCTTAGGCTGAACCAGTTTCATTTCAAGTTCAACTCATTCTCATGTAACAGGGTAAAGGTTTTGGCCATTTTACATGTTCACTAAACTGTCATTAATCAATCACTTTAATGTGTTTATCCAAATCCCAAATGATAAACAATTAGTGAAAATTAAATTAGTGTGTAAAAAATTTGCAAACAATATTCTAATCAATGTTGACATGGAATCTTTTTTTTCCACTAAAATTTGCTAAATTGAATAATTTAGTCATTAATTATGATACCATTTCAACAATTAATGGTCATTGACATTTCAATCGTTAAACACCAGAAAAAAAGTCATCAATCTTTGATCAACTGTTTTAAAATTGTGTACAAAAACGGCAAAAATAAATCATGAGCTGGTAATGATGATGTAAATCATTTTTAAATGACACTAATCAATATTGACAAATCTAATTGTAGTTAACAGAAAATCTGTAAATTACGTTTCCAATGGAAATATTACATTTAAATATAAATCAACAGATATGAATTTTTCAATAAAAAAGGCATTTTTGTGTGTTGAACCCAAAAATGGTTAATGATCAAAATAAGGTTGAAACAAGGCGAACAATTTAGTAATTAATTTAAACTAATGAAACCCAATGAGTGTCAGTTTTAACAAAAGATAATTAATTGAAGTCTTAATTGTTCATGTGCATTAGCAATATAAGCCAACTAGAAACAAAGTGAATAAATTGAATGATTTAAAATCAATCAAGTGCACAGATTGTAACAAATATTAAATTACTTTTGTTGTGTATTTTGTCTGTTGATCATGTTATCGATCAAAATAGAGGATCAACTTGATTGTAAACATGATGATAATTGATTGAATTAAATGAAAAATTTCAAGTGAGATAAAAAAAATTGAGCTACAAAAAGGATGGGAAAAGCATGAAGTTGTAATCATTAGATGAGGACAGCTGAATGGTTTTTGTTGACAATGGGTTTGGGTTAATATTTTACAAAATAATCACGACTTTTTTGTTGGTGAAATATCATGAGCTGTAAAAATGAAGGTGATGATGATGTAAGGCAAGATCAATAGATCAATAGAAACTGATCAAGTCTGTAAACAGATAACCAAGAAATTGGAAGCAATCAGAAGTAAGTGAAGTTGAACGATCATCAGGCAAAACTAATGATATTATTATTATTATTATTATGATCATCATCATTACCATCATTATCAATGGCATCAGTATTATGCTCATTGTTGGTATTAGAAGTCAAAGGTGAAACTGTGATGAAATTGATTCCAGCAACCTTTCAAGGAATCAGTTGGAAAGGGTGAACAAAGGGTAAGGAACAAGATCAAGAAGTTCTTGGTTTATAATTGATTCATCTATAAAATAGCCAATCAAATTAGCTAATCAACTGAAATAGAGTCAAAATTGCAAGGCAAAAATGATGACAACAAAAGGAAATGCTTTCCAATCAAAAGATATTATTTGATTAAACTCTATTAAATAGCCATCAATTTGCTTTTTACATCTTCCTTTCATCTGTCCATCTTTCAGTCCATCGTTGAGTCCATCTTTCAGTGTAAAAGGCAATGTTTAGATTTGAAAATAAGTTGATCAAAAAAACTGCAATTAATCTTGATCAAATCAAGTCTACAATTATCTTGCTTTACCAATCAACACTTTTTTTCTGCATCTCCAAACCAAGTTTATTTGATTTTTTTTTGTTCAAGATTGTTTCTCTTTGCTTCATCATCAAACATCATCTTGATTACAAGTTTCAAGTGTATGTAATTGAAATGAAATGGCTGAAATCATCAAATAGATTCACAGGCAATTCATCTTACAGATTCAGTGTTTTCATTTCACCCAAATAAATGCTTCAATTTACACCTAACATAATAAGGAAAACAAACTCAATAATCAATTGTGATTGTTTAACACATTTGCTTTACTCTTTCCAAGTTTTTCATAATCATATGTTTAGCTATTTTTAGGCTAGTTGTAATGATTGGTCGATAATATTAATGATAAAACACAACAATGGTTTAGGCTTACACATGGAATGAAAAATTCAGGTAATCAGCATTATTCACATTCTTATTTTTATCATCAGTTTGGCTTACGGAATAAAAGATGACACAAAATAATGGCTTTGAACCATGTTAGACTAATAATGTTAATTACAAGGAAACATCTTCAGCTTCATGTAATCCAGATTATTAATGATGAAAAGAGTAAAAACAATTTTACCCAAAAGCTGATATCGAGAAGCCATTAATAACATTTAAGTTGAAACAAAATTGGAAAAAATTGGACTCGCAAAGGATTTGAGTAAAATAATTGTTACAATAGACTAATTGAAGGTAAGAACGAGGTTATCACAGGTATTGTTTTGAAATGATTATCAAATTGTTGACTGATTGGTAATGTTTCTGGACAAAGCTTAATTCTTGGTGGATAAACAGTTTGTTAGGTTTCATTGGACGAGTTAACCTGAAACAATGATTGACTATTTAAATTGTTAATATTGATATTAGATGGAAAACAAAATCTGGGTTAATTGTATCAATAGCAAGTTTTCTGGTTAATGAAGAGGACTTCACATGAATCCATATCAAGTATGAAGAGATATTCATGATAAATGTTGATTATATTGAATGTAATTATTGAACACGGGATAATGTTGAGAATCAAGGTTTTGTCTGTTCAATCAGTAAATCATGTTGAACGTCTAGATTAGTCGGTTAATCATGAAAGGTATAAATAATTTATAGAATTATCTCAATCATATCAATCATTATTTACAATTGTAATCAACTGGTTCAACTGAAGCAATGATAATTATTGAAACTATCTTGGTGACAAGTGAAATGGATCAATTTTTAGGATAAATATTGGCCAATGAAAAAAAGGATGAGAAAAGTAAACTTGAAATAAAAAACAAAATTAAATGATTGCTCATCAAAAGTCAATAAAATACAGAGAAATGGCAATTGTTTGTTAAACAATCAAAAGCATCTTATATTGAAATGATTATATTAACAATTTCTGAGTAAATATCATTGAGAATGAAACAAAAAAAATAAACAGTAGATTGAAATGAATTATAATCAATTCCAAGACATGAACATAAGATGTAACAATTTAAATTCAGGCTTTGAATAGTCAAGTGATTCCAATATACTCTCAATGATCAACTTTCAACGTTTTTTTTTGCCTCAACATTTCCTTTTCAATCTTCATCTTCCCTCAATGATGTTGCTTATTTTTAATTCAATTCATAATCAAAGTCTATGGGTTTTAAGGGCATTGGAGGTCTTTGCTAGTGAACCTTTCAGTAAATCATAAGAAAATTGCTAATCATTTTCAGTTTCTTGATTCAGTCAATTATTGCCCCGATGATTGTCATGATTAACATAACTGTGAGCATGAATTTAGATTGTAAAGGGAAATAAAATGAGCCAAGAAAACGCACTTTTACAGTAAGAAATGAAAACACAAAAAAATCTAATGTTAATAACATATTATTAGAAACATCATCATCATCATCAACATGATCATCAATATCATGATGAACAGAAGCATGAGTAGAGATGAGTCTTGACTTTTTTTAACACTACAAGAAGCATAATTAGGATTTAGTTGAAACACCCTGGTATAATCATTATGGTAATGATAATGATTGCAATAACTATCAGCTGTATTTGGTGGGCGCAAAAAAGGTTGACCAGTTGAGTTAGTCTCTTGGTATATAAGATGATGAACATGGTGAAAATGGTGATGATGATGGATTGGTTTTGATTGATGCACTTAATTAAATAGTCCATCAGATTCAAGTTTCCTTTGAAAGTTGATAATGTTTTGGTGAAAATTAGAAGCAAATTATTGATGGCGAAAGTCAACCATTTAAAGTAACACCTTTTCTTAAATTTGTAATTACATGTCATCAATAAATTTCAATTTGATTCAAATTTCCCTACAAAACTGAAACATCATTATTACACCTTATTTCACCAGAAGTATCATTATCATTATCAGGATTTTCGGTTCAAAAAATATGTTGTTTTTTTGGGAAAATAAATTCAATTTTGTTCACTTTCATCTGCTTATATTATTTTACATCATTTTGCAGCCATTTTCATTAACATGTATAAAGACACAGTAATTGATGTAAATTGGGTTTAAGACAAATATTCATCCAGAATGACGAGTAAATATAAGAGGAAATGAAGATGAGAAGAGAAGAAGAAGAGAAAGACGATTAAGAGGAAGCAAAGAGGGTGGCAATAAGATTCAACTTTTTGTCAACTGTAATACAAATGGAACCTCATTTTGCCGTCTTTTCATCTTTCCCTTCATTTTCACCTCCTCCATTGGTTAAATTGAAAACATGGTTTATATTGCAATTTAGTCTACAATTTAACCAGATAATGAATCTTGTGCCTTCTCTTTTTCACTTGCTTTCCCTTTTTTTCTCCCTGTGAATAATTACTTGTTCATGAGGAAGAGTTGCTTGCTTGAAATGAAACATGAATTAAGTTAAATATGATAACAGTTAACCAACCCTTGTTCCTTGCCATCATATGTGTAAAGAGCTTTGGCACGAGTAATACATGGTGATGAGGTTCCTCCTTGTGATGAACAGGACGTTAAGGTTGTTGTTGTTGTGGCTGGTGTTGATGATGATGTTGCTGTTGTTGCTGTTGGTGAGGTTGATGATAATATTGACTGTTGTTGTTTAACGATATTTACGTTATTCTTGGTCTGACTAAAGGATGCTGGTTGTTGGCTGTGTGTTGAGGGCAGTGAAGAGTCTAGTTTCAGCGAGGAAACGCCAATTTCATTTGTAGATTGATATTGAGAGATTTGCTCATTACTGTAAAATGATGATTGATTAATCCGATTGTTGGTGTTATTCAAAGTATTCAATGTTGATCTTGTCTGGTTCAATTCATTGTTATAATGGCCAATTTCATTACCATTTTTAGATAAACTTCTAGATTGGAAGAGATAAAACAAAAGAAATAATTAGTTTCATTGGTAATTCATCAAAAAGTGAGTTCATTTATTTACAGGAATGAGTTTAGGAATTGAAAAAATTTCAAAAGCAAAATCTTTTTCAATACAAATAGGGAAACAAGTGATGTTATAAGTAGCAGGTAATAATTAACTGTAGGATGATCAATCTCGGTGGAAAGGTTAAACTTAATTTAAAGCTAAACTCTAGTGATGGATAACACTCAAAAATAGTTGACCCCATGGAGTGATTTTTCATTTCGTCTCATAATAATCGTTTTCCACTCTTCCCATCATCTTCAAGTATAACTAGATCATGGTAAAAAAAAGATGCAAATTGATTTACTATCGACAGTTTATAAAGCTTTTTCATTTTCTAATCATTTTATTCATCATTTTCGCCTTCCTTTGGTGATTTTATGATTTTTTTTTCATCTTTACATTTCTTCTTCTTTTATCACCAGCGTTACCTTCACATCATGCCAAAGGAATTGAAGATTGAACCCAAATTTTGATAACTTGCGCTTATAATCTTGTTATTATTCAACCTAGGGCCTGAGTTGTTCCTCAGGAAAAGAGGAAAAGAAGAGAAATGGGAAGATGAGGAGAAGAGACACAAAAAATGTAAGAGCAAAAAAGATGGCAACCACTTAAGATGATCTGAACCAATAAATACAAAACAAATTACAGTCAACAATACAAGCAGAAATACCTAGCGATCTAATAAGACCAAAAATACAATTTCATTTTCAGCAAAAATAAGCATAATCTTTTGGAGAAAGATTCAGTTCAAGATGAGGATCATGTTGATAAATTGAACAATAAGTATAACAATAAGATGAAGATAACAGCAACAAAGTAATTAAATTCAATGACAAATGACCAAGTAAAGGGTCGATAAGTTTTTTGGATACAAATTGAAGAGGTAATAAAAAGAAGAAAATCGAAGCCTGAAAAAAATAGAATCCAGAATCATTTTGATTTTGGTGTTCATTTTTTTCCTTTCAAATAATCACATATTTCTTTGACTCTTGCCTATGAATGGTAACCCAAGCAAATGATCAATATTTGGATAAATGAAACCGGATTATCATCATTCATAGTTGACCCTAAAAATGGCAAGAGTAAAAGTTGGAAGCTGAAAAAGTGTCCAAATTGTATCCTGAAATAGACAGATTGAATCATGAGAAAAAAGTAGACATTTTTTGGCAATATTGGTAAAAGAGTAACACAGGAAATAAAAAAAGACTGCAAGAGTCTATGGCAATGTCGCTCACACGGTACCTTAAAGTGTTTTTTGTTGACTGCAATTGTGAATCGAATTTTAATTGCACCAGAAATTGAATGGAAATTGGAAAGACAGTGAGAGTGAGAAGGATAAAAGATGATGTTGAAAAGGGGAAAGATAATGATTAAAATTTGTTTTAACTACAGGTGTATTTACTTTGTCGCATTCAATACTACAATGGTACAAGTTAAGCTCGGCCCCGTTCGGTGTCTGTGACTAATACAGAGTCACTAGATTAACTGTTGCCAATCAGTTGGGAGGCTGCAATTGATCGTGTAAATTGTTTTTTCTTGTTATCAGGTTAACGTAAAATACTGGTGGACATTTGATGGACACTCAGTTTTTTATACGACTGTGAAGGATCCTTTTTAATGTAGTTTAATCATTGGCTTCACTTTATTCAACTTTGATCAATTTTTTTGATCAACTTTGTCTGAAGAATCATTTCTGTTTCATTAACACATCATCGTCATCATTAAATCATCATTGCAATTGTGATCATGGAGACAGTTTATACTGACTATCAAATTATTGGTGAACCTGTAGTGACTAATGTTTCGTCTAATCAACCGCAATTGATTGTGATCAATCCCAATTTGGCTCAAGGAATGGGTAAGAATGAAGAGACTGATGAAACCGATTCAAGGTACAGTGTTTATGAGCAAACTAAACCAGTCGCAATCACTACATCGGTCATAGCATCGACTAAAAGTGTAACTGCAAGTAGTGAGGTTATTGAAAATGAGTGCTTATCGTCACCCAATTATCAACCCATTTCACCGGCAGAGTCGCCTTTGGGTGCTGCTATGGCTACACTTGAAGACAGTTATTGTCCCATTTCAGAGGAATCAATTGAAGTTGAAAATGAAAGGCCTGATGATTATTATGATGATACAAGTCAATCTCAACATTCATCTCCTTGTGACCCTTTTAGACCTGAATGTCGAATACCTTTACCAGGAATGCTTGATCAGTCTCCTTTCATGGATAATAGAACCTTTGTTCGACGTCGAAATGAACGAGAAAGGACTCGAGTACGCAATGTAAATGAGGGCTTTGAAAGGTTAAGACAACATTTACCTTTACCCAAGCCTTGTAGAGATAAAAGATTATCAAAGGTTGAAACGTTGAGAGAGGCAATCAATTACATCAAAAAGCTGCAGAATCTTTTGAAATCAGATTCCAACAAATGAAAATTCAACTCAACAAACCAATTAATTTATCTTCCATCCAATTATAATATCTTCATTTCCCCTGCTTTCTTCTTCTTCTTCGTTTTTCTTTCTCCTTTTTATTTTTCCTTCACCTGGGTTTCAATGATTTGAAAGTGAAAATATGTATTAAAATTATCAAAGTTATTCACATTGTTTCTCATCTTTTTTTGTTGTTGTAATCAAACATCTGTCTAGATATTTCCATATTCCTGGACTGAATCTATTTATTCATCTTTTTCACCATTATTTAGATATTATATCAACTATTGGTTGACCTTAATAGCCATTTGAATCAATGAGCATTCAAGCAAAATTTTGGCTAACAGATTTAGATGAATGTAGGAATAAGTAAACAAAAGAGTTCTTAACCCATGAGAAAGAGATTAATTATCTGATGATAAATGAAAGTGGTCTAATTGTTTAGATTTATACCATTTCAACCAAGTAAAGCTCATGATGATCATGGCAGTAGTTGGAATGAGTCGTATAAAAATGAGTATAAATGCATCAAGAGATGGGAAAAATGATTCCTTTAAAAACCAGAAAATTGGGTGACGAGAATAGATTGATGGGTTCATGAAAGGATGGTAGGAACAGGGAAAATCTATTGAGCAAAGAGAGTCAAAGGGGGAAACATGGATCAGGATGGAAATAGCATCACTTGATTTTAAAGGATAAAAATTTTAGGCAAATGAAAAAAGATGTAAAATATGTTGAAACGGATGTTTAGTTTAGGTATTTGAAGATGACAGGAGTGAAAATAATGACTTACCTGGATGCTAGTTTTGAATTGTTTTTGAGTCCTTCAAGAAGTCGAATGAGCAATATATTGCTTGGTAAATCGTCCACTTTAATATCAACTTTGATTCGACATTCTGGACATCGTAATTCTTTGTGAGCGTGAACAATCTCCTCAAGGCATCTTTTACAGAAGGTGTGTTGACAGGGTAATACCTTTGAGGTATAATCTAATTGCTCAAAGCATACGGAACATTCAAGTAAATCACTAAAAATATCACTTTTGTCCATTATAATTAAAGACATCACTATTAAATAATATTAAATATCATGGCATGAAAACAAAAAATGGTAAAAAAACCAGGAAAACAACCAGAATGGGTAACAAAGCGAAAAAATGTTGAGTCAACAAGAGAAGAACATGGTTTGCCTTTGATTTTTCATCAAATTTTACTTGTTTCCTTGATCACCGAGAGCTGGATTAGAAAAGTTCAATTGTTGATTGATTACCATGCGTTTAAATGTTGGCCAATAAAGGTTTGCTTGTTTCAATTGATGGTTGTCGATTGCTGAAGATAATAAAACAAAAAAAGGTTGCGAGAAAAAAAGAGGCAAATTCAACAAACACAGATGAACTCTATTACAATGGAAGTTGAAGTAGAGTGTAGAAGTGGCGAAACAAAAATGATACAAAATAGATTAACAATTAAATTGGTTTGGTTGACGTTATTTATCACAAAATCATCTTCCTTTTTGATTACCGGCGTTAATAGAGAATACTAATTATAATAACATAAATACTAAATAATCATATTGATAACCATTTGATCCAGTGGAGAGAAGAAAAAATAACAAGGCAGTTGTTGAATTTGTTGCTGTTGTTGTGGAGGTTGCCAATTTAAGACAGTTTGGCTGAAAATAACGATGAAAATGTTGATGATGACAGCAATGGTAACGATCAAGTTAATATGGATGTTTCCAAGTAATGAAGAAAGTTGATAGTTGAGGAAAAAGCTTGGTATGTACCAATAAAGGTCAATCCAAATCTCTGTGGGTCAGATCATACTGTCACTTTTACTTTCAAGTTTTCCTTTCTTCATTGTAGTTACGCTGGAAATTAATTGTAATTGTAACCATTAAACTTTAACTAAGGTATAAATATAAAGAAATAGAGTGAGAGGGAGAAAGAGAATAAAGAAACAATCACAGAATTAACAGTTAAAATGATTACAATTGAACTACTAAAATATGTTTTCCAGTGTTAGAATGGTGATCATCAAACAGCAGTGCAACAACACGAGATCCAAGTAAAGTCTGCGCCGTGAAGCAAAAAGGGAGAAGAGAGGCAAGAAAGGTGGGAAAGGAAAGGAAGAAGCAGAAAAGAAAGAGAAAAGAGAGGGGCAAAAATGATTAGAAGAGAGGAAAAGAAAGAAATGAAGACACAGGAAGCGAAGGGGAAATAAAGAAGAAGGAGGTTAAAAAAGAGAGAAGACAAAAAGACATCAAGACGTCTTATTATATGAAGATTTAGCAAGATGAGAGAAAGGGAAAAATCAAGAAGCAGAAGATACTGAAGACAGAAGGAGAAAGAAGAGGAAGATGAAGATGAAGAGGATGAAGAAGAAGAAAATTTAAGGCAAAAAACGAAGTAAAAGAGAGGAAGAAGAAAAAATTTCTTCTCTTACCTTTTTTTCCTTGTTGAATAACTTTGATCTTGACTGCTTTTTTACACTTTGCCGATGCCCTGGGCCATTTTTTTTACAAATACTTGACGACAATTTACTTAAAATTCAACATTGACCGGAACTCAATTCACTTTCACCGGATTTTGGCCTCAATTGTTAATTAGATGTTTCCGTTTTTTAGCAATTTACTTTGCTCAATGGATCTTGTTGTGTTGGTGGGTTTAATGTTCAATGAAAGTTAATTTACCAATCAGTGGTTATGTTGATGGCAATCATTAATAGAGTTACTTTATTTGTTTGAGATGAATATTTTTTTATATGTATTTATAATTGTCGTTACAATTAATTTTTACAAAGTTGATTCAACTGTGTTGTCATTGTGACAAAAAACAATCATTTGAAACATTGTCATTATTGTATTAATATTGTGCCCATCATTATTGTCAAATTTTGAACTTCTGATTTTTCCCTGTATTCTGTATTTACACTAACCTACAGGATAATTACAGTAAATTGACAGGCATAATGTTTTTTGTTTGAAAATGATACAATATCAATTAATCAAGGTTGGAAATAGTCAATTTAATTAATCCGAGGGCTCAAGTCTTCATCTCTACATTGGCAGTGGTAGACAGTAAAGGCAAATATTAAGACAACTTTGTAGGATCATAATCGGCTATGGTCAGACTTTTCCGAGTAGACCAAGATTTAAATTGACTGTATTAAGTCCGAAACTTTTTTCACTTGACTTTAAAACCATTTTCTTTAATTTTGAGCACAATGAGCTTCTGCGTTTTTCCTGCTCGTCCTCCACCGCCACTTTCTCCTTCTTAGTCGTCGCTGGTTTTACCTTCTTTCGGAGCCACATAAACAGGTTAACATGTTAAAGAGTAAAGATGATTTTTATCACGGAAATGGGCACAAAAATATACGTGAAAAGTAGAGTTGAAATGATTAGAAGAGAGGAAGAAAGAAATGAAGACCATTTTTAATTAATATAAGGGCTCAAGTCTACGTCTCTACATTGGCAGAGGTAGACAGTTAAGGCAAATATTAATATTAAATATGAAAAATTGTGATTAACAAAAAATGTTGATGAAAGTCAGGATGCTTCAATAGGAAACGATGGATATCTTTGATTTGCTTGATTTCGTTCTTCATCATCAAAATACCAAACTGTAATAGCAAAGCGTGTGCTGAAAGCTGGTTGTACTTCATGAGGATTCCTTCGATCGGACCAAAAAAATAATACTCTATCAAAAAGTGGAGCGATGTCAGCAACATGATTCTCGTAGCAGGTTGGATACATTCGCAATAGGCCACCGTCGCGCTTCAAAAGAAAAGAAAGAAGCAATTAGTAATTGATAAACGAGAAACTAGATTCAAGCCAAAAAACGAACATCAACCGTTGCATGAAAATATCTTTCAAAATGATTGTATTTTGCTAAATAATAATTCAAGTCTAAACCCCAAGCTCAAAACAATTAAAGCGATTGAAAACAATTTTTCTAAGCCTGGCCCGGTGTCAACAATACATGTAATTTTTAAATTATGAGCAAATTATTGGGCTCTATTGAATGTACGATCGATAAATTGTTCATTCTCAGCTCATTTTCTGTCGATAATTCAATCTCTCTTTCAAGCTTATACAAAGCTGCTGACAAAGTGATCACAATCAACGAGAGATTATAAAGTAAAGTATATTTTACCTGAAGATCCCAGCCTTGATTGAGATAATAAATACTGGTAATTCGTCTACCATCTCCATTAGGGTTATCAACATGCTTGACATAGCGGGTTCCGTTACCAGGATAGCAAGCAATCATAGCTTTAGTTCGATTATTTATCTGATATCTTGAAAATATGCCATTGTTTTCCATGGTATTACACTTGAAAAGAATCGCATCAAGTGTCTGGATTAAAAATCCAATATTTACACATTGAGGTTCACCTCCATCAACCCAAACAATTTTATCACTCCGGATAACCTGAGATGGTGTTCGAGTCCGGTTAACTTTACGAACCAATTGACCTTCTTGAAAGATTCCGTAGCCATACAATGATTTAACTTCATTTAGAATTGAAGAACATTGAGCTTCTCCAAGAAAATTATCAATCACGCAAATACCATAACAATTCATATCATTGACAACCTGTAGGCATATTTGATTTAGCCAATCAGCAGATTGTATTGAACCTGGACCGCTGTTGAACATATCATTAGGTAAATCTGAGCTAACCATGTTTGACGATTCAGGTACTGAAGGAGTAGAGGACGGATATACATCCAGAGATGAGGATCCAGATGATGAAGATGGTAGAGATAAGTCGCCCAAATGTGTTGGTTGCAATGATGATGAAAATGACTGAGGAGATAATATTGGAAGAAGCAAATCTGTCGTAGTGTCGACTGATGGTATTGGTGATGATAATGACGTCGATGGTGGTAAATCCATTTTTTCAAGAACTGCGAGATCGATAGATAAAAATTTAACCTAAGAAAAGAAATAAATAAATATTACAAAATTTTTCGATACAAAACAAAATTGTAAAAACTTCATATTCATACAGCATATATTGATGAATGTATGAACACTTTATGGATAAACTTGAATGACTTTATAAAGAGTTTTAAGGAACGTTATCCGTGCAAGTGAAATGATAACCAGAAGCAATAAACATAAATAACCACAAAGATAGACAATTGAGGAACTAAATTAAGAGAAAACTGACAGACTAGTAAAGTGAAGCTGATCATCTTCATTCATTTACACTTTTACATATTGAAAGTTTAACCAAGTAATGGCGTACTTGTATTAGTTTACACTTGTTGGTGAAACGAATAACAGTTTATTTAAAACTTACCTAATAAATCAACTTGAATATTCATTAGATCTTCTGTGATACATCTTCGTCTTTTATGATATTTCTTGCTGGATCATCTAACATTATCTTGATGCAAGAATCCTGAATTTTGTAATTACAGTTGAAATTGCAAGAATCTAATATTTACACAAACGTATGTTAGAAACGACCCCTAGAAGAAGGAGGGAAATCAGAAATAAATGTCAATACAATTTGCTGGCTTTTTGTCGATTCTCTTGAATAGAGAAATGCAAATATTTTTGATAACCAAGGCGATATTTTTCACAGAACTTTCCATATCATTGATTGACTTTCATATCTACTGATATAAAAGTCATTAAAAATATCTGTGACCGAAAAAGATTAAAGAAATACTTACTTAAAAGTTACAATAAATATCACTTTTATCCATTAATGAAGGGATATCTGTATTGAGATGTTAATTTAGCTTCTATCGATGAAAATTATGTTAAAATTGATAGCCTAGGATCGTACATGAAGGCTGACGAAATCTTTAAATGCAAAAGGTCAATCCAAATCTTTAGTGGAGCATATTAAGCCTAGGACTTTTTTTCTCTCTCATTAAAGTTGCAAAGCAGACTTATTTACATTGTAACTTAAACAAATATAAATAAATATAAAAAAAAGTAACTGAACAATTAGTAAAAAATCACAATTAAAAATAGCTGAGAGATGTTTTGTTTTGACTTTGGTTTCCCTAATCATCTGTTCAAAAATGGGAGCCTAAAAGACTCTTTTCAAAAGTAATTCAGAAAAAAGAAGGTAGATGACACTCGTGTATTCAATGAGAATCGGTTTTTAGTTAAATCCTAATCAAAATTTTGAATTTAATTCTAATTGATTGTCTAACTCGATCTTAACTCTTCTTTAAAATCTGAGCAAATGAAATACTCTTTCAAATCTAAAACCAATATCTTGGAAGAAACTCCTCTTTTTAATGCAACATTATCTTCAGATCATGGATTCGAAATCAAGCCAAAAATTGAAGATGTTATGATTTACGCTAAATCGAAGTAAAGACGGTTCGAAATAAAAGTCTCAGCATGCTTTAAAATGAGAATAAGCAATAAAAAAGCGAAATAATAACACTAATAGATGTCATTCAACACCAAGATCACTGGCAATCTCGAAAAAAGAAATGTGAAGAAAATAAAAAGGTTAAAAAATTGATAAAAGCTGACATTTGAATCGAGTTTTTTATTGTGATTAGTTTATCTTTCGTTGAATTTAGCGTTTTTCCGGTTATCAATAATTTAGAGATCATTTTATTGCTGATAACAAAGTACTATTTAATTGAGGAATTTGAATTCAGAGTCATTATTGGAAAGATTTCATAGCCAACAGACAATGTGTATTTTTTGATGGAGCAACATCTTCGCTATGATAATCAAGACAATAATTGCATTATTTGGGGTCCAATATTACATTTGTTATGCATATTTTCAAGAGCTGCTTAGGACCTTTGTTATGAGTAACATTAGTCAAAGAGTTTTTTTATAGATTAATATTTAGTCACATTAAGAGTAAAGACTAGTTGCTTGAGTTCAGAAATGAGCAGAATAAGTACAAAAGGATGATTTGATTAGGGATGGTGAAAAATTTTGTAGAATGAGAAAGAAAAATTATACATTAAATTGCGTTGATTGAGTAAACCTTTGCACTGGTCTAATATGGTTTTGGTTTAGGAGAAATTAACAAAAGTTAAAATTAGTTCCAATCTCCAATCAAATGGATTTGATCACCATTACAAGACAGATTGTTTAGACCGACCTATTGTAGCTTGTAAAGAAAGATTAACAGAAAATCACTGAAAGTTAATCTGAACACAATTTTTGATTGGGTTGACTAATTGGCGTTTCCAAAGTTTATCGTAGCTATCAGTGAAGTCATTGGCTTTGATTATTTCGATGAGTGAAGAAACACACAGAAAGTATATAATAGCATGATTGGCAAATTTCAAGTAGATATAAAATAAATCAGGAACTCTTTGATACATCATCAACAGGGAGAGATTTCTAGTATATTTGTATAGGTAACGATAAAAGCTCTCATTATCGGTCAATTTGTGCTTGAAATCTGACGCATTAGAAGCGTTGGGACATTCAGTGTCTTCATTTATCTTTATCTGAATATGTTGCAGCGATCCATCCGTGAAAATATTTTTCGTTCAATGAAAATAGAGATGAAATCAAATCTGGCTGAAATGCTTTGAAAAAAATGTGACAGATAATCTTTTGAAATTCATTCGAAGGTTGTTGTTTCTCATTAAATTCCTTCCATCAGTTGCTTGCATTTTACTTTGATTGAAATAGTTCATACTTCAGTTGTATCTTCAGGTAGACCTTGAGTTGCGATAAGGTAGTTTGAAGCTTGTCGCATATTCCAATTAAAACGTGCCAACATCTCGGCCCAATTACAATCAATATCAATTGAATGGCTTTTCAAAGTTTCACGTAATCTTACGCATTTAATTGCTTTATGGATATCACAGCCAGTAGTTCGAAGTATTTTTATACATTCCTCGGTGGATAGCTGAATCTAGTTTAAGAGAAAGAAAATCAAGAAGAATGAAAAAGGTTTGTTAGAAATTAAACGAAAATTGAAAATATGAACGAAAATGTTTCAGGCAAAAAGAAAATAAAACCCTAAAGTTTTTTTGACAATCGAGCGTCAAAATTAGGGGAAATAAAGGTAACGATTATTAATCTTCATACTTCATTTGCAAGGACTTTTTGCATGACTCGAACTTCATCTGGATCAGGTTCTTTTGAATCTATGGTACGGACGAGACTAGGCTTATTAGCAGCAGAAGTAGTATAATCTAAAGGAGAAACACGACAATTTATTGAAGATGTTTTGATTGGCGGTTGGGTAACACCATCATAAGTTTTAGTCTCATTAAATTGTTGTGTTGGTTTGACCGACGCGTGATTATCCACAGATGCTGTGCTGGTGGGATGTTTAGATTCCAATGGCTCTTCATTCCTGATCATAAATGATCAGAGACGAGGGGCAAAGGGAAAGAAAGGAGTCAAATAAACAATATCAGAAATACTGTATAGAAAACAAAGCCTCTAGAACAGAAGAGAGATGACCTAAAATACTTACAAAAAGCTTCTATTTGGTTTTGGGGGTGGATTTGGAACCGGGTTACGTTTCGGGCTCATTGTTGAGGCTGGACTAGAATATTTAATGTCCGAAATTTCCGGACCTCTTGGAGGAACATAATTAACGTAACTAGGTTGAGCTTCATTAGATAGTCCATGCTTCATAGCAGGTAAATGTGGTTTGAATGTTGACATTGGAGGATCAGCCGGTGATGAAATATCATAAGAGCCATTTGAATCCAATGAAATTGGCCCGCTTATTGGTCCTATAGATGAACCAGGTAAAATAAGCGGATGTTTTCTTTGATGTTGCTTTAAGCATGCAGGTTGGAGCTGTTTAGTTCTGTCTCGAGGAGGCAATGGAAGTGCATTTTGTTGGGAATTATCATCCGATAGTCCCATGAGCATAGATCCTATTGAATTATAGCTTAATGAATTGGTAGATGTTGGATTGGTTAGAGCTGGTGGAGCCGCAGGAGGTGGCGGCGGTGCACCAAGATTACTTCGATTTACGTTGGCTGTGAGCCTGGCAAGTGATGCAGTTTGAGGAGTTGCGGCAATTCTTTGTTTATTTCCCTTTACTTTAGGAATAATAGAGAAACCATTACGTAAAAGTCGCAACGGATTAAGATCAATTGTATCTGTTTCACTGGGTTGACTAATGTTTGTATTACCCAAATTAACAGAGTTGGCGGCAGTAGAGGTTATAGTAGCACCGGAGACATGGTGTGAACTCGGCAAATGACGTTTATCTGATTCCATTTTGGATTTATCCAGGCCTTCACCCTTCTCGATTAAACTGCTGTAAGCGGATTTAGCTTCTTCAGTCAACATTGATTGTATATCTGATATATTTCCAGCTTTCTCACTGAAATTTTTCCTCTCGACCTTAGGACTATTTTTAAACTTGAATGAAAATTTTTTCTTATTCGGTGAGGTTGGTGTTCTAGGGCTATCAGAGTAACTATTTTCACCAACACTTTTAAGTTCAGTCACAGGTTTAAATTCAAATTCCATCATGCTTAGAGTAGCAAGCTCCTTAGCCATAGCAATTGCTGAATCCAAGTTTTGCTCTTCAGCCGGAGAAATTGGTTTAACTGTGGTTTTGCTCTTGTTTGATTTATCCTTGTTTAATGTTAGCTTGTTTACAATTTCTTTGATTTCATTTTTCACATTGGAATTGCAGTCATTAATAGTCTTTTGTTGTCCATTTAAGTCGTCAGTAAATTCTGGCTTGATGATGTCCAGTTCTTTGAAAACTTCATCCATCAGAGAAGGACCAAAGTCAAAAGTCTGTAAAAGGAGAATAAACAAAGTATTAGAAATCAAATTAAATTATAAAACAATGAAGATGAATCAAGAAATCAACAAAATAAAGGAAATTTACTTGTTTCTGAAAATTTGAAAAACGTTTGAGAATAGCAAACTTGTGTAGATTATAACAGTTTTTATTTAATTTAGTTTCTGCAGCAATTAAAAGATTGGTTTCATAATTATTGAAATCCATTATTGACACAATACAAAATAAACAGTCGAAACTAATAACTAAATGGAAATGACTTCAATAAACGATTAAGAGAAATAGATTCAATCACAGGAATAAGCTGGTAATGAGTCAAATGATTACATATAACAGTAAAAGTAAACAGAGACAAGAAATGGCGAAAGAAACCAAAACATCCGGTAAAAATTGTTTTCACACTGTTATGTAAAAAAGGGAAGTTAATCCATGTAAACTTGAAATTCTTAGGAAAGACTTTCAAAAAGCATAATCACAGTAAGAGAAACATTTAAATGGAGTTAGAAGAACATGGAAAATGTTTGATCAAGATTGCACTTTAGTAGGTGTCGGGTGTTCGTGTTGTGTGTGTGAGAGAAAAGACGATTTAAAAATAAAAGGTTAGGTATGATTGTTGTTTTGTTGGTAAGATGACGAAGAGTGAGGTTTGGGTAGAAGTGAAGCCTGATTGAGTCATAAGTGTTAATTTTTCCAGTTATATTTACAAGTATAACAATGATGATGATGATGATGAAGATCTTGAAATCATGTTCAACCTTAACAAGAAATACAACAAAACTTGAACTGATGAGGAAGAAAAAGATCAATTTGTTTGACAGAATGGGAATGATAATTTAGCTTTTAAAGTCAACAACAAAGGTTAAAATGAAACTAACAGGACAGAAATGATAATAAAGAGTGAGGAAGTTTCAGGAGAGATCTTGAGCACCAAAGGGCAAGAGACTGACAAATTCTTAAATTCAGCAGCATCTTCATTTGAACCTGTGCTTTGGGCTATCATTGGCAATCTCATTACATCATCATCATCAACAACAACAACATCAGCCTGTTCTCATCAAAGTTACCGCCCCAGTGGTACTTTTTTCAATAAAGGTTGACCATATGAGCAAATGAGTTTCGCTCAAGTGATTACGAGCTATAAGTTCTTTCGGTATTCAGCCTACATTCACTGAATGTTCCCCATTTGGTTGGAACAATTCAAGTTGAAAGTTGTTCAATCGAAATGATCAAAAATAACCTTTTTAGATAACTATTGCAAAACGTGTGGCATAAAGATTCTCATTTGAAAGATCGAGTTGCCCCTGGCTTGAAATGGATGTGAAATGCAATGGAAGACCGGTTTACTGGTATTTGAGAGCATCTTGGGCTGTTATAGAGCGCCAAAATATTGGAAGAAATACCTACAATATAAATTTTTAGACCTGAATATTGCGAGAAAAAACATAAAGAAAGTTTAATTGGCAGAATAAAAACTAAATTAACAAGTAAATTGAGGAAAGAGGTAGATAAATTGGAGTTGATAGTTGACATTAGACATTCTAATAATAGGAGTACAGTTGTTTTTTTACCTCAAATCGAGGAGATACTACTCCATCATCAGTTATTTCATGATATTCGTGATCGTTAAATCGTCCCCCTTCCTGAAAGATTAGAGAAATTTGAGATAAAGATATAATTAAAAACAACAGTTAACTCAATCGGTTAGAGAAAAAGAGAAGACAAAAGGGAGGAGAGATTGTAAAAGAAATGGAAGAAAGTAGACAAGGAGGGATAGCAAAGGAAAAGTAATGAGGGAAGAAAGATGAGAGGCCATTGCTAAATCTGGTTGACAGCAATGGGTACAGCTAGCACGAGACAACGAGAGCAAAATGAAACAATATGGAAAATTAAAGATTGAAAGCAAATTGAAAATAATGGACAGAAATGGCAGCGACAACAAAAGCAGGCAATAATCAAGCAACGATAAAAATCTAAGGCAAATAGAAACATTTAAAAAACGGTAAAACACCGAGCGGTTTGCTGCAAATATGGCAAGGAAAGAAGATGCAAAGGATAAGGAGTTAAGGGCAAGAAATGTGAACATATAAGTAGATATGTTAAATACAGGAATAGAAAGCAATTAAATTGAATGCATGGAAGCAAGGATATAACAAAGAATGTCAATGAGAAAATGAATGCATTGGCACTAAACTTACTTCACCGATATTTCGCTTGTAATATGATTTATCTTTGGTTTCAGTATCTTTCCTGTCAGTTTTGACGATCACTTGTTTATCAGACATTTTGGAAGTGAAAATACGGGTGAGAGATGAATTTTACAAAAAAATGATGGAGATAAAACACGCTTTAAAGGTGAAAATGCACTGTTTTTTGCAAATGACAACCTTTCAAAAAAAGATGATGTTGATCAATAATAAACAAATAGCAAATGTACGTAATTTTTATAATGGTCATAAATTAACACGGAAAAAATAAGAAATGATATCAATCAACAGTTTTGTCGCGCTTTATTGACTTGAGCATTTTGTTGAGCGTTTGAGAGTTGAAAATAACAGAAATATTAGCAGCTAATAAGCCTCTTTCTCCTTCCTTCTTTTTGCCTTTCTATTTTTGTTCAATCCTCAGTCAACGCCATCTCTTTTCAATATTTTGTACATTTTAAAGAAAACAAATTTTACATCAACGTGTCTCTAATTAATAATCAATAATTTGTTTATTTAATTGACCTTTCTAATCACTGTGCCCAACTGACCAACTCACCAAACTGTGACGAATCTGTTGATACCAAAATGTCGTCAAATATGATCATAGATAATGCTAAAAAACAAGTGGATATTATCACCAAGCAGTTTCTCAGCTACCTTACGCCTGATACCAAAGCCAAGAGGGAACAAGAGATTTTAGCAAGTATGCAAGCTATCAAGGAAACCCTTGAAAATATTGGTACCATGTTGGAAGGAACAACAACGGCCAGTCCGATAATTGTGTCTCATAATCACATTGATCCTCATCCCATTCTCAAGAACAAAAGCCTTACCGGAAAAGATTACACCAAAGAGGAGACTCGACCCAAATCCATTTTGAAGAAGAAAACTAATTCCGAGGATTCATCCAGGATGAACAAGGTCAAACCTATTCTTAAGAAGAATAAAAGTTCAGAAGATTTTCATCATAATATCTCATCATCTTCCTCTTCATCAAATTCATCAATCAGCTCACTGCCTAGATCAATAAGGCGTAATAGTGATTCGCCTTAACTCTATCACCATTGATCCTGCTTTTTTTAATATATCTTTTTTTCTCTTCTCTCTTACTCTGTTTGATTCTGGTGTTTTACTCACAATTAACCAAGTGCATGTAAAAAAAGATTATAACGTTAAATTATATACACTATCGTTCTTATTTACATAAGGCAACAAATTTTGCATACAAACATTTAAATGTGTGGTTCAACCAAGCCTCCAACAAAAACAATCAACAAGAGAGGGACTCAAATCTTTTAATATTACATGTCTATTAATCCAATCCTATCCAATCAAAGAGTAATAAGCTTAAAAAAGATGGCAATTAAAACAAAATGAACCAAATAATGTGAATATAACTTTCACCTGTAAATTGTTTATTTGAAAATTGTAATATCCCCAAAGCCATTTGATTCAACTCTATTTTACACTATTTGTCTATTAAAAAAAAGATTATAATTGGTATGAATCTATTCTATCTATTCTCTTATATTAATACCGTTTTGGTATTTTTCTGTCAAAATTTCTACGCACTCAATGGTTCAACAAATTTTCTGTTAAACGTAAACGATACGTTTTGACCTGAATGTCGCCACTAAAATTTACAATTTTAAGAGCCCAGGAAAAGCAGATAAAAAGAGTCTCGCACAGCAGCACAAAGAAATAGTAAACAAAACACTGAAAATCTTCATTTCAACTATCCATTAGAACACCATTACGAGAAAAATTATCCTTGATGATCTTGGCATTTCATTGACGATTGAAGATCATTTGGTTCACATTTTCATGGTTTTCATCAATGAATACTTAACTTGGACAACTGCGATGATGACCAAAAACCGGTAAAACTTGCTGACTTTGATCATTCGATTTCAGTTATATTTACTGTATCTGCACGGTTGGCTTATTAAATTGGTCAGCTTAGACCAAGAGGTTAGGAAAAAGCAAAATTAATTCAGTTTGAAATAATAATTCATTGGTTTTAATTAGCTGCTATGGTCTCAACAGATTAAACTGACAACTTGCCAGTGAAAAGAGCAGCAATGCATAAACTGTTGCCATTTTAGAGCGGTTATTTTGTTCATAAACGACTGTAACAATAATGAATGTCCATTTTAGTTTCATTTCACCGTTTGAATGTTATCTCGTCACTTGACGACTATTAAATCTACTGATAATGTTGATTCCATTTACATTTACAATTTTTAAGCAATCTACGATTTGCTGGATTGTCTTTACAATGTCTTCTTTAATGTTGAACTGGTACCTTACAGAATGATTTAATCAATTGAAGGATATTTCTAAGGAATATATCAATGAATCCTAGTGAAATGGTAAGTTTATAATCAAATATCATGTTTAAATGTAAATAAATTATCTCACAACTAAATCTAGTCATATTTTGTAGCAACAAATCTGTGTTTTATATTTATCAAACTTACCGCGTTTTGCTTCAAAACTAACAGCTGTTTATTTTCATTTGTTTTCGTTTTATTTTGTGTTGTTTTTTCCGTGTAAATTATGACTTTTAGTTTTATTAATTTATTGATTGATCAGAATTTGTTAAATTCGTTACATACGGAAGACATCGAACCAGTTTTTTGTGTTTTATTTGGTTTCAAGGAAATTAGCCATGATTCTCTTAATGTCAACCTTCTTGCAACTAAAAGTTTTTACGACCCGAGCGGTAGAGACAAGCTAGCAATCCAGCAAATAATCAAACATCGTCACTCATTGTCAGCATTGGGTACCCTGGAAACCTCTGAAATTCAAACAATTCAAAAATTGATTGAAACAAAGAAGACGTTTTTTGTAAACTTCAACTATGATGGATCTTTGTCTTTAAAAAATATATACACCTGAATGGAGAACCAGACGCCAATATTCCTGTCAATATAATTGTTTATAACTCTCTCCATTTAGCTTACACTTTGCAATTTAATCGTCACAATGAGCTTACTGAATCTCAAGACCCACTCTTTGAATTTTGCTGTCGTAGTATTGAAAAATACTCATCTCAGAAACCTCCAAAATCCCTCCAGTTAACATCTTTCGCAACCAAATTGTCATCCAATTCCAAAGCTACAGGACTCAACACCAATAAAATATTTAACTTCTCACTATTGAATGGTTTCTTGGATTATTCCACCACAGGCAGATTAATATATCATCGGTTCGAAGAAATACTGTTCTGTTGGAAAAATTTCAAAGAATCAAGATTCAGAATCAGAATTTTCAATGCTTTAAGTTTAATAACTTTTGATCTGGTTCTCAGCCTTTGCCTCTTTTTAATGTTAAATCAAGTTATATCGATATCGTATCTATTAATATTAGAAGTGTGCCTTCAAGCCATGGAATCTGTGGTTTCAAAAGTAGAACAATTAATCTATAATCTTATTGGAATGCCTGCTGGTCTTAAACTCAATCGTCCTCTGAATACCGCACTGGGGAACTTTTTTCTTTACCATATTCATATATGGAAAGCTTATATTACTTTGATTCGCCCTTTTTTAAGCTTGATTCTTGATCTTCTTGGATTTATAAGTTTCTTTGGAATCACATTTTTTCTCAGCTTCCTATCGGATCTCATTTCTTTAGCATCCATCCATATTTACTGTTTCTATGGATATGCTGCCAGACTTTATTGTTTCCAGTTATCTGGTTTAATTTCCCTTTGGAGACTTTTCAGGGGTAAAATTGGAATAATTTAAAACACCGAGTCGATGCATATTCATATGGTCATGATCAATTATTCATTGGTACTGTTTGCTTTACCATATTAATATTCCTGCTGCCAACAATTATACTCTATTATTCCGTCTTTCTGTTACTTAGATTGACTACCATCGTTATTCAATGCATAATTAAACTGATAATCAGCGTTACTCTATCCATTCCATTTTACGGAATCCTTCTCTGGTTTATCGGATCACAACAAGTTCAAACGAATATTTTTTTTCAAATCACTCATTTCAAAGAGAGGCTGTCGATAACGTCTATGCTATGCAAATCAATGCCTTTGAGTCAACTTTTTAAAGCTCATATTTATGATTTTAACAATCCTTTTAGCTACAAGTTAATACCTTCAAATTTTTTCAAATCTATTGTAACTGGATCCTTAATATAAAGTAAAGTAAATTTAATTTAACGAACATTGTTTACTTTTCTGAATTCAGATGCATTTGAAGTGGGGCTTGTGAACTTATCCTCGTATTTAATAACAATTCATGAATTCAGATATTTTGTGTAAGTTAAAGTTGAAAATGTAGTGGCGTTGGCAAGTTAATCAACTTTGTTTATTCATATTTTGAACTCCAATCCAACTTCTTTCAAAACTTGTGTTTTTTATTATTGCCATTTTGATATAAATTAATCAGAATTGGGTATCCATTGACTGTTTGAATGATTTCTTCAAGACATAAAATATCTCTGAAATAAGCATTATATTGAGATGCACTCAATGTCAGTCTAATAAAGTGATAAAAGTTTATTGAAAACACTCAATGACAGACGTAATTAAAAGTACTGTCTTGTAGCAAATACATGTACCAAATATAATCAATATGCATAATATAATTATATAAAATAACACAATAAATAAGTTACCAGTTTTTTTTGTTTTTATAAATATTTCAAAAGGTGTCCACCAAAACTTAGGAGCTGGTAAATCTGCACAAGTTTACCTGAAATTTTTGGCTTTAGTTGAAATTAATATCAATTTTTGTGTCTGGCTACTATAAGAAGATATACAATTCCGAGAGAAAAATATGAAGCAAAAGATGAAAACAAAAATAGATAGAGAGATAGAGAGATGTGAGTTATTAAGTATATAAAGAGAGAAGAGGAAGAGACAATCATCAAACGGCAGCTTAAAACAGGTAAAATAACAGGTAACAAAATAATAACAAATAAATCAAAATCACAATGAGAGTAAAATTAAGGAGATAGAACTAACAGGACGAGAAAAAACCAAAGATTAAGGTCTCTACTCTTTGGAAAAAACAGATAACTTGTGATATGAAGAAAGTTGATAACTGATGTTTTTCTATGATGGGGTGAATGTTGATGAGGGTGGTAAAAGATCAAAATAAATAAAAAGTCAAATTGGTAATTAAGATGCATGTTAAGTCTTTGTCTGGAAGATTGCGACAATGACAATTGTCTTGTCAGGGCTGGTTAAGTTAGACGAACTGCATATTCTGTATCTAACAAATACCAGAAGTTGCTACAGCTTGAGCCAAACTTTCCACTCCCAAATATCGGTAAATATAAATTCGGTAGTCTTTGGAAGCAAGAACAACTGAATTGTCATCCATAAGAGCAACATCGAAACACTGAGCATGTTTGACTTTACTTTCAAGGGCATTAATTAACTGTCCGTCCTGGGTAAAAACGGTGATGTTAAAATTATTATGATTATCAGCGACCAGGATTTCACCAGCTTCGTTGATACAAACACCAATAGGATAATTGGTCAATCCTTCGCCACCAATTTGACGAAGAAAATGACCTTCGTAACTGAACACTTTGACGCAATGAGCACGATTGTCAGAAATGAATATCTCTTGCTTATCATTAACCACAACACCATTAGGAAATTCAAGATGCGCAGAACAACCAAACTTCTTGAGTACATTTCCCATTTGATCGAAGATTAGTACCCTCATTACCTTGCATTCGACAACGATTATTTGACCTTTGTTGTCAACGGTTACACCTCTTGGGTGTTGAAGAATATTGGCACCAAACTTTCTCACAAACTGGCCATACTGATTGTATATTTGGATTTGGTGAGTAGGAGATCTTTCGGTGACAATGATATCGCCAGATTGTTTGACCACAGCAACACGATTTGGGTATAATAATTGGCCATCACGTTTACCACATTCACCAAATTGGAACTTGAATCGTCCTTCTTTGTCAAAAATCTGAATACGATGGTTATTGGTATCAGCAACAATTATATCGTTCTGTGCATTAACAGAAACTCCTGAAGGTTCAGTGAACTGGCCCTCAAGAATTCCAAATTCCCCAAATTTGCAATGGTATATCATTTTTTGACGTTTGATTTGAGATTTGATGGGTAACAATGATATAGCCGAAGTTAATTTGGTAGAAAGATCGAGCAATGGGTCCGAGAGCGAATTGAATGGTTCTGATATAGATGGGGTGCTGTTTGTGTAAAGAGATGAATCGGGTGAGCCTCCTAATCCACCAATAGACCATTTTTCATATAAAGTGGCAATTGAGTCTGATAATGAGATATTACTCAAAGAACGTGTTCCATTGTTGGCTCCATTACTTATAACTGGACCATTATTATTGGCAGTGACTGTGTTGTTTGAGGAATTAAATCGCTTTTGAAGAAGGGAATCAATTCCGTTAGTGTGCTGATTGAAGGAACTCACTCCATTTGGACGACTAATAGGAGGTTGCCTGGACTCAGTTGACGAGCTTCTAATATACCCGTAAGTATTTTTCACACTTGTCTGTTATAACGCCATAATTACCAAATCCCCGATTCCATTCCAAGAGCGAAAACGTGTTTGTAAGTATTAGTGGGCATGGAAGAAGTCAAAAACAGGTTCAAGGTGAATAAAGTAGCATGAGTGAGATAGAGAATGAAATTGGTGGAAAGAGAAAGTAGTTGAGGTGAAATAAGAGAAGAGCGGGAGAGGGGAAATGAAAAGAGAAGGGGAACAAAACAAAAGATAAAAATGAGAATGAAAGTAGCGAGTTTAGTATACAACAGAAGTGAAAGTGAAGAGTAGGAGAAATAAAGAGAAGAAAGAGAAGAAAGAGGAATTAATAAACCGAGCAAATCAACCATGGCTAGGATGGAGATCAATGTAAGCTGATTAAAGAAAGAAAGAAGAAAGAGAGAGAGAGAGAGCAAGACAACACATCAACTATGGGAATATCTCCCTGAGTGCATCGACATACTCTCTTCTCATGCTACCAGTACAGAAATTAAGGAGTGGAAATTGACAATAAGAATAGGCCACTAACCTGTATGGCTTGATAGTTGGACACAAACTCCAATTCGGCTTTAGGTATGTTTATGTCAGGCTCAAAGTTTCGTATTTGAAGTAGAGGGGCTTCAATAAGTTGTTTAAAAAGCAACAGCTCACAGGTATCATGACTTGATGAAAATTTTTTGAATCGATCAACAAACATTGCAATCTGCTTAACCTTGTCGACTCCTTCGATAACCTTTGAGTAAAGATGATTCAAATTGACCAGCTTCGAATTGTAAATATCATCCAACTCTTTAAGTGTCTCGGATTTACACTCGTCCAATTGATTAACATAGAAATTGAATGTGTCATTAACATCATTCTGCGCTTTGGTATACTGGTGATGAAGTCTATCAGTGATGTGTTCTATTGTTTTCAATGTTACATTCAGCTCGTTTGCTTTGGCTTTACCCTCTTCAATAAGGTTGTTGATTTGGTCCATCTATAAAAGAAAAATAATTTAAAATAGTCAAAAGAATTAGAGATTTAAAACAAAGCAAAAAAAAATATATATGAAAGAGCAAAAAGTTGACAAAATAAAGTAGACTTTGAAGAAAGGCAAAAACTATGACCAAAACATAAATACAAAATAAAGATAGAGACTCAATTTAAATGAAGAGGGGATAAATCAGCAAAATCAAACAATGAACCCAAGTGTATAGTTCAATATAGAGAATGATAATAGACTAAATTAAGTTGATGTCAATGTCTTAATTTAAAGTATTATGATGATTACCTGCGGCACATTGCAGGACATTATGATTACGAAATATAAACTTTAATAATGATTAGTGTGTTGTCAATTAATTGTCATTCAACTAATCTAGCAAAAATTTATCAACCAACCATTTTTGAGAAAAGAGGGTGTAAAAAAGTAGCCTTTGCACTTTTTGTTTATCAAAAAGAACCCCTCCTCGGGATCATTGCTAGGACCTTACCAAAATTAGAAAAAGATGGCAAAACAGAAAAAAAAGGAAAGAGAAAATAGAAAGGGAAACAAAGAAGTTGAGCAGTCATTGGCTTAGAGAGAGAGCAAGAGGGAAAAATAGGGGATGACAAGGAGGAGAAAGATAAGACAAGGAGGGAAAGAAAGTGAAAAGAAATGAGGGAAGAAAGGCAATGAATAAAGATGAGAGGCCATTGCTAAATCTGCTTGACAGCAATGGGTACTGCTAGCACGAGACAACGAGAGCAAAATAAAACAATATGGCAAAATGGATTGTAAGCGAAGTGAAAATAAAGGACAGAAATGGCAGCGACAACAAAGGCAACCGAGAATCAGGCAATGATAATGAAAATGTAAAAATGTAACAAGAAATCTACCAATCTTAAGGCAAATGGATTCATTTAAACGACAATAAACACCGAATGGTCACAGGAAAGATGGCAATGAATAAGATGCAAAGGGCAAGAGTTTAAGGGCAAGAAAATGTAAAGATAAGTTCTTAAAGCCAAGCTATAAGAATGTCATTGACACTAAACTTACCTCGTCGATACTTTGCTTGAAATGGGATTTATCTTTGGTTTCTTTATCTTTCATGTCAGCTTTGACGATTACTTGGTTATCAGACATTTTGAAATTTTAAAATGCGAATGAATTTAACAAAAAAAAATGATTATAAAAAATGATGAGATAAAAAATAAACACGCTTTTTGAAGTGAAAAATCACTGGTTGTTTGAGATGACAACTTTTAAAAAAAAGATGATGATGATGGTCAATTATTAACAAATAGCAAAATGTAGATAATTTTGGTAAAACATATAAATTAACAACGGAAAAAGAGATAATAATTTCAATCGACAGTTTTGTCGCGCTTTAAATTGAGCATTTTGTTGATCTTTATTGCAGAGAAAAAGGAATAAATAAAACCAATATCTTTTCTCTTTCTCCTTTCTTCTGCTTCCCTTTCTATTTGTCTCAATCCTCAGCCAAGAACGCCATCTCTTTTCAATATTTTGTACATTTAAAAGCAACAACAAAGGTCGGCTGTTTACTGGTAACCGGTTATTTGGCCTTAGTTTTGGCTGATCTGAAAACCTAGCAACCATTCAAATGATATTAATTTTTATTTCCATCCAACCTTCATCTGATTTTATTTATTTTATTTTTCAACATCTCTTTATTTCTCATTTACCAGACTGGCTTTGACTCCATTTCATCCTCATCACCACCTGAACTTGATGATCCCGAAGCCAGAAGTCTTCTAACACCCAATGATTGTGACAATAGGTTTCTCCATTTACCCGAAGGAATCGACTTAGCTTTACATCGTACTAAACTATGGTCCAAATATGCCAAAGATCTGATTAATTACATAGACAAAAGAACTAACTTGGGTGAGTTTGATTAAGGCAACCAGTTAAGTCTTGTAATTTGGTCGTCATCATTCGTCACAAATTGGACTAAATGTCGTTCTATTGTCTGTTTAACTCAACTTTGAAAAACATGTTTTGATGACTTGACGAAAGCCTAAAACCTTTGGCTACCTCTTAATGGAGTTAGTTTAAGAAGAGCGTAATCATAAGCATAAGCATAATTTATAGTGGAAGGTAATGGATGAAGTAAGGTTTATTAAGGGGTTCCAGTGAAAACGGCGGAACAGAACGTTATTTATAACGATTTTATAACAATTCTCTGTGTTGAACCCTGAACTCTGAGAATAAATACTCGAAATTCAAATCGGTAATTGGTTACGGTTAAAAATAAAGAATTGAAAACTGATTTTAGTTCAAAGCCATTGGTCAAGTTAAATAGAGCTTTTATTTTCTTTGTCCCAATTCCTTAAAGTTCGTAATATTTGGTCAACTTGCGGATTATCTGAGTTACGAAGAAGCTTCATTACTTCATAGAGTAATTCCCTGCAATGTTAAAAAAAGGAATAAGATTAAGTATCATTGTATTATAAGTATGCCCATGTTTTAGTGAAACTTTTGATAGTTTGGTGAAAACTGTGACACAAGTAAACTTCAATTCACCTTGGTTCTTTGCCAGCAACAATCAATTGAAAAAGTCCAACACAAGCTCCTCTTTTTCCTTCCCAAAATTCTGGATTAGAATCACTTTTCTCTAAATGATCAAAAGCTCGAGCAGAATATAAAAATTGTCCCATCTTTTGCAATGAAACAAATAGAAATGGAAAAAAAGAAATAAGAACGATTAGTTGTGAACATTCGAGTTATTGCTACTGATATTAAAGTAAAATTAATGTAGCTAAATAGATTTTACAAATACTCACTTTGTAACAATCATTCGCAATTAGATTAAGATGATTGAATGAATCCGGTCGAGATGAATTAACTTCATAGAGCTGCCAGGCTTTTTCTGGTGTTTTATTCATTATGTCTATCAATTAAAAATAGCGAGTAATATTAGCAAAAAAGCTGAAATAATTTATAAAAATGTTGAGAAAAATCTTAATTCTCAGTTTTATAGAAGCAACAAAAAAATTACTCTGAGTAATTTGGTTTCATGTATCGAAAGTTTTCGGAATAAGCAGATTAATATCAGATTTTTAACAAATTATCAAAGTGAATGTGGTTAAATGCAACAAGAAAATATTATTACTTACAACAACGGATAAGCCAGCTAATATAAATAGGATCAGATATGATTTTGATATTCTTGATTGATAAGAAAGCTTCCTCGGCTTCGCTATAATTTCCAGTAGCAGCTTGAGCTTGACCAAAGTTGAAATTGAAGGCGTCATCCGAATAGAAATAGCTTTTGATTGAACTCAAGTAAAGTAAAACATCATCGAATTGTTTCATCAAGAAAAAGCATGATGCCATACATTGACGACCAGGAATTGTATCTTGAGAAGAATAAAGAAAGAGAGAAAATATGAAATATTCGAAAACAAAATTAAAAAGTAATCACATTTAATTACCACATTCTGAGGCTGATCCACCAACAAGTTGAAAAAACTGTTGAGCTACTTTGAGAAACTCGCGTAAACCCTTTCTTTGTCCATAAGCAGCATTAACAACACCTTTTAAAATGTACTCATGAGGCACTGTTGGCTCTAAATCCTTAATCAAATTGAAAGCCTCTTGAACATCATCTAGATAAAAAAAATAATTGAGACGGAAAAAAATTAGATTTAATAATACAAAAGACCAATTCACGATTTTACCTTGTTTAAGATGTTTTATAACCAAATTGAGACGAGCTTCAGGGATCGCTGATTGATAAAAAAGGGTAAAATAAGAAACGTTAAATGAAGTCCAATCAAATTATAAGTCTTTTTTTTCATAAAATTAACTAATTATACTCAACTGTCAACAAGTCCAGGCAATACTTGCATTGCCCCTTCACCATTTCTGAAGACAACTAAATTATGTCTGATTAAGTCTTTGGCATAAGCAAATGATGGAGATGAATTATCAATCAATTGTCTCAATTCGTTCTGAAATAAGACTTAATGTTATTAACATTGAAATGTCTAGTTTAATTGATGATTTGTTTTCTCACCTCTGCAGCTTTACCATTATACAAACGATAGTGATTGCAAGCTTTCAGGTTAATCGCTGTTACAGAGTCAGGGTAATGTTGAAGATAGACTGCAAGAACTTCTTGTGAAACATCATAATAATCAAGCTTGTAGTAGCAAAGAGCAACATAAACATTGAGAGCTAAAAAATCTCTATGATCTAAAAGTATCTTTTTATAAATATCAATTGCTTCCTGAAAATGTGAACGCAAATAGTGGATTGAGGCAAGACACAATTGATCTTGTAAGACATCCTGAAGTTGCTGGTGAAAATGAATAAGCGTCTTTTCATCGCCATTTTTATGAGCCAAATGAAATTCCAATCGGGTTCTCAATTGATTACCATCAATTGGTGAGGACAACGATAGACTCTTGGAGCATTCTGAATACATTCCCAATAGGAATTGACAGCAACCAATGTACAAATGAATTTCATTGCTGGTAATCTGGGTTGTTGTTGACTCCTCGTTTGAAGGTAACTTTTTAACCAGATTTTCATAAAGACTCAGAGCAGCTGAATATTCACCCAGATGAAAGTAACAATAACCAATCCAAAGATCGTTATCAAGGCCATCTTTTCCCGAAGATTTGTTATACTTGAGAGGTTACCAGAAAGTCAACATGGAAAAGGGTAAAAATAAAAAACAAAATTGTTAAATATATCAACAGATAGGTACGTAAAAGGGAAGCTTTAATGGCTCTTTTGATCATCTACGCAACTGAGATCATTTGATTGTGTTATTATGGCTGATTAAGTGAATATTTATTTTGATAAATCAAGTGGAATAGATTTTAATGATTATAATTACCTTAAGAAGCGCTAAAGCTCCAGTATAATCTCGGTTTTTGAGAAAATCTTCTAGACTTGGTATAACACTTTTGGCCGATCCACTACTTCCAGGATTGCTTCCCGTTGACTTTGTTGACACTGAAGATTTTACTCTTGATAACAACTGAATTAAAATACAAGAAATTGGAAAAAGATTTGAAATTAAGAAAATTAGTAAATATTGAAATGGTAAATGTTGATGTGCAAAAAGTGTCTTAACAAATGGGTGAAAAAATTGGATCGTATAAACATGAAGCTTATGCGATATGTTGTTTAGTAATTAAAATATTAGCAGTTTACCATTCTGGCAAGTAAATAAGTAAATTATTTAGTCCAGTTTACAATTGTTTACAATTTAAACTGTAAACACAAATATTACAATAAATTGTTAGACTTTTATGTGATCTTTGTTTTGCCCAAGCATTTGGTTTCCTTGGTATCCATACGAAGTTGCTTTACCAAACATTGAACTTTCAACATTTTACCAGCAACCAGAATTTTATGAACTAGCATCTGGTTACAGTCTAGTTGATCAATCAAACACACAATTTTTGATTGTTAGCATTGGTTGCAGAGATTTGGTTAGATGCTGGCCGATTGGTGGAACGAAAATCATGAATCTCTTTACGTTAATGTTTGTGTAACAATAAAGATTGCAATTTACAAATTGTTAGGTTAAGATTTGATTTGTTTGTAATAAATGATGTAAAAATAGACAATAGAATTGAAAAAGTTATGAGCAACAGTTTAATATTGAAGTAACATTTCCATTTAATCACAATTTAGTAATTCAACAGAGAATATTATTGCAAGTCTTTTTTTTACAAAGTTGTATCAACATCAATAAAGGTATTATTACATTGAACATTGGATAAATTTTATAGTAATTAAAATAGCAACAAGTTTGATTATTTAGGGTTCTATATTAACAAAATATGAATGATAAGAAATATTAAGTGACAACATAAAAAAAGAAACATGTTTTAGAATAAAATTTCATCCAAAGTGGTTAAATTGAAAGATCCTTAAAGCTTGCAATTTTGGTTACTATCAAGTTGATTAAGTTTGAATAAGGATCACTTAGTTTGAAAGGCATTTAAAGGTAGCCCACAATGTTTTACGAATGATATTAAATCAATTAATCTCATATTTTATATAAAATTTTGATTATTTACAATGAAACCTGATAATTGTCTAAAAACAGTTTTCATTTTAGCATTGAATAACCTCTCCATTGATGGCTTTTCATTTAAACATCAACCATTTGTTTCAGTGTTGAACATGTTATTTGAATTATCATTATTATTGGTTCCTAAAGATAATGAAGGTCCATTTGATATTATAGATGCTTTCCTTGGTCTAGTTAGGGATAAACTGGACATAGCCATTTGTAATTCATTTGTATTGGATGGAGAAGTAGCTGGTGATGATAATGTCGATGAAGATGGTTGAGATGATGTTTGTTTGATGGATTGGTGATGTGAATGACTGTGATTATGATGTGTTGAATGGTTCTGTGAATTTAATGATATTGATCCTGAAACCAGGGAATGAGGTCGAATGGATGAGTTTGAGGTTGAAGTTGAAAGAGGTGAAGATGATAATGATGAAGATGAGGTTAGAGATGTTGGTGAGGCAAAAAATTGTCGCCTGGCTTCATATAATGAATGCCTTGAACCACCAATAACATTAGACCGATTCAATCTATCATCTGAGTCATCATAATTAGGTAAACTTGAATGTATTAGTGATGATGGTCCAGTGATTATTTGTTGACCAGATAATTTGATTACAGCTGAAGATGAATAAATTGAAGGAGTTGGTGATAATCTTTCACGGTCTAGACTTCGCTTTCCATCAACACCATTATTAAGTCCAATAACATTATTATTGTCATTCTCATTAATCTTGTTATTATTTTTATTATTGTTGTTATTGTTATTATTGATAGTGACAGTGTTGTTATTGTTGTTACTGTTCTTAATGTTTTTAATGCTGTAATTGTTGCTGATTATCCTGTTATTTTTGCTCTGTGGTTTATCATTCAATTCACCTCTATCATAAAGATTGTTATTTCCCTCTAATGTAAGGGTTATTTGGGTTCGATTTGTTTCTTTTAATTCATTTTGAGAGAAGTGTTTGTCCACCAAGTCTGGTTCATTTCCATCAATCTCATTATAAATTGAATTGGTCAGTTTCTCTGATGGTCCAAAAATTTGATCGACATAAGTAATCAACAGTTGAACTGCCCTTGCTTGGTGACCCGTGTCAACAAGTGAACTCAATGAATCACCTTCAGAAGAGCGTAATAATGTTGGACCAAATACGATCCCTAAATTAGATGATGGCATGTTATTGACTTCACTTTGGTCAGCAACGCGTTTCAAGTGATGGCACAAAAAGGCAAGAGTTTGATAATGAACTGTGGGTAGGTTTTGGGTTACTTGTTTAAATTGATTGATAATTTGAACAGCAATGGATGCATCATCCGAATCAGGTCCATTACCATCAGCATTTGAAGGATACTGTTTAGCAATACGAATAAATTCAGAATACAATTTGAAAGTAATCAAAGGTTCAGGCAATTGGCGAAGGTAAAGCTTCAGCACATTTGCAATCACGTTGGGATGAACATCTTCAATATCAATTGAATCAGTAGAGCTTTCAAAAAATTGACAAAGCTTATCAACTTTAGATTTAACTCCTGAAACACGGTAAAGTCCTTTAACCATTATCCCACGATTATCTAATTCGGTGATACATTTAACAATAATATAAGGTATTTCGTCTCCATGAGATTTCAAGTCAACACCAAAAGTAGTCATTTTCTTGGACAATCCTCGCATTCGTCTATTACTGCATTTAATTGTAGTCAATTCTATCCGGCACTTAGTATGACAAGTTAATCCACACTTGATTTGTTTAGATCGGGTGAAACATGATGAGGAAAAACATGAAAATCAAAAAAGAAGAACATTAGATAATTCAGTAAACAACATGAAAAAAGACGGTCAAGCTCAGTTTTTTGAGGTTTGAATTTTAAAAGCTAAAAAATGATAACTTCAGGATGAAAGAACTAATTGAGCTTAGCTGATCAACAACTAGCTAAATAATTGATTGAACCTTGTCTAATAATGATATTTGTGTGTTTAGTAAAACCAGTTTACTTATTGGTAATGTGGCAAAATCACAAATCAAACCATCGGTAAGGTTCAGAACTCTATTAGATATGCAATTATTATTATTATCTTCATTATTAGCAGAAATAATAGAATCACTATTGTTGCTTTTTGATGCAATCAAAATTTTTTTCTTCAAAACCTTGACTGGGTTAGTTGAAGAACGTTTAACTACATGCATTAAATCAAATAATAACTACTTGATTGAATCTGAGAACATAAAATGTAGTAAAAAAGTAGCAATGAACTTTTTTTGCTTCTCTATTTACTCAGATGGACTTTGTTAAATGTAACTTTGTATTGTTAACTGGCAATAAAAAGATACAGGTGAAGGAAACGTTAAGGTTAAATATAATATAAAAGGTTATTAATGATTTAGTAGGTTCGAAGATGAATCAAGATGATCACTGAGATAACAATTAAAGATGAAACGTACATTGATACATTCAAGGCCTTGGAAGCAAACATAAGCATCACAATGGCGACATCGAGATGGTGTTTTAAGTTTACGAAAATGGTGACTTTGGGCTGTTATGGGAAGAGTTGAGCTTTTTGATGTACATTCATAACCATTTCCAACTGTTGAATCTGAATAGAAGATGAAATAAAATGTTTAACATTAGATTGGTGAACCAACGTCAAGTAAGTCATCACAATTGCTTTCAAATACATGACAAACAATATGGTTGTAATGATGAAGGATTCTTGTAATGTATCGTGAAAACTTACAATTGGTAACTCCGTCAATTTCATCACCTGACGAGTTAATAGGTAAACCAATGTTATTTGAGCTTTTTAAATGATCCTTATTAACGGAGTCAACGCCATTCTCGGGACAATTTGATAGGTTATGGTGTTTATTATTACAATTAACTCTTTGTGGCTGCTCTTTAATACTTGTCATTGAATTGATTGACGGATCAAATTTATAGTTGCCGTAAGATCCATTACATTTTCTCAATTTTTCTGTAAATTCAGGCAAATGTTGAACATAATCAGCATATTCACTTGCAGGCTCATAGAGTTTAGTTAAATCACTTAGAGCTCCAAACTGTCCAACAATTGGTTTCAACAAATTGTGTTGACACTCAAAATAACCAATGGTCACTGCTTTTAACGTTTGATCACATTGGTAAATTAATTCACGAATCCGAGTTAACAAGTTTTTCTTTAATTCCTCACAGCTTCTGGTTCTGGATAAAACAAAGAAAACGGTAAATTAGTAAAATTGTGGTCAAATCATCAATTGTAATTGTTACAATGTTGAAACATACACAAATGAGAAACAATAGGGAAAAATATATTCACTGGTGAAACAAAATAGCTAAAAGGCTTGATGAGATGCTAAATTTCATGGTTATCCATTGATTGTTAATATAATTTACAATATAAAAATTGAACATGAATTTCATTTACAGTGATTAAACCCTGTTTATACAGCGAGAGTTGAAGATAAATTAAAACTAAATATCAAGGCAAAATGGTTAACAAAAGGAAATTACGTTAGTACAGTTGTTGATGGTAACAGCAACCCTCATATTCATCATGATTATTACTAGAGTTAGTTTTGTTTTATTACTACCCTTACTTGCCTTGATAGCGTTAATTTATTAACATCCCTAATGGTTAACCTAGTTTATCAATCACAATTAATGTCTCTGATATTATAGCGGATACGAGTTAGATTGCTTTAGGGTTATAAAAATCAAACAGAGCTAAAAGGGATACAAAATTGTAGATTGACCTAAAAGCGAGTATAAACTAGAAATACGAAAAATTATGGAATCTCCGTCAACATTGAGATGGAGAATCAAGCCTTTGAGCAATTAATGACCAAATCAGCGTTCCTTTTTACCTTGCATTTGCTTCATTGATTGCATTTCGATAAATTATTTCAGCCTCTTGAGCTCGAAGGCAAGCTTCTTCCTCGATTCGTTTCTTTCTTTCACATTTACTTGCTTGATCACTGCCTCCATAACATCCACCAACAATAGCACCTGGACCACCAATAATTGACCCTTGCATCTCACTGGAATGAGATAATTCTGGAGCTAAATTACTGAGTGCTCTAAGTCTTTCGTATTCCTGTTTACGTTGAAAATAAACCATCCGAGCTTTCCTTAGGTTACTCAGTGCTTCGTGTGTTCGCTTTAGTTCACGATTCCATTCCGATTTAATTTGTTTACGCATTTTTTCATGTTCAGCTCGACGGGCTGCCAATGGTTCTATAAATTTGTGTCCCATTAGGAGTGAACAATTGGCCAGAGTGGCACAACTATTGTCCAGATCATTGTCCAAGGCTTGAAGGTAAATTGATTGAAGAGGAAGATATTTCTGAATAATGGAGATAGAAGAAAAATTAAATTACTATTAATGTTCAACGTTTATGATTAAATTTACGACAAAAACCCGTAAAAGTTAATCTACAGAAAAGGCTTAATTGACTGTAATTCAATGAGAAGAGGTAAAGAGGATTGAAATTGTTAATAGGATGAAAATGGAGGATAACAAAAATTGATAAAAATGACATAAACAAGATTATTAAAAAAAAGGTTATCAAACTTACCTCTTCCTTTAAGATGGGTTTCACAGATTGAGCTAATTTAGTTAAATTGCGAACATGGTCAGCTTCTGTTTAATGGGGCGAAATAGGATTGTAGATAAGGAAGTGCGTTATTAAATTTAATCATGAAATAAGGTGCAAATAAAAGAGACATGATTTGGGTTGTTAAATTGTCATTGCAACCTGATCGTAAACCATTATTGAAATTGAACATTGTTATTCACCAAAAAAATCAAGTTTACATTAAATATTAATGTTGATTGTTGTTTAGTGGCTTGTAAATGTGATTTTTTCAGTGTTAGGTAAGGGAAGTAATTTGGATTATGTGTTATAATCAGTGGTATAATCGTGATTCAAATCATGATTACATTAAGAAGGATCTCAACATTTAACAAATCATGATCATAATGATAACCAGCAACAACAAAGTGACAACATCAAACATCATGTTGATCAAAATGAAAGGTTTTATTTTAAAGGTTAATCTTATTGTATTTTGGCTTAAATTGTGGGACCATTGATTTGGTTATGCATCGACTAGGCTCTTCAAGAAATCATGAACTTGATTAAATCAAACGATTTCCTGATTGTTGACTGAGATATTGAAATTTTGCTACACAAAAATGCGTAAAATGGTGTAATATTTTGATTGTAAAATTGCTGCTTATAGTTGATTATACAGAACATGGTTAAACACAATTTAAAACCAAATACAATAATCAAGTGTTCAACAGAAATCATATCAAAATATTTGATCAAGAACAATTGACAGTTTAATAACCAATGAATGGTTGATTTGATGAGAAAAATATACTTCAATTGATCGTGTTTTAACAATAAGTTAAATGAAAGAAACAAGATGAGAGTTGATCTTAAATTGTTTGAAATCAAATAATGGAAAAGCAATTTCAATTCTGTTAACAGCAATACAAATAACAAGTTCAATTAGAAGGTGAATTAAGGGCAATCAGTTGATGAAGTTAATAGTTTAAACTAATAATTAAACCATTCAAAAATCTCTACGTTAATCTGTAAAATCAATTTGTTTACACTTTTTTTTGCGCTGCTTCACATTAAATATTATTCATTATAATCATGATTATTGTAAGTTACTAATTGAATCAACATTCAATTGCAAGTGAAAAAATTATCGTAATTAAATCCTTTTAAGGTGAGGTCAATCATAATCTTTTAAATCACATTCATTGAAAAATTGATTTCAACGAAAATTCAACTTTCCCTTTGAATGCAACAAAATTGTTGATATTGCTGGTTAAATACAAGACAATTTTTATGTTTGTGGTTGATCAAGTTATTGTTAAAGTATATTAATACTAATCAAATAACCATGATTGATCTGATTGTGATTGAATGAAAGAAGCAAGAATCTCAATCAATAACAGATTAATAAATGAATATCAACAAATCAGCAAAGATGAAAGTTAATTGATGATCACAATGGGAGCAATTGAGAGCCCCATTGAGCGATCAGAAAAAGGGAAACAATTGAATTAACAGTTGTTAAAAGTGAAATTAAATTGAAATGCTAAATGTTGTGTGAAGAAGGTAAAAATTGTAACTTCAATTGGACAAAATCAGAAGACAATTTGATTAATCTATTAATAGAGACAATAATTTTTTACCGTCAATCTCAATGATTTATAAAATGGTTTAGTCTGGTAAAAGCAATCAATGGTAAACAATACAAGCTTAACCAGAATTTTTTACCTTAAGGTTTTCATTAAAAAAGCAAATTGTAAGATTTGACCATTTCAATGAAGAGGGAGAGATGATAATAATCAAGATAATGGTGACCATTAAGATGATGATGCCTTAAGGCTTATCCAAGATGTGATATTGAAGATGATTGGGGGAGTTGAAATGTTTCAGTCTTCCTTGAAACATTTCCATGCTTTTGTTTTCACTTTCATGTTTTTCATGTTTGGCTTGCAGGACAGTTATCGGGTATATTTATGATGATTGGAAACAGTTTTACCCAAAATGATGATATTTGCTTCTCACATGATACCTTTAACCATCAACAATAATCAAGTTGATTGATTCAATCAATAACTTTTCATCATTACCAGATTTTGGCAGGCAAACATCACAGAGTTTATCAGACAGATTAAAATAAAACTGAGCCTAATGAGGCTTGAAGCAAAAATTATTTTACATGAAAATAAGAAAATAAATTCATTTGGATTTGTCATTCTTCAACTGATTACTTTCTCATCATTAACATTTTCACCAGTAAAACCCATTTTTTGATATTAATAAGCCTTTTTATCGGTGAAACTGAGTTTTATTGGAAACGCGAGGTTTGATTGATCAACAATTATCAATTACTCTAGGGTATGATTGAAACGTGGTTTAACCTAATAACCAGATTGTTTCAATTAAATCAATTATTTCACCATTAGAAGCTTCATTTGTTTCTAAATGTTTCCATTAAAACCAATATTGTAACAGGTTAACATGAAAATGTTAGCTTAATGTTTTAATACACTTTAATGATGATTATAATCATAATGATCATCAAAGACAGGTAATTATAACAGTAGTCTGTCATGAAAATTAAACAAATTTACTTCATTACCTGGTTAAAATTAAAGCAGCAAATTATCGTTCTTGTTATAAATGGAAGCAAATTCAATAGTCAATCAATCACATGAAAGTGATCATTATTGGTAAGTAATTTTTAAACAGTAGGAAATTGCTATTAACTGATTATCATTATATTGATTAATATGAATATTTAACCATTCAAGACAATCTAATTTTGGAAATATTGAAAATTTGAAATTAAAATGACAAAAAAAAGATTTTCTTTGAATGTTTAAAAAGCGATTTCAATGAGAATAACAAAAGTCAGCTCAAGTTGAGTAGCTTCGTTGTTCAATTGGTAATTCAGGTAAAATCAAGATCGGTCATGTTCGTGACCGAGAAATACTTAGTTAATCGTGCTCATCGAAAATTTAGTAAAAAATCAAATTCTTTCTGAAAAATTTTACGCAAATTTTCATACAAATTTTCATGTGAATCTTCAAGTTACGGGAATGAATTTTTGATATAAATTTTAAAGTGAATATTCATTGAAACAATTGGAAAATATTTCCATCACAATTAGTGGACTTCAATTGATGACCCAACAGTACTTGACCGTAATCAATGATTTTTGGGTTTCCATTTGAGCTTGTTATTAACAAATCATCTTTGAAACACTAACATTGACTCCAATCGTAATGATAAAATACATATTTAATATCAACTGACCAGAACAAATTGAATAAAATGATTAATCAATGAAGAAAAGTTGAAAAGTTTCTCAACATTAATTGCTTTTCATTTTTACTGCAAAGTCAACTTGCTATTGAATATTGTTGATATTTGAAAGTGAAACGTTGAAAAAAAAGTGACGTTAAGTTGTGACCAAGAATGATTAATCAATGATTAATCTACAATTGAATTTAATTTCTGTTAAGAGGAAAGTTGCAATTTATTGTGAACTTTGTCTTGAGCTTCAACTGTTTAAGTAGAGCAAATGAATGACTTTTAAAGCACACATAAATTAACTTGACACTAATCAAAGCTTACAAACAGCAAGAACAAATATTTTCAGTTTACCTTTTTTTTCTGGTCAAGTTTGGGTTAACATGGGTTATTACATGGGTTAAGATGCGACATTGGATAAAATAACAAATCAAAGGTTTTCGTGACAGGTTAAGATGTGAGGACAAATTGATTTACACTCAGTGATTAATGTTAATCAAAATCATCATGATCCTTGTCCTAATCTAACCACACACTTACACACACACATTAGCTGAGTGACAAGAGACACTCAGACATAAAACACAAACCTTGACTCAACTCTTCGGGTAACATGAAAATGATATAAATGCTGGTTTATTTGCGCTTTTCAGCTTCTTCCTCGTTTCACAATTGAAATGGCTTTTCTGGAATGTTGATCCAGCTGATGATTAAAATTTTCATGTTAAATTAATTATTGGTTGATAGAGCTTAACAAATACCTGAGGCAAAATAATCAAAAGGTTTTACTATTGATAAATGATGAGAAGTGAAAATTGGGAAAATGAAAGTTGAAGTAAAACAAAAAATGCTGTAAAAAAACGCTGCAAATGTTTAGCTATTATTAAATTGATATTATTTAATTTAACATTTCTATCAGTTCTAATCATCATCAACATCATCATTATGTGCTATTATTATTGAATCATCGATAATTATTTAAGATTTAAATTGTGAGAGTTAAACTTGTCATTTTTACTCTCATTGGAACAGTCAATTTGGGTTTGAAACCATCAACAACACATTTTGTGTACAATTTACAATTAACATTATTATTGAAATGATTATTGAGACACGAAATCATATTAAACAATCATTACAATAAATCATTTAATATTAACGTTAATTTGTTTAAGGTTTATTATTAAATTTATAACACCTTTTCACTCCTTCCTGGTTAATATAATAAAAATTGTATTGCTATTTAAGGTTCTTTTGTACTGTGTATTCAATTGACAATACAATCCTATTTAACGGTTAGTTAATCATTTTGATGGATCAGTTTTAATCAGTCAAGCAACTTGTCGATAGATTTCATAGCTTTTCAGTTTATGATGTTTGTCAATAATAATTACAAGTTATCATAATTTTCATTCTAGACTCTGATCGTCTTGCATTCCTTAATTGTTGGGTTTGGTGAAAGTGAAGCTAAATTAGAGCTAAATTGCAGTACGATTTGATGGATCAGATTGGATGTAAAGAAAATTAAAGCTCAAGATTTTCAGATTTATCTGGTTTTGACCGAATCAACCATGGATTCATTTTGCTTGTTATCATTTGTCTGGAGTCGAGACTTGTTGGGTAGGTTGGCTGTTAATTATGCGAGAATTGATTAAAATAGATAAAATGACAATTTGAAGAAGCGCAATCAAAGTCAAATGCTTAATTTATACAAGGATGATATTAACGTGAAAAACGCTCACACAAAACATCAATAATCCCTTTTTGTTTTTGTCTTTAAACACCTTTAACAATGATTATTGAAGCAAATTAATTCACTTCTAGGTTGAAGGTAAGCTGAAAGTAAATCTTGGTGATTGTGGTGGGTGTTAATCAGTTGATTTAAATTTGATGGCAAAAAAAGTAAACATTCTTCATGGTGAATTAGCTAAATTGTTGTGAGTGTTGATAACATAATTTCCGGTTAATGGTGATGTAGTATGTTTAGCTAAACAGAAAGATCAATCAAAAAAGGAATCAATCTGACAATGAAACGAAAACATTTCAATATTTCAATTGTTGAACTATCAATAGCTCAATGATTCAATGTATTACATGTAATACATGATATAACATATTCTCATATTCCCATATATGACCTGAGTCAACAGTCTATCTCCTAAATTTCCTATTTGCTTCCTTTCAGTCGATTGTCTTTGATTTACTGATTAACCGGTGAACTATGTGTCAATTGATTTGTCAAGAAAATTCTCGGGTTTTGTCATTAACTGGGTTCAATAATTTAACCATTTCCGCCTCAATTTAATTGCTTTACTTAAGAAACTCCTGGTTAGTTAATCAACAGCTATTCTGGTGACTTCATAGACTTTGAAATGGCCTAGTTACAATTTTATAACACCAGTAAACACAACTTCATGTTAATAATTGATTATCATCATTTTGGGCTTTCGTTAAGTCATCAAAACATATTTTTCCAAGTTGATTCAAGCACGACAATAGCACTACATTTGGTCCAATTTATGATGATTGATTACGATCAAGTTACATGACTTAACTGGTTGCCTTAATCAAACTCACCCAAGTTAGTTCTTTTGTCTATGTAATTAATCAGATCTTTGGCATATTTGGACCATAGTTTAGTACGATGTAAAGCTAAGTCGATTCCTTCGGGTAAATGGAGAAACCTATTGTCACAATCATTGGGTGTTAGAAGACTTCTGGCTTCGGGATCATCAAGTTCAGGTGGTGATGAGGATGAAATGGAGTCAAAGCCAGTCTGGTAAATGAGAAGATGGTTCACAATTAATTTAATTTTGTTTAGACACCAGGAGAACAAGTCAATTATAGTTTGTGAGAAGGAATTTGCAATTTCAAGACTATGATAGACAATCAAATCAAAAGTAAGGTCAATTAAACAGATAATCAAATTTTTTCGAGTTATGGTTGTCACACCATTTTCCTTGGAAACACTACTCGGTGAAAGGCGCGATGAGTTTAGTAATGGTTTTGTTGAAGAGAAATGGGACGATGACGATTTACTCAGCATGTTTATCAACTGACAGATACTAAAGAAAGCTAGAAAAGCACTTGTAAATAGCTAATTGTGGCAAGGTAATTAAATATACAGAGAATAATACATAAAATAACGAAAGAAAAAATGTATTCAAAGCTAATTATTTCTGAATTGTCATTTCCATGCTAAGCTAGCTCAAAATTTTGTTGTTTTTGGTTATTCAAGAGAATTGGAGAAAAAATTGTTGCAACAAATCAAGGACTCTGAATGATTCGCAGTAATTAGTATTTTAACCGTTGATTTTAGACTCAAAGTGTTATCACAGTGTTAATTTTCAAACTGTTAGTCAGACTGGAGACTATCTAGATTAAAGAAATGGTGGGAAAAGAGATTGGAAGAAGCAAAATAGCGGCAATTAACCCTGACTAGATGACAAAGAGGATCAAAAATGGAAGTTGGTAATTTTTTTTAAATTTTCATTTGTTCGTTACTTACCATGTCATTGTTGTTTCCATTTGATTTAACACCTCCCATCAGGTACTCTGAAAGTCTATAATTAATTGGATCGGCTGATGAGTTGATATACTTGGTTCGACAAAATAACATGATGATTAGGCTGGAATATAAAAACGAAAAAAAAGTAAAACAAAAGCGAAGAAAACAAATAACCTTTATGACTGGTTTTAACAAAGGAAACGTTGGGATAAAAATGGAGGGAAGATGAAAAAAGAGAGAGGTAAATCTAATTTTGCTTGGTTAACATGATTTGTTAATTTTAAACAAAAGGGTAACCAACAAAATATTGGTAATCATTGGAAATCGGCTTCTCATGGTTCATTTTAGTGTAACTTATTTCAATACTAGATGGCATTTTATTTAAACAATTGGTTTCTCCAGTTTGATTACAGCTTAATGGTTGACATCTGTAAATTGTTAAATTAACTCTATTTGTATTGCTATCAAATAACTCTTGAATTATGTTTTGTGAAATTTTTAAGAAAATGTTCCTGAAGGAAAAATAAGTGAAATGTATTTTGATCTAATGGTGATTTTTTTCCTGGTTTGTTTCTGGTTCGTATTGTTTGAGGAAAATCTTTAACCATGACTCTAGAAAAATTCAACTTACTCTGAAAAGGTTTTTTTGGAATGATTATCTACAAGAATCAGTGTTCTGGTTCATCGGGTAATGGATAAATTTTGGTTTATCGACACCAGAAAGATCAGGCTATTTGTTTTGAAGCATATTGTAAACAATGCAGATCAGATGATGAAGTTAAATGTTTGGTTGATTGTGGGTGACTTCAACATTAAACAGATAATCAGTGTGGTATTTAAAGGTAGAAACCAAATTGTAATCGACGTCAATTAGCATTAATTTTAATTGTTGGTACCAAAAACTTGAGACGTTATTTTGTGTTTTTCAATTTTGTTACCATAACTGATCTTGATAACCAAATAGAGGAGTGATTGGAGTTGAGACAATTTGCAAATTATTTCCAATTTGACTTGATTAACAAAATTTTGGAGACAAGTAAAAACACTCTGAGTTACAGTAATTTGTGCCTTTATATGTGAAATCCAAACAATATTGGTAGAGATCAATTATCAACTAAATTGAGGTAAAGAATCCAACATTTACACATGATCACAGGACCAGCTGAATTACTTAATCATATTGACAATATAAAAATAAATGGCTATGGTTTGATGGATGAATAATAAGGTATAATTCAACAAATTGGCTGATCTAGATTGTGAAGTAAGGTATAGAGATAGTAATTGATTTTACCAGTGATCAAGCACATATCATTGTTCATTAAAGCATGATGTAGTTCACAATTAATCCAATTGATCAAAAAATTAAGTGAGAGTTAAACATTAACACAAAACAAAACAACATGAACTGAAAAAGCATCAAAGTGACAAGACAAAGGTGATTTAGATTGTGAAATTGTGAAGGAAGAGAAAGAGTGTTTGTTGATGATGATTTTTTGATGGTAATTGTGGATGATGATTGACAGTTGAAAATGAAGAATAAATTGTTGTTTAATACGGAAACATAAATTACGATTTAAAAGCACCTTATTAGTTATGGGTAAGAAATAAATTTAAAAGCATAATCAAGTTGACAAAAATTGACGTTAAAGAGGTAACCATAATGATGAACCTGCATCGACAAGACAGACGATGGCAAGTGTAACAAAAAGAAAAGGTAAAGGGTACAATTTGTCCTGGAATACGTAAAACTAAATTGTTGATAATCACATTTAAAAATATACACACACACACAATCAAAGGTAATGACAACGGAAGCAATGAAAATAAAAGAAACAAATCAACAACAATCAAAATGATGAAAAGTAGCAAGGAACATGGAAATATGAAACATTGAAAAAAGAGAAGATACGATGAGAATGGAAAACAAACTGAAACTGTAAAACTCAGTAAATGAACATCCTGCTCATTGTTGGCTCTTCTGACAACAGCGTGCGAATGAGCTTCATGTTGACTGATTCCATGCTGTGTGTGTTGATGGTGCCAGTAGAAAGAGAGAAAAAGAAAGAGAAGATAAGCGAAAGAAGAGAAAGAGAGAGAAAAAAAACTGGTAGTAAACTGTCCTTGAGAATTGTTGCTTTTTGTTGAAAATAAGATAAACTCATCGGATCACTTTTTCTGGTTACTTTCACTTTTACCCAAAATGACTGAAAAGGGCAAAAATATTTTAGATCTAATTTTTTCTGATTTTTTTCTTCACCGTTTCTTATCACCTTTACAGGGTTTCCAATAAGAAAGTAACACAATTTAAGTATTAAATTGAAACCTTTCTTCAACCAGATTTTAATAGAAACCAGCTCTTCAATTCATCGAAACATATTTTTGATTTTGGTCGCGAGAGAAGTCCAGTTAATAAGTGATATTTTGTATTGTGAACCTTATTTTTTAATTTTTGTGCTTTCTGGTAATGGTTCGATTTACTGTTCAAAGGACTGTTTTTGTGAAGTCATTGAGATGGCAATAAATTATGAATCGGCGACATTACCATAAGACGTTTTTCCGTTTCCTTGTCTTCTAATTACAATTTCCCGGTTCCTCTTCATTTTAATCAACTATCAATATGTTGGCTATTTGCTGTCAATTGGAAGATATTGACGATTCGGTCAAAATCGGCTTTGAAATACTCATCACATTCACCGTCTTATCCATCAATCTCAACAAAATCGCCAGGCTTTTAGTGTGTGTATTTGCTGATTTACCATGTACTTGACCATTGTTATCATGGCTATTTTGATTAGATTAGGATGGTCATTTAACTTTAAAATCATCATTTATTTTGTTTGATTTTCTACAGCTTTCAATAACATTGGTTTGAGAGGTGAGTTGGAAACGGAAAACAATTGAACATGATTTTTGAATATCTGCTGAAATGGCGCTGTTGGTGTAAAAGTGGAACAAAACAAGATTCTGAAGGACATTAGATACTCTGTTGATTACCTTTCATTTTAATTACACTGTTTTAACGTGCAGTTGATCAACAATCAACTTAGGCTTTTTACTGGTTGAGTACTTGTCTATGAATCACACAATGACAAAAAGATGAAAGAGTAAGTTGAAAACAAAATAAGATGATCAGCAAACTAACGATAGTTTACTAATTGATTTTTAATCAAACAGCTTACACACAAATGATAAAATTATGAACCTTGAGAATCAACTTAAATTGTCATTAAAACATTTGTACAATTGTGTAATTTTGTAATTAATTTACACTCGTAAATATCTCTATCCTTTCATTTTCTGGTTGCTTTTCTGGTTTCTGGTTTTCAACCATTTCATTTGATTGTTGTTTTTTCATTGTTTTTCATTTCTTTGATCATCATCTTGTACAGTCAATGCATCATCGCATTGACATGCAAGGTTAATTGTGTGTAATGGACTTAATTATTGTGAAAATGATGATTATAATTGAAGTCAAGAAAACCAGAAAATCAGAAAATCAGAAAAGGTGAAAAACTTCGAAGCCAATATCTCAATGAGAACTTGAATTTCAATTGTGTTTCCATGTTGACTTTAAATGACTTCAATTTTGATTCAGTTTGATGATTGAGCTGCTAGAGCAAAATTAAACAGTAAAACGATTAAATATTTACTAAATAAAAAGACAATTGTAACCAAATCAGCAAATTTAATGATTACATTAACATTGATCTCTTCCATATGAATCTGTATTTGAATAACAAACGTTTCATTAACTTATTTTTTGCTTCGACCCAATTTGTATTGTTAATGTAGTGAATAAATTACCTGAATAAGGTTGCGCTTTAAATTTGTAAATCAACAATCAACAGATTGAAAGCTCATGATGAGCTGTTGATTACAATCTAATTATCTACTGTTATTCACCAATTCAAAGTGTCTACCTAAACTGACCAACAATCAAAAAAGGTTGAAAGCTGAAAAAGGCAAACAAAGATCAAAGTAAACTGTAAAAACCAGAAAAGTCAACCAAGCAAAATTTCCGGTCACATTGATGACCAGAATTGGTTTAGTGGCTATTTTTCAAATAACCGTGTCCATGAACTTGGTTAACCTAATAATAATTAGACTGAAGAAGAGTCCACTATAATAATACAAAAAATGGTCATTTGATGGATTCGTTACAATTGGATTGTGGTTTCTTCCCAACAAGAGTCACCATTTGTATCATTGTTTCAACATTGAATAACCTTTTGCCTGATGATTATGATTATTTTTATTGTTGTTGTTTCTGTAATGTTAATTTTATACAATCAGATGGTCGGCAGATAATAAAATGAAACATTTGTTTTCATGGAAACCTTGATTGAATTATTTTGGTTTCGGTCTTTTGATCAACTTTCACTTGATTACCTTCAAATTTTTAGTAGCTTGTAAGATTGTTCAAGTGTAGGTTTAATGTAATGGGAAATCGCCCAACATTGCCTTGTTAATATTAACTTTAATCGTTTCTCATCAACATCATCATCAACCTGATCACCATCATCATCTTCATCTTAATTTCTCTATGTTTTTAAATCATCTCATTAACCATTTTCACTTCACGTGTCAATGATATAAACTGTTCAAGAGAGGAACCAAACCTACGCAAGTAAAAAGCTAATATTTTTGGTTGCTCTTGGATATTTTAAAAGGTTTATTAGAGTGACTTTTGACACTAACCAATCAACATGTAAAATTTACCAGAAAATCAATCAAAAAATCAACACTGTTATTATTAAAGCAAGATAAATTAACTGCAATTAAATTCATGTCTTTTTCAAACTACAAGTTTGAAACATTTTGCACTTTCATGATGGAGTAAACAAACTGTTTCACTTTTGATATTTGCTCATCCAAAGATGTTTCACTCTTAAATACATAATTAATCAATCACTCAATTAGGTTGAGATGTAATTGCGAAATGAAATTTCCTGTGAATTTGTAGAAATTTTGAAATTTTGAGAAATATCATGAACAATCGCAATGCGAGTAAATGAAAACAATGACTTCAATTTTGTTATGGAAATTTTTCTTCTCAAACTGAAATGATTGTAACCAATTGTAACAATACAAGACAAGCTTTATTAAACACTTTTTTCATGATATTATCCTCAACCCAAACCTAGCATGTCAAGCACGTCCTTTAAATTGTCCATTACTTGCGGGACTCAACACTTGATAATCGAGAAGTAAATACAGAGCAAATCCAATGGGAAATTGCGGTTGGACAATGGGATTGAGAAAAGTCCTTTAAAGGTGATTTCCAATCAAGGCTTAATCAAGCCTGTTGGCAATTAATCAAGGAAGAATGATCTAGCATAAACCTTTAATTGAATACAATTTGCTTTTTAATGTCTTCTCATTGATTCAATTTGTTTTAAAATCAATCAAAGCCGTCAATCAATTTGATAGTCGCCCATGTTTGTGATGCCATCTTTTGTCTTTGTTTTCCTTCTTGTCCTTGGTTTTATCTTTAATTGTAATTATGATAACTATCCATCCCGGGCTAATTAGCTAACGTAACTGTTTATTTGTATTATCAATGTTCGGTGAACCACGATGATTTCAGTAGCTATAATTGGTGATTTTTGAGGTTTTGATCACTAGATCTATGGTTTTGCATATACAGTAAACCCAGACTTTTTCGATATTTTTGGAGGTACTCCATCTATTGAAATAATTCATACTTTTCTTTTAGGCTGATAGTTTTTCATCGTCTTCTGTTTTTTTATTGAGTCTTTTTGATTGGTTAAATTTAACTAAAGTTTTACTTATAAATGTAGAATGATCTTTATTCAAATATCCTTAATCATTTTGCATAGTGTGCTTGAACTGTATTGAATTCACTTATATCCATGTACTAACTTTTAATTTGTGCAAAGACACTGAGCTTTATTCAATTGTTAGAAAATGTATTACAAGGTCTCAAGATCGTGGATTAATGTTTGTTGGCCTACAAGAAATTACCAGTTCTTCAGCTAGATCTCAAGATAAGTTACAACAGTAGAGACATCAACTCAAACTAGAATTTTATGATAGTTCATTTATTTCGCTATTGATTACTCGCGGTGGCCCACCGCTATGTGACATGCCACAGCATGATCAAAGCTATCATGCATAGCGATGGAATAGGGTTTATCAACATTCATGGCTCCCCTAGCCTGGACAACAATTTTTTTAAAATGAAATTACGAATCCCCTTAGAAAAGCATACATGCATTTTTCTAGAAAAAACGCAATGGATTGCCGAGATCGAAAATGTAGCAGCTAGTTTCATCTAGAAGGTGGTGATTATCCATCGAATCAAGTCGAATTCACTTTGTTAACAAATTTGTAAATATTACATTTTTTAAATTTTGTTCACTTTTAATAAACTCATGAAACATCACCTTCTGCTCTTCTTGTCCATCGATGATGACGATAAATCTAAACTAAGAAATGATCCAAACACATGAAACATAATATGAAATAAATAAAGTAACCTTTATTCATAAATGAATTATAAACTCAGGAACTCACTTTTTTAAGTGTGTACACGTTCTCAATGGGTCCTTAATCGATAGAAGTTTGAGACACTGCACTTATTTATAAGAATACTCGAAACACAGTAAGAGATGATCTCTTATCACATAAACAACAACATAAAACTGAGTTTTTTTCAAAAATTTAAGATAGTTCATCATTCAAATTCAATTGGTAAATTTCCACAATTGCTTCTTCCGAGGCCTCAGCTGGGTGGCAGCATAACCAGGATTGAATTCACAAATAAATTCGATAGATTAAGACCGATTTTTCTTGGCTTTTCTTGATAATACTCTATATTGATTTTTATATTCATCATAATGAATTTCGCTGATTTCGAGTGAAATCCCAATGAAGTTGAGCTCGTCTTTGAATTCCCCGAACTTTTCCATAACAACTTTACACGATCCCTACAGAACAAGAGATTTAAATTTTTCAAAAGTGTATTCTGATATATTAGAGGACAGGACGACATAATCTATGTCTCCTGCATATCGCTCGAATGTGTTAAGTTTCAAAGTAGATAAATTTATCATTTTCTTTCTTTTGCTTGAAAAGTCTTATTGTTTGGACCAACACAGATGAGATTCTTTCTGAAATCTCCGTGTGAAAATTTTATATTATAATAATCAACTATTTTCCTTGCATCTTGATTTTCGTAAAGTCTGAACTCCTGACATAAATGATCATTGGCAATATATGCAGAGTAAACTTCTAAGAAAATAAATAGAATGAAAATAATATAATAATATGCAATCTTACATGGTTTGATTTCATCATTTGGTTGTCTATCATGTCTATACCAAAGAATAACTGCTCGACAGAATTTGGATATGCGTTCGGCAACGATGGGTTGATTATCGACAACAGAGCTATCACGATAAATGGGTAAAAATTTTACAACAATGCTTGCAAGTTGGAATTTGAAAATCTTAATTCATCTGCTTTTACATTGATTTCATCTCCATGGAACATGTCTTTAATGGCCACAAAAACTGAGAAAGAAACGGTGTCGAGGATTAAACCCCTTTTGACCTCAGCGCCAGAGGTGAGTAGTGGGGCGAACAATGTCGCGACAGAGGAAAATAGATTTTTATCCATCTCAAACCATCCTCCCAAGTGATGGGCGACGATAACATTGGCATCACTTTCAGATTCAAGATGCACTGACATAGTGCGTAGAAATACTTGTCGGACAATATTTTTGAAAGAACAATAAAAACAATTAAAAATCAAATATGAACAAAATTATGAATTTGATGGAAATATTTGAAAAAATAAGACTTCAACTGGAAATAAATCTTTAGAGAAAAAGAAGAATGGAAAGCGAACAAAACTAGTTATCTATTCAAACTCTAAATTGAAATGAACAGCTTGATTGGATTTTCGGCATAAATCATTGGTAAGCCAAAAGATTGTGGTCATAATGTGGATCTTGTCTCCTCTTATGTCTTCAGCCCCTGTTTTAATCGTAATTTATCATCATCATCTGATAAACCGTAAGCCTTAGTTAGCCGATCTCCCCTTATATTACACTTGAAAATATCCTTTGGTATTTATAATGGAATATCAATCAAGAAGCGAAGTGAAGCTCGCGGTGGCCCACCGCTATTCGACATGCCACAGCATGATCAAAGCTATCATGCATAGCGATAGGGTTTATCAACACTGAATGCTCCCCTAACATAGACAACGCTTCTATCCACAGTCTTGGTTCTGTGTACAGTCTGTTCTTAATCTTTAACAAGATCTAATGTGTCGATAGCGACCAATAAATCTTTATATCGATTTCATACTTTAGAATGTTCCCTTGTGAGTCTTGAACCTACAGGTTTTTTCAACACAGGCCAAGTATTTTGATGAGGAAGGTAATTGTAATCATTGTAAGCTAAAATTTGGAAAAATTTGAAAATGTTGCTAAATATTATGAGTAACAACAAAACCAACCTTAATTTTAACCGAGTATCTTAATTTAATTACAGATGATAATCAGTAAGAGTGAAATACCCGAAAAGTGAAGTTCTGAATGTACTGCAAGGCACTGTATGATCGGTGATTGTGAAAAGATCTGAGTTCACAATGAAAAACCTTGATAAACAGCAGCAATCAAGCAGCGATGAAAATTATCAACGAAATGTATGCTAAACTACACTGAAAACTCTGACATCTGCTATCATTTTATTTAACTTATTCGTTTTTGTTTAGATTCTCGTGGTACTTTAAAAAGCGCGCCACATATCCAAGGTGAGGTTTAAAAAAAAAGATCGTTGTGTGATTTTTTTATTTTTTGGTTTTTACTTCTTACTTTATTATACCCTTGTCAACCTAACTAACAATAAACATCATCAACATCTTTATCACCATTATCACCAGCACCATCATAACCATCAACAGTCCAACCGCCGCCACCAGCAAAGACACTAAAGTCAATTGTGTTCTTGTACCTTCAACATCAAAATGAGCTTTGGATTGAGACTTTCGAGACTGGTGAAAAACATGTTTAAATCGGAAAAGGCCAGAAAAGTTGATCTCATGAAAGAACAATTGCTAAACGTACCTAAACCTAAACCTAAACGACAAGTTTTTGGACTGAAGAGTAAAGGATTGATTCCTTGGTATTCAATGAGCCACGATGATATGTCAACATTATATGCTTTTCTTATATGTTTAATTCCAATGTATGCTGTTTTTGAAAATTGTTTTTGGAGTGTTTACTATGATTTTAAACTTAGAAAGGAAAAAAAGAAATACATTAAGGAATTAGATGAAAGAGAAAGGTTGGCCGAATTGATAAGTGCTAAAAAAAAGAATCTGAATGTGGATTAGAATTTTTCTGCTACTCTTGTAACTAGATTGTTATTAAATTTTAAATTGTAGGATTATGTACATACAAAATAAAATGCAGTAAATAAAGAGTTTATAATAAACTGTACCAGAATCTATTAAATTAAAAACAGTTTGTTTTTATTAACGGTGAATAAGATTTGTAGTTAATTCGCTTCCATTCTTGTTTGCTTGATTTCTTGTCAGTTCAATTCTCATTTCAACAATATAAACCAGTTCAAATATAAAATTGATTTATAAACCGTCAAATAATTTCCAATTTGTTTTCATTTAAGTTATATAAATTGCTCTACACAATACAAATGAGCTTAAAGAATTAAAGAAAACACTTTTCAACGTCATCATCATTATCAGTACAAAATTGTTCAGAGATTGGCAAAAAAGAAACAAACAAGCAAAATCAACAATTGGTGAATTGGTTATCGGTTAATTACATATCGCCCAGGTTAAACCAATTTTTGCTAAATGGCATGGCCGACGTTAATTTATAATATGAGTACAGAAATGGCAATGAAAAAAGGACAAAAGAATGAAGAAAATGATTTACAAGGAAAGAGGAAAAGAGAAAGAGAGAAAGAGGGAAAAAGAAAGGAAGAAAGAGTGAAAGAAAGAGGAAGAAAAAGAAAAAGAGAGAGAGAGAAAAAAAGAGGTGAGAAGAAACCAAGACATAACTCTTTCAGGATAGGGCGCACTTTGCTTTTCCCTCTGGTTTATCGGTTACATCGTTTCGAACTCTTTCGATCATTTGCAACAAAGATGCAAACAGATTATTTACATCTGAATTAGATTTGGCACTGATTTCCATGAATTCTGCTTTCATATAATCAGCTAGTCTTTTACCGTCTTCGAATGCTATAACTCGCTCAGAGGAAAGATCCAATTTGTTACCAACCAGTACTATTGGAACCTGCACCTTTCCAGTCATGTCCAATAATTTGTCATAAATTACTCTTATCACTTCGAAAGATTTTAAACTGTTAATGCTATATACTAGACAATAACCATGGTTATCTATCGCATACGCTGGAGGGAAAATTGAATATTCATCTTGTCCCGCTGTGTCAACCAGTTTGAGAAAATACTCTTGTCCTTTAATTTTTACAGTCTTGCTGAAAGCTGAAAGAAAAAAGAAACTAAGTTAAATAAAATATAAGTTAAAAGCTTGGGGGAAAACCAGTTAACAAGGTAACGAAACTTACTGTTCTCTACTGTTGGATCATACGAATCAACAAATTGTCCTTTAACATATTGAATAGTCAGTGATGATTTACCTGTAAAATGAAACAAAGAAAATAAAATAAAAATTGTGAGAAAAAGGAAGAAAAAAGAGAAAGAAAAATATGTATGTTAGTGAGAAGGATGGGAGGGAGAGAAAGAGGAGCAGCAGAAAAAAATGAAAGATCAAAAGTAGGTAGAGAAATCAAGTCAATGAAAAAAAATGGGAAAAAAAGACAAGCCTGACAGAAATGAAATAGTAGAGGGATTAAGTAAATAATGAAAAATAATAAATATACAAGATTAATACGAATGTACTAACCGACAGATCGGTATCCCATTATGGCGATTTTCCTTTGTTTCTGAGGCATCTTGACGATACAAAATTTGATCTCTTGTCTAGTTGATTGATGTTGTTATTATTAATATTTTGTTGTTGATTCTAATGGTGATGATGATGGTGGTGCTGATGTTGCTTTTGTTGGTACAAGAACACAAGTGGTTTTAGTGTCTTTGCTGGTGGCGGCGGTTGGACTGTTGGTGGTTATGATGGTGCTGGTGATAATGGTGATAAAGATGTTGATGATGTTTATTGTTAGTTAGGTTGACAAGGGTATAATAAAGTAAGAAGTAAAAACCAAAAAATAAAAAAATCACACAACGATCTTTTTTTTTAAACCTCACCTTGGATATGTGGCGCGCTTTTTAAAGTACCACGAGAATCTAAACAAAAACGAATAAGTTTAATAAAATGATAGCAGATGGAGTTGTAGAGCAAATATCACTGAAATTATTGGAGTAATATTTTAGCTTTTTTAATTGCATTATTAATATTTGTTATGATTTAAAATTTAATACATTGTAGTTTTAATCATTGTGAACAAAAATTATTACACCATCAAAAGTTCCAGCAGTTATTTTCCTTTCTTTGTGTCGAAATGGGGTTACAATGAGATGTCAATCTTGCAATTGTTCAATTGAATTCAACTTACCGCTTGAGTTTCACATCAAATTTACTCCTCATTTGATTGAACAAGTTAATTTTCATCTAACCTGGGTTTGAGTGGAAATGTTCAATATTTATTTACATTCGATGGAATAGTCTCATTCTTGCAGCGATACAATTTGCGCGTAATTTGTTCAATAATTTAGTACCTTGAATGTTTGCTTGATCCGATATCAATAACAAATGAGCATTTTCATTGTCTAACATTTACATTTACTTTATTCCTATTGTTCATGAGATTTTTCAACATTTTCTTTCTCTCTGCTTAATTTGATTTTACAAAGAAAATAAATTAATTCTTGACAGTTAATGTTTTCAACATTTAAAGGAAGGTAAGGAAGCACTGACAGCAACAATGAGTTACTTCCCAATTTCGTTCAACTTAATAGTAATATAATGTATTTTTGTATAATAAAATGTTAGATTCGGTAAAGGTGTTTTTTTTTGTATAATTATTTCACTTGAATTTTTATAATACACAACAAGATTAGATTAAAAGGTGAGATTCATATCGATTTAAATAAATTAATCAGAAGAAAATGAGTCTTCATCGAGTATGCATTTGCTTCCCTCAAAAGATCATTTAGTTAAGATGAGAGTGTTGCAGAAAACAGGGAACAGATAAATTACTTTCTTTCCATCTGAAACAATTAAGGTTTATCAATTATTAATGTTTGCGTGATGTCTTATTTTTCTTAGAAAAAAAACGAAATTATCCATTCTTTTGGGTGGAGGCTTGTCCTCATAAGTATTTAAGCTCGGCTCTGATATTTGGATCTTCGCTGCCAGAGGTTCTTATATTAGACGCCGAGGCAGAATGTGAAAGGCTTTTTGGTAAACCAGATTTTGAGACATTTGATGTGATTATGCATGCTTTCTTAATCATTGATGGTTTGGTAATTGTTAAGGTTGGATTTAATGATGTAACAGAGGATTGATATTGTTGAGGTTGTTGAAGAAAGCGCTGGGACAAATTTGTTGAGGAGCTTGGAGTGAGTTGAGTTACTGGCTGTTGTTGTAATTGAATTGAGGTGATTGGTTTTGATGTTGATATTGTTACGGTTGCTGTTGAGACGGGTAAAGGTGAAGTTGAAGGGGAAGACGAGGGCGAAGGTGAGGTTGAAGGAGGTGAAGACTGTAGAGTTGATATTAAAGATGAAGCTGATGCGTTAGCTGTAGGTCGATATAAACGTTGTGTTGATGTGATCGCTGTTGATGGACTAGTAAAGAAAGCTCTTCTCAGTTCATTTAAGGAAGGCTTATGGCTAGTAGAAGTTGAGGTTATTGTTGTTGAAGAAGTTGGTGTTGACATGGTTGAACTTCGTGTTAATCCTAAATTCATTGATTGTGATTGGGGTAACATTAAGTTTTGTTGTTGAAAAGATTGAGACTGTGATTGTTTTAATTGATGCTGAGATGGCGGTGTTTGTTGCTTTAATTGTTGTTGTAGTTGTTGAGATTGTTTGGATGGAATAAATGATGAGCTAGTTAATCTGGATGCTTGACCAGGAGATAATTTGATTACCGCAGTTGATGTATAGTAAGACGGTTGAGAATTAAATTGCTTCAATCGATTATAGTCAATCACATTTCCCGATCGAGGAATCCTTTCAGTGCCAAGTGTTTCTTGAGTAGTTGTATCTCTAGCCATAACAATCACACTTGATTTAGATTTTCGAATCTCTCTAGTTGGTTCTGGTTCAATATCTTCTTCAATACATTCATATTCCAATTCCTGGTTATCTTCTTCTTCCTCTTTCTTGTCTCGGACAATTTTAGGTGATAATGACAATGAGGTAACTGCTGTTGATGTAACAATTTTTTGACCTGGTATAGGAGGAGCACCAAATACTTTATCAGCTAAAGTGATCAGCAGCTGAATCACACGAGTTTGATGAACATTGTCTACTAATGAGCACAAGCCAGCTGGACCTTCATTAGTTCTTAATAAGGTAGGACCAAAAACAATTCCTAAATTAGATGGTGGCATATTATTAATATGATGATTATCAGCAATGCTTTTCAAATGATGGCACAGATAGGATAGGGTTTGATAGTGGATCGAGGGTAACTTGGAGGTTGCCTCTCTCAAGCAGGAGATAATACGTTCAACCAATCTTGGATCTTCTTCAGGTCTCGTCCTAGATGGATACTGTTTGGCAATCCGTATAAATTCAGAATAAGCTTTAAAAGTCATCAAAGGTTCTGGTAATTGACGAAGATAAAGCTTGAGAACATTGGCAATCACATTGGGATGAACATCAGATAAATCACCAACTTCGGTTCCTTTCTCAAAGCTTCGGCAAAGCTTGTCCACCCTTGATTTAACACCACTTACACGATATAGTCCTTTAACACATTTACCCCTTTTTTCTAATTCGGTAACACATTTAACAACAATATAAGGTATCTCATCTCCATGAGATTTTAAATCAACACCAAAGGTGGTCATTCTTCCAACAATAATAATCTTGCTGTGACCACGAGCTCAATTTCATCTGACAAGGGAAGTGCCTTTGCTGGTACGATCATTTTCAATTTTTTTCGGGCTTATATTGTAGAGGGCAAAAAATAATTAGACACGTATTTTTGCTTTTGTTTCGCTAGTGCGCGGTTATTTGAAATTTAAGCACTTT